ATTCATACTTCAAATGAGATTTAATGACACTCCTATCTTAGCTGTCTATTAACTGTCCATAAATAACCACACAGTGTTGTTTGTTATTAAGGTGTTTCCCAGTATTTTACGCCAAAAGAGCACATGTGACATGGTTGTCAACTAAAGGAAATTCCCAAACTTTAAGATGCGGTAAGGGAATTCATTTGTTTTCTAGATTACTGCTTTTATTAATATTGTCTGGATACATACATTCCATTTGAGGTACAGTCAAGCATTTGTATTTATTGGATTACTGCTTTTATTAATATAGTCTGGATACATACATTCCATTTGAGGTACAGTCAAGCATTTGTATTTATAGAATAGTTGAAAACAATTTTTACTTGACAAATTGAAGAAACTGGGTCATGATCGTTCATTAGATGTTACCTTGTTCAACCATGCGAGACAATGTAAATAATGCAATCAGCTGTCCATGAACATCCATTGAGGCAGTGTTCACACCATTTAACACTAATTAGATTTCTTAATTTCCACTGACATGATACATGTAATTGGATTAAGGATATCTGGAATTTAACTTCAATCTGCTCTATTGAATTTTCAAGTGTGGTGGACAATAAAATAAGCATGGCACTAGGAATTTAACTGTGGCACACCCCCACGCTTAAATAGGTCATGGTGATCCCTGATGAGGCATATGTATTGGTATAAAACAAAAGTTCTATGAGTACAGGGTAAAATGAAAACTCAAACTGAGTTGAAAATACTAGGGTTGATGCGCCTAAGATTCTTTTGAAATATGCAAATATAAACATGCAATGAAAAACATAAATTTTACCAAAAGAAGAAGTTGTTTAATGACTTTATTGAGTGGCTGGGGATAGAGGGTGGTTGATGTTTGTCAACAAAAATTAGTTATGGGGTAAATCTTGCTATTGGTTGGCTGACTTTTGGTAATCAAAATACGGTCCTACAATAAACTGTAAATTATCATCGCATAGGTTTGTGCTTGTGTCAAGTTCTTAATTCCTGTCTTGTTTTTTATACCAAGGCCAAAAAAAAATATGTCTGTTTACGGTTACCTGACCGACCCTACTTTTGAGCGTTGACCCTAAGTCATCTTATTTCCGTCATAAAGTGGAAATTTAATTGAATTCGTGTCAAAAGCGAAGTTAAGAATTGCCAATTAAATAAATTGCCTGCAGCTGATACATCCCAATGGTCACAATTGTGAATATAACAGCTGTTTTAAGGAAACTTGTGACTCTTGTGATGAAATAAACACTTTGCCACCATTTTTTTTCCAATCGATAACCATGGGAAATAATCCAATCATTAAAAATACAGCTAAACTCGGCCCATGGACAAGACAGACTGCGCGACTCAAAATCATGTCATAAAAAATGAGTTGGAAATGCCGACCTACTTACCCTATTTTTATACGACCACAAAAAAAATTTTGTGGTCATATGTTGGCGTCGTCGTCGTCCGAAGACACATTGGTTTTCGCACTCTAACTTTAGTTTAAGTGAATGGATCTCTATGAAATTTTACCACAAGGTTCAATACCACAAAAGGAAGGTTGGGATTGATTTTGGGGGTTATGGTACCAACAGTAAAGGAAAAAGGGGCCAAAAATAAGCATTTTTGTAACTTCCAGACATAACTTGTGTGTTAATGTATGGATCTCTCTGACATTGTACCACAAGGTTCCATATCACAAAAGGAATGCTGGGATTGATTTTGGGGTAATTGCTTCAAAATTTTAGGAATTAGGGGCCAAAAAAGGGGCAAAAAACAAGCATTTTTCTAGTTTCATGACAATAACTTGTGTGTAAGTGTATGTATCTTTCTGAAATTGTACTACAAGGTTCCATATCACAAAGGGAAAGCTGGAATTGAGTTTGGGGGTAATTGCCGAAACGTTTAGGAATTGGGGGGCCAAAAAGGGGCCAAAAATTAGCATTTTTCTAGTTTCCAGACAATAACTTGTGTTCAAGTGTATGGATCTCTCTGAAATTGTACTGCAAGGTACCATACCACAAAGGGAAGGCTGGGATTGAGTTTTGGGGTGATGACAATAAGGGGGTTCAAAAAATTGGGGGGTTTCCTTTTTTTCTTTTTTTCCTTTTTTTTTTCTTTTAAAATTTCCCATTTTAAGTTGGTTATTTCTGATTTATATTTAAAAGCAAATAATAATGATATGGAAGGAGATACACACCAAACAGGATGTGTAAATTATTATATAATAAGTATTGTGCAATAGCAAGAAATTTTCAATTGCACAGTATTGCACAATAGCAAGAAATCTTCAATTGCACAGTATTGCGCAATAGCAAGAAATCTTCAATTGCACAGTATTGCGCAATAGCAAGAAATATCCAATAGCACAATATTGCGCAATAGCAAGAAATTGTCAATTGTACAGTATTGCGCAATAGCAAGAAATATTTAATTGCACAGTATTGTGCAAAAGAAGATACTTCGTATAAATTGCTTATTTCTTGACCAATTTCAATGGGCTTTTATTCTTGAATTCTTGGGGTTCTTTAATATGCTGAATCTAACCGTGTATTTAGTTTTTGGATTTTGGGCCCCGTTTTTAAATTGGTCCACATTGAGGTCCAAAGGGTCCAAAATTAAACTTTGTTTGATTTCATCAAATTTGAATTATTGGGGTTCTTTGATATGCCAAATCTAACCATGTAATTAGATTCTTAATTTTTATAGGCCCGTTTACGGGACGTATTATGGTCAACATGTCGGACATTAACTCAAAAATGCTTTAACCAATTTGCATAAAACTTTGGTGAATTGTTTATATCTATTGACGTGAGCTCCCTTTCGTTTTTTATAAAATTTAGATTTTACGTTTCCATGTTGTGGGGTTTTATTCATTAAAAAAAGGGGGATTTTCCAGTTTTCGGACAATAAGTGAAGAATGCTTTCACCAACTTGCAAGAAATTGTGGTGAATTGTTTATATCTATTGACATGAGCTCCCTTTTGATTTTTATAAATTTTAGAATTTACGTTTCCGAGTTACAGGGTTTTATTCATAAAAAAAGGGGGGATTTTCCAGTTTTTGGACAATAACTCAAAACTGCTGTCACCAATTCTCATGAAACTTTGGTGAATTGTTTATATCTATTAACATGGGCTCCCTTTTGATTTTTATAAATTTTAGATTTTACGTTTCCGAGTTACAGGGTTTTATTCATAAAAAAAGGGGGGATTTTCCAGTTTTCGGACAAAAACTCAAAAATGCTTTCAGCAATTCTTATGAAAATTTGGTGAATTGTTTGTATGTATTGATGTAAGCTCCCTTTAGAATTTTATAAATTTTACATTTTACATTTCTGAGTTATGGGGTTTTATTCATTAAAAAAAGGGGTGATTTTCCAGTTTTTGGACAATAACTCAAAACTGCTGTCACCAATTCTCATGAAACTTTGGTGAATTGTTTATATCTATTGATGTAAGCTCCCTTTTTATTTTCATAAATTTCTAATATGACATTGAGAATAAATTGAACTTTATTTGTTTATAGTCTGAAAACAGATATACTAAGTATTGCACAACAGCAAGAAATCTTTAATTGAATATAAATTCAATTCATATAACCAATTTCAAGTTCTTTGACTACATTTATTCAGAAACCTATAATATGTCAAATATTTAATTACAATCCAAATTCAGACCTGAATCAAGCTTGAATATTGTGTCCATTTTTGCCCCAACTGTTCAGGGTTGGACCTCTGCGGGCGTATCTAGCTGCGCTCAGCGAAGCAGTTTATTGGTTCCGTTTTCAAATTGGTCTGCATTAAGGTCCAAAGGGTCCAAAATTAAACTTAGTTTGATTTTAACAAAAATTGAATTCTTAGGGTTCTTTGATATGCTGAATCTAAACATGTATTTAGATTTTTGATTATGGGCCCAATTTTCCAGGTGGTCCAAATCGGGGTCCAAAATTAAACTTTGTTTGATTTCAACAAAAATTGAATATATGGGGTTCTTTGATATGCTGAATCTAACCATGTATTTTGATTTTTGGGCCCCGTTATCAACTTTGTCCACATTGAGGTCAAAAGGGTCTAAAATTAAACTTTGTTTGATTTCATCAAAAATTGAATTCTTGGGGTTCTTTGATATGCTGAATCTAACCATGTATTTAGATTTTGGATATTGGACCATAATAGGTGAATGTCCAATTTAAAATTTTTAAGTTCTTAGACCACATTCATTCTGTGTCAGAAACCTATGCTGTGTCAAATATTTAATCACAATCCAAATGCAAAGCTGTATCAAGCTTGAATGTTGTGTCCATACTTGCCCCAACTGTTCAGGGTTCGACCTCTGCGGTCGTATCAAGCTGCGCCCTGCGGAGTATTTCATTTTTTAATGATGTAACTTTGAACAGACAAAATATTTTTTGTGGTCCAATGTGGGCCATGATTCTTGCGCTTTTAATTTCATTCACAGTCCAAATTTCCTAACACCAAGTTATTATAAATTTAAAAATCCACTAATCACTGAAATTTGTGACATACCATGATTTTCATTCTTTGGCACCTCTTATTACTGGTATGATAACCCTGAAAATTTTCAGGCCCTTCTCGTAATCAATCTGTTTTCTCGGAATATAATGTTGTCATCACAGAGCAGCAGATTATATCGACTTAATTATTTTGGTAAGATATACTCAAAGAATACGAAACTCAAATTTTGCAACAGGCAGTTTTGAATGAAATGAAATTCTCAGCTTGGTTGATGGAAATAGAAATGAACAAAATGGAGAAAGATAAATTTTTCTCAGCTGGAAATTTTCGAAAGGGTAGGCGGGGATGAAAATCTATTGATTTATTTTAATTGGCCGTATCCTCATTATTTTGAGTCATGTCTTCCAATTAAACAATAACAATGCAAGATTATTCAGGTATTAGCCTTCTGTTGTCGTTAGATTTTATCATATTTATGAATTTTCTAGCCTTTAATTGATATTTTTTTGTATTTTAGATTGAAGATGTAAAACCAGAAGGTTCTGAACATATAAACTTAAAAGTAACGGGTCAAGATGGCAGTGTGGTACATTTCAAAATTAAACGCAACACACCATTACGGAAACTGATGTCTGCATATTGTGATAGAGCTGTAAGTCTCACTGTCTGTAGTAGAAACTGTGACTGAACATGTTATGGAACCAAAATTGGGATTTAGAAATAACTCTTTTTTTCCCTGAATTTAATGCACCAAATTATTAATACATTTTATTACAAGATTAAAGAATAAAGTACTATGTTGCTATAAGGCCTCGGGAAGAACACAGTATTTATAAACAAATTTAGTTAACTGTTTTATCTTACGTAGTGTTAAAAGGTTTGTACTTGTACTAGTAACTGAAATATGGTTTAGATGTCCAAAAGAATAATACAGTTTTACTAATGCTAAACAACAATTTATAAAATATATTAATCAGAAAACAAAGTATGACACAGAAAATCACACACATGAAGTAATTTATGCAAAAAAAAAATTTACAGATTCATGTAATTTTAGAATTTGTTACTTTAATTAAAATAAATGTCATATAGGATTAGTTACATTGGCTATACATGTACATGTATTTAATACAATACAGTGTAAAAATGTTCAATGATTTATTGTTGCAGTAACATTTCAGTATCCATTACTTAGACATACATGTTCTTAGTTTTGAGGTAATAATTAAGACTACTTATTGCCTTTTTTGACAGGGTTTAAAAATGGGAGCAGTAAGATTCAGATTTGATGGAAATCCAATAAATGAAACAGACACACCCTCACAGGTAATATTCATCATAGAGCCTAAAAAGAATGTTTGATTTCCTGTTTCCCTACCTACCATAAATTTCCATGCCTACCCTATTTAAACTTTACAATGAGACTAGTAGATTACTGTATACAGAAAAACCCAGTTTGCTTTCATTTTGACTTCCTCTTAATAATAATATTGATATTAGATTGATTGATTGTTGGTTGCTTAATGTCCAGTGGCAAATATTTCATGCATATTCAGGACGAGAACAAATTAACAATAAATACAATAGGTAGGTTTTGTAATAGGGGCGTCTGGGATTAAGGTCGGAGAAATTTAGACTGCCACGGGAAATGAGGGTATATTGGATAGGGACAGAAATTTAGCCTTGCAACAGGTCACCTACGGACCCCTCAGAGAGTTGTTGCAAGGGTTCTTAACATGCAAAGAGCGTAGCACTCTCTTTACACGAGACATCGGATTTAACGTCCCCATTCTGACCGGACGTGGCTGCAAATTTGTACATCCCGCACAGCCAAACGGACGCCCCACTTTAGCAAGGGTTTTACAGCAGGTTGGAGGAAGACCAATGGTGACCATAATTCTATTCCCCAGTCACCCTTGGGGGTTATTGATATTCATGATATTAGATGAATATGATATATTATTTAAGTGCATGACATATGTGATGTCATAAATGTGGCATTAATTCCACCAAAGATGGTTCTGTTATAATTTTTGGTTAGATTAATTAACAGCAATAGGTTAAATCTACATGTAGTGTGCAAATTAGGCACTCATTCACTTGACATTGCAAGTGTAATTGAAATGGAACAACTGATAAGCAAAATGTTTCATATTTTGAGAAAGTCCTTAGTGACAAACACCCAAAAGTCATTCAAACTAATTTGAAAAATAAGTATATCGATTGATTAAGATATTGACAATGAAAGAGAGTGTATTCAAGATGTTTCATACTTTCCTTCTGGGTTTGGTTTTTTTTTTTGGGGGGGGGGGGGTCCCAAGTTCTTGCTTTATCTGGGCAAATCTAACCAGACTTTCGTTTGAAAAAGCTTTTAAATGCAGAAAAATTTGATCAATGTATTATTTTTCAATTCATTCAATTCATTCACAAGGCATGGAAAAAACACCTTAGCTGTGATTGTGCAAAAGGATCCTAAAAATAAAAAAAATATACTTGGAAATTTAGTTCATTTAAAGCATTAATGTGATCCCTCAATTCTCCCTGCAGTGTCCCTGTTGGACAGAAGTCACTTCTCCCTAAAATTCGGAAGAGTGTTGACCCCTTGGAATGAATGCACTGTTTCAGAAGATTAAATAAATAAAAAATGGTGCATGTTACTTGATTTATGTGATAGATAAACTAACAGATAATTGAAGCAATGCAAATAAAGGAAACTGAAAGAAATATGTCAGTGAAACAGCAACTAAACATCAAAACAAAATTAGTTGCTGTGGATTCATCATTGTTTGTGGTATACTTACTTTCATGGCTATAGGAAAACACAAATTGAAATATTCAACCAACCATACATTTGCTAGGCCTATAGACAGACTTTAGTAAAACCAAGAAATCAAATGTCCACAAAGATATATTACTCCATCGTTAACGACTTATTAGATGGTCTAACATATAACCATATGTAGAGCTGTAAAAATCCCAATCGGGGAAAAAATTTTAACAAGGACCATTCAAAAGTTGTCATTTACATTGAATTTCTCACATTATGGACAACAAGCATTAACATGTACATACACTGGCATATTAATCTGTTAGGGTTTTCTTAGTCTTGTGTTCTCTCTTTATGTAATTAATAATGATATGTTTTTCAATTTCAGCTGGACATGGAAGATGGGGACTCGATAGACGTATTTCAGCAACAAACAGGAGGACTTTGAATATTATATGTTGTGTTTTCTGGTCATGCTAAAATATCATTGTCAGTCATACACATCAAAAGTTGTAAAGTGAAATGGACGCTTCAGTAAGGAGGCGAGAAGTGTAAATTATGTGGATTTTTGTACAGATTGTTTTTAACTCATCACACTTCATTGTCATATCATATTGAATCAGAATGATGTTATTTTATGGCCTTTGACCTCTACATGTTTAGGTATCTAATTCTTTCAGGAATTGGTTCAGATTCATGCAATATAGATTTCTAAAATAGGAAAAACTATTTATTATTTAAATAAGCCAAACCGTTGTTAGTTTGGCATGCATAATTTACATTCTGTAAAATTTCTTTTTTTTTTAACAATATTTGTGAAGTTTTTAACAAGGAAAATGTATCCTTACCATTGTCTTTGAACCATAGTTATGTTATTCTCAATTTTATTAGATAAATATTCTGCCAGACCTTGATGTGCTTTTCTAAATTTTTTATAAGTTTAATTTTTTAATGATGCATGTCAAACATTTAACTCGATAAGGAAAATTAGGGTGAAGTACCAGTGTACAGGTTTTTCATATTGAAATACAGTTTAAAAGGTTGTAGCGAACCTTTAGGAAAATGAATTTTAATCATTTTAACTGCAGTCACCAGTAGAGTGTTGTCAATAGATTCATGAAATTAAAATTTGAAAGGAATCAAAGCTTTACACGTCATAAACATACATTTACATTATTTTCATCATGATACAGGTGTATTTTTAACTTTGACTGTCATTGAATCATTGTTATTTACATGTAAAAAATGTAGGAAAAAATAAAAATTTTGTCAGAATAATTTTCAGTGTGTGTTGAAATTAAGCCAATACAAGGTTTAAGACCGCTAAATTTATTCTTTTGTTTTTTCTGATAACACTCCAGCTCTTAATAGAGCTCCTGAATTATCTTTAATTCCATTCCATTTGTTCAAATTATCATAAGACAACTTAAATTGTTCCTTTATATTCATCACTTCCTAACCAGTTAACATTTCATCTCATTAAATTGTATTTTAAAAACTGCTTTTCAATCATTAACCTATAATTTGGTTCACTGAACATAAGGCAAACAAAAATCAATCATAGTTTGTAAAACCTTTAGAGCTAATTTCCTAATGCTTGTACTTTAACGGATTGGTTGGCTTGCTTTGTTTGTATAAATGTTTGCTCAATCTGTGTAATTAAGATTGACATCTGCAATCAATAGATATGCGGGGCTTCAGCTTGTATACATTATACTCTGCATTGTACTTAACATCCAATAACATTTAAGTATAATGTATACAAGCTGAAAAGCCCCGCATATCTATTGATTGCAGATGTCAATCTTAACTACAATGCTTGAGCAAACATATATACAAACCAAGCGAGCAAGCCAACCAAACTGTTAAACTACAAGCATTAGGAAAAAAGCTCTAAAACTTCTTTATCTGATTCAACATCAACAAAGGTTGGTTGTACCTTTTTCTCAACCAATTTTCCAGTAAGATAATATACAATATAAAGATATGGAAATGTGTTATGATTGCCAATGAATCAACTACACTTGTATCTACCAAAGAACAAGCTGTAAACTCGAATATAAAGAATTGGGCAGGATCAATAATTTCTACATTCAACCCTGAGTGGACAATGGCATGAAAACAACACCACAAAACTGAAAAATATTCCCAAAACAGGATGGACTCATTAAATCATTTCCAAACACAAAAACAACTGACGAAAGACATAATACTGTAAATTCTGAAATTATTGCGTACACTAATTATGGTGATATTTAAAGACTTTACAAAAATATGAGAATAATTATTGCAATTTTAGGGAAAGCTTCATCCAGATATATGTATCAGATATCAGAATGTGAGTTCGTATTGCAATACTCGCCTCGTAGCACTATTAGCATTAATTAAAACCTCTCAATAATTTCTGAATTTCCAGTAGACCATTTTTCTCAACCCAAATGAAGGCAATGCAAAGACGTTATATTTGTGCAGGTTGATAAAACATCAGTCAATAAATCGTGGACTGGAAAACATAATCTATCTTACTATTTTGAAAAAAAGGGTGGCTAACAGTATGATCAGATTCCTTCACTTGAAGTCAAATTCAGTGTGAACAAAAGGAGATGTTTATATGCAAATTAGACTGCTAATAAAACCAAAAGAATGTGGTCTTCCAACTGTGTATTTGGTCCCTGTGCTGTAGATTGTAGTCTAATTGGCATGTAAACCACAAATCTCTATTTATAGCTCACCTGGACCTAAGGGCCATGTGAGCCTTTGCTTTAATATGAAGGTTTTACAAGTTACACATAAATTTAACATTATCAATAATCCATGAAAATGAGGTAAAGGTCAGATGCCTGACAGGCATGTTCACCTTACAATCAATACTTACATACACCAGGTAAAGTGGTCCTATTGCTTATAGATCTTGAAAACAGGCCAAACCACAAAATTTAACATTGATTGACCAATGAACCATTAAAATGAGATCAAGGTCAGATCTGCAAGACCGACATTACACCTTACAATCATTCCATACACAAAATATACCGGTAGTTTTAATACCTATTGCTTTTAGTATCTGATAAACTGACAAAACCATGAAAACTTTACATTGACCAATGAACCATTAAAAAATAAAAGTCTATGCCATATGAACCCCCTGCTGCCAGACAGACGTGTACACTTTACATTCATTCGATACATCAAATATAATTGTCCAATTGCTTATAGTACCTAACAAAATCATGAATATGAGGTCAAGGTCATGAAATCTCAAAAATGGAAAAGACATCTTACAATCATTTCACACCAAACATAGAGGCCCTATTGCTTAGTTTCTGAGAAATAGATCGAACCACAAAAACAAAATATTGTCCAATGAACCATGAAAATGAGGTCAAGGTCAGATGAAACCTGCAAGTCTGACATGTACAACTTACAATCATTCTATACACCAAATATAGTTGATCTTTTGCTTTTTGTATTTGAGATACGGACTTGACCATGTAAACTTAACCTTGATTGCCGATCTGTAAATGAGGTCAGGTCTGACAGACATAGACCTTGCAATGAAGCCATATATACCAAATATAGTTATACTATTACTCATAGAATGTGAGTACATTTTGTACTTCAAATGACAAATTTTTATTTTTTTTCAAGCAGTCAGTAAACCATGAAAGTGAGGTCAAGGACAATGGACATATGACAGAGAGAAACTTAATGCAGTGTTCTCAGAAATTTCTTATATCATCCTCGTAAACAGGAAATTATGAAATACCATCTTGTTTCTAGAAATTATAGCATCACATCCATAACACTAACTACAAGAAAATAATTTCAGATAGCTTCACATTCTAGAAATATAGCATCACATTTATTATAATACCATGATGATAAAAGGCCCAGGGTAGAACACTGCTTAAGGTATGAAGCAGCCAGGTCTTCCACCTTCTGAAATATAAAGCTTTATACAAATAGTTCACACTGCCACTAGATTGTAATCCCTGTCACGCATTCTGCAACTTTCGTCACAGATGAGACAAAAATCAACTAGATATACAGAAGTGGATACCAAGGGGGAAATCAAAACAGTCTACAAAACACTTAAATACCCAACAACCCCACATTGTAAGTGGGCAAACAAAATCTCACCAGATTCCTAAGTTCAAAGACCCATAAGACCTACAAAACTCAACTGAAAAAAATTTCTTGTGGATATACATATCTACTAATTATGGCCTTATTATCTACAAAGTTTCGTGAAATTCTGTTGTGTGGTTTCAGAGGAGTGGCTATGATAAACTGTTACAGTAGTGTATTTAGGCCAAAATTCTAAGTTCAAAGGGCATAACTCCTAGGAAAAAATTGAATCATAACTTCCTGTCGATATGCACATCTATGGTACATGGTATCTCATTATTTACAAAGTTTCATAAAATTCAGTTGTGTTGTTTCAGAGGAGTGGCTATGCCAAAAACAGGACAGACAGACGGGTTAAAAACATTATACCCTACACCAACTTTGTTGCATGGGGTATAATAAAAACCACATAAAAAACCAGGGGTAATATCCCGCTCCTAATGTGGCACCAATTGTGTTGCTCATGGTGAGTACAAATGGGTGTTAAGTCTCAATCAATGATGTTACAATCGAGAAAAGTAGGAGGGAGAAATGGCTACAGCAACAACATATCCATTGTCATCTGTCACAAAGCCAACTCCTTGTGTCACCCAATAAACTTCAAAAGGGATGACTTCAAAATTACAACTACGAATCCTTGGTTCAGTAGCTTTGATGCTGCAACCATCTATCAAGGAAATTCAATTGGAATATCTTATCACGAGGGAGATATATACTCTGTATGCATGCTGCTGAAATTTTGATGAATGATAATTGTTGTTAGAATAAAGCAAGGACTATGTAATCAAATTATTGTTACCATCAAATTCCAATTTCATATAAAAATTTGGAAACATCAAACACCTCATTACCAAGTACTGGTATAGAAATATTAAGTAAGAGCAAGATCAAGTTTCGTTGGCTTTTGTAAAGAAATAAAGAACATTCATATATTTGTACAATTTAATATTGTATGAACATGAAAATATAAATTTATTCTTAACACAATAATAGCACTGCCCATAATTGCTTAAAATATATACTACAATGCATATACATACATCAGTTTGCATGTTAAACGGAACACATGGAAAAGACTATACAGTCTGGTTTTAAAATTAGTATGTTCATATACTCACAAAATAACGAAAGAAAAAAATTAACACTTTTTTATTACCTAATTAGATTCAGAAATATGTCATTGAATAGGAACAAATATTCATTCACCTAAAATAAACCTCTGCAGATGACATCTTTTACTTTTAAAACAGACATGAATAATCCTTTCTAACAAAAATGTTGACGATGATGATGACTTTGTGTTGTACATACAGTGGCAAATATTACATGCATATCAGGATGAGAATGTGTTAAAGACATATGAATTGAAGCCTGCTCTGACATACTGAGTCCAATTTATGTACTAATTCACCAGGTAACAGTCCAGAAGATGACATGTCACCCTATCTGGACACATTATTCTGACTCCAGCAAATACCAATATAAAAGTCTTTGTTTGATCAGGCCAGGGATAGAATCAACAACCTCCCACACTAGAGGCAAGAATGCTACCATGTGACCCATGAGGGTGTTACCAAAACTAATGAAACAGCTAAAGAGGCATTATATGCAAAATTGAAATCATGTTTAAAATAAATGTCAGTTGTAACAAATCAAATCATTGTCTTTGACAACTTGATTGTCTCCCTTTCATAATAAAAGTTACAAACAACCAAAAATTGATGCTGCCTAAAATAGCATTTGATTTAGATAAATGCCTTTTTTATTTTTTTATTTTCACAAATTCCTTTATTGCACATACATGCATGGTTACATGATTATTAGTCCATCCCAACTTTGGGCCATAATTAAGCTTTAATATGACATTGATCATAATTTATTTACATATGAGGGGGCTGACACGCTTCTGGGATGAGGGATATAGGGGGTAAAAAAAGTGGGATCAGGGAAAAGGAAAGGAAAAAAAGTCGGAAGTGGGAAGAATAAAAAAAGTGCGATCTGAGAAATGAGCACCTCCGTGTTACCACCCTCATATATGTCATAACCATAGAATTGTTCATCTTAAAATGTGTTGTGAATACTGAATAGATATCGTACATTTATATTACACCCCACTTTCAAACCATTCTTAATTATTCAACTCTGTGCCCTACTTGAAAAATCTACAGGTCACAACACTGAAATTCCTTCTCATTACAACTGTTATCGGGTCAACATATAATACGATCAGGGTCCAGTAGAACATAACAGACTCTTGACAAGGAGACGGACAGCAAACCCATACCATCATATTTCCACATAAAATGTGCATAGTATATATCAAATTCAATTACATCCAAGAATTTCATTGCTTTAGGTCATTACAATAACCATTCTCAATTAACATAATAAAATTAAAACTATCTTACACCATCTATATTTATCACAGTAACAGAAACAATAATACCCTTATACAAAATATGTCATGTAGTAGAATACTGTAAAAATATGGATATTTCACTGATATCAATGGAAAAGCTTGTTTTGCAAGTGTCAAAATTTGCACATCAAATTATTGATATGGAATAAGAGCTGTTCCAGAATTAAACACATAGGGGGAGTGGGGAGTACTTTTCAAAAACCTTGACCACCCATAGAATAAAAATTTTCAATTTACTTACAATTCTTACAAAATTTTAAGGAAAATGCAACCACTCACATTTGATTAATTTGAGTGCCTCCCATCCCCCGCGTGATAAATTTTGGAATAGCCCGAAGCAAAAATAACCCTTGCACAAAAATTCTCATGTTTACAGTATTAAAAGTCTAATCATTTCCAGGAGTTGATGTAACCAATGCTATATTTTAAGTTGCACAATTTCTATTCACTGAACAAAATGTTATCTGGAAAGTATCAATTTTGTAGGTTAAACAAAATGTCATATAACCTTTAAATTAAAAAAACATTTCATATAACCTTTAAGTACAATAAAATAGTATATATAACCTTATGTATTATTTAGTAATAACTCTGGGAAATGTCGAGCATCCATTATTGCAATATTTTACATCATAACTAAATTGTACATCATACTTACAAGATAAGCAGCAAAAGTATAAAATATACAACCTGACAACTTGATAACATGTGACAATAAAATTATAAAAAAAAACAACAATGTGGTAATCTTATATCTAAACATTGCAAAAGATACCAATGTAATATAGATGGCAAGTCTTAAAAAAATAAACTGCTTCGCTGAGCGCAGCTAGATACGCCCGCAGAGGTCCAACCCTGAACAGTTGGGGCAAAAATGGACACAATATTCAAGCTTGATTCAGGTCTGAATTTGGATTGTAATCAAATATTTGACATATTATAGGTGTCTGAATAAATGTATTCAAAGAACTTGAAATTGGTTATATGAATTGAATTTATGTTCAATTAAAGATTTCTTGCTGTTGTGCAATACTTAGTAAATCTGTTGTCAGACTATAAACAAATAAAGTATAATTAATTCTCAATGTCATATTAGAAATTTATGAAAATAAAAAGGGAGCTTACATCAATAGATATAAACAATTCACCAAAGTTTCATGAGAATTGGTGACAGCATTTTTGAGTTATTGTCAGAAAACTGGAAAATCACCCCTTTTTAATGAATAAAACCCCATAACTCAGAAATGTAAAATGTAAAATTTATAAAATTCTAAAGGGAGCTTACATCAATACATACAAACAATTCACCAAAGTTTCATAAGAATTGCTGAAAGCATTTGTGAGTTTTTGTCTGATAACTGGAAAGTCCCCCCTTTTTTTATGAATAAAACCCCGTAACTCGGAAACGTAAAATCTAAAATTTATAAAAATCAAAAGGGAGCTCATGTCAATAGATATAAACAATTCACCACAATTTCTTGCAAGTTGGTGAAAGCATTCTTGACTTATTGTCCGAAAACTGGAAAATCCCCCTTTTTTTAATGAATAAAACCCCATAACTCGGAAACGTAAAATCTAAATTTTATAAAAAACGAAAGGGAGCTCACGTCAATAGATATAAACAATTCACCAAAGTTTTATGCAAATTGGTTTAAGCAATTTTGAGTTAATGTCCGACATGTTGACGACGGACAGACGGACGGACAGACGGACGGACGGACAGACGGACAACGGTATACCATAATACGTCCCGTAAACGGGCGTATAAAAAACAAAAAAAAACATAAATGACAGGTACTGAAAGATCTTTTTAATTTCTGAATATTCATGGCGACATCCCAGAAATACAGCACCCGGAAACCAACCATGTATGTAAGAACTATTAATCAACATTTCAATACGTAAGAGTATAATTTTATATACTTATAACATTAACATTATGAAAGAACAAAATAGTATAGATAATCATATTTCTCAATTGTAATAACCTATGAAAACAAAACCAAACAAGTTTTATATCCAGTAAAGAGTTCTGTAAAGTAGTAAATCTCAGTTTTTAAATTTGTTTAAAAAAACCTGAGCATTGAAAGAATATATTTCAAACCTAAGTTCTACTAAAGAAAGGAAAACAATTTTTCATAGACTTAGTAACACTTGTATGCAAATTTGTCTGCCATTACTAAAAATCACAAAAGTTCCAATAAAATTTTGCATCACAATTTAAAAATTTGAGGTCATAATTAAAAAGTTACTGTTGCATGACCTTAGAATGTTATTCTGAACAAGATCTAAGGTCATTCAGAGACAATTCAGCTAAATACCCAAAAGTGTAAACAAGTCTATTGACTGTATCACAGTGTGATGGAATTACAGATCATGTGTTCAGGCTTTGCTTACAAGGATCTGACAATGCTGTATTGATATCTATTGTGGAAACCAGGATGGGATCATTGGGTTTTGTAGTTATCACACACCCCTTCAAAAAATATTAGAAAGAAGAAGAAATTTCATTGGTTGACATAATTACAATAATCAGAATAGAAAATAGAAAGATGGTCAGATCTTTATAAGCCAAAAGTGAACACATCTTCTTATTTCAATTAAACAGATTTCATTCACTTGTAAAACTATTATATTTCTCTGCATCTGATGACGAAATTCATAATTCTGATGAAACAAACAGAATTTTTCACAGTATCAACTTTAAGTTAGCATTGGCAATCATACAACACCTTTTTATTTTTAACATTGAACCTCCCTACTATTTTTTCTTTCAAAATAAAAATGCAAATACGGAATTGAATTGTGCAGCAAATCTTCAGATCACATTTATTTAATTCATATTAAAGTTCAAAGATCAAAATACCTGGTTTACATGGGCTACAAAATAGAACAAAAATCTGCAATCACATTCAACAACTGAACATATCAACTGAAATCAGGCTGTAAGTTTAATTACATTGTTAAAACTATACTTTATATATATTCATTCAACTCTCTTAAAGCAATATAAACAGGACATTTGTTAAATGCACAAGCCTATTGAAACAGTTTTATTTATGACAATCTATAATTTAAACTTCCATAGGGTGGACTATTTAGTAAACATAACTAAAGCAGCTTTGTTCTCAAAATATTTGGTACATTTAAAGATAGTTAAATGCATGTCTTCTCAGTCCATTGTATATGCAATGTAATATTTAAAAGAAAATCACTCTTACTGTGCACCATTAAGACATTTTTTTGGGGGTATAATTCTTAAATCTTGCATCCCTTGCAGAAAATAAGTTATCTATTGATGATGAGACAGGTGCTGCTGTTATCATACAGGTACATTATAAATTGTAACTGCTTAGTAAGTACAGGTATCCTAAATCTATTGATTTCATAAAACTATCTATCTCTGGCTACAGACTGGCTAAGAAATATCATTTCTTATGACAGATACAAGTTACATATAAGTTTCAAATCTGCAAGATTTTAAGGTTTGTTCCTTGCAAAGCATTTTACAAAACAGTACAAGTAAAAAAGGTGACCTTCAGTATACATTGTAAAGCCTACAATACATAGAAAACTTGTTACAAGCAGTTTATCCAACATAACATCTGAGTAAAATACATAAAATAGATATAGAACAGATCTTGAATGTCTCTGTTTTCATTTTTGATAAAATTGACTATTTTAATGGCACCAATGTGATTTTTAAACATTATCTACAAAAAGTATTGCTATGATTTCCCAATCCTGGTTTTTAATTGTTTGATCATCTCTGTCATCTTAATGGAAGCACCAATTTTCATACCAGTCAAACTACTGATCTGGTCCTTCGTTAATTCTAACAACTTTTTACCATCAACTTTCTGAAAATAAAATGAAAATCTAGCTACTAATTAAACTATACATCTTACAACAAAATATAGTGCTGTTTGTTTGTTTATTCCACATTGGCTAGAGGTATAGGGGAGGGTTGAGATCTCATAAAACATGTTTAACCCTGCTGCATTTTTGCGCCTGTCCCAAGTCAGGAACCTCTGGCCTTTGTTAGTCTTGTATGATTTTTTAATTTTGGTTCATTTATATGTTTCATTGTTAAGTGTGACCTCTATTTTCGCTGAACTAATATACATTATTGTTTAGGGGCCAGCTGAAACCTGCCTCAGGGTGCGGGATTTTCTCGCTGTGTGGCCTTGGGCTGTTTTCTGCTCTTTGGTGGGGTTGTTGTCTCTTTGACACATTCCCCGTTTCCTTTCTCAATTTTTTTAAACTGATTAAGTTTTAAAATTTTATTAATACTCATAAAATGTCTCCATAACATAGGTAATTTTTGTAAGTTTCCATTGACACAACTGATTAAAATATTGTTTGTGGAAAACAATGCTTACATGTCTCTCATCCTTATGCTGTATATTTTGGTATTTACTAAGATATAAATTATGTGTTGTACAAATGTTACAGTACTTTTGAATGGCAAAAAAAATTGTTCCTTGAAGAATAAGCTGATAGCAGATAACATATAACAATATTAATAACAAAGCAGTTACAATGTTTTAAATGAAAATTAATGAATTTCGAATAATATGTTTGTTTGTGTGGTAAGTCATGTAAGTGGACTTTAATGTTTCTGATGCTAGTTTTTCAACCAACTCGGTCATTAAATACATGTAAAATAGTGTATTTTTTAAGTAAGGATACAAATTTTATATTTTCCGCATACTTTTTTATTTTCAAACTGTGAAGTGTCGTTATAAAACTTTTTTTATTTCAATAAAAAAAAAAATATTTAAGAACAAACTTACGCTTCTTACAAAACTTTCCCAAAAAGTAGCACAATCATTGACTTTCAGGAAATAGCACACATCAGAAACAGTCCACTGATCTGGAGGAATGGTTAAATGTCTCTGAGCTAACTGGCTCGATTTAGTACTGTCTACAGGGTTAGACTGTTGTGAAGTTATGCCCCCTGATTTTGACATTAACAGATTTGATAATGCTGTTTTTGTGACACTAGGTTTTGATGATGGTGATTCATTGCTGCCTAATCTACTGGATTTTTCTTCAGAAAAAGATTGATGAGGACTTAATGATGGTGGAAAATCTACATCTTCTACTTCTGTTTTCACTGTTTAAAATGAAAAAAAAAATATTTATATGTAAACAATATTTCTTTTTACAGTGTAACAATAACAATTATAACTGGTATAAAAATTGTCCCTACCATTCAAGATTGTTGATACAATAGCTTTTACACAAATCGTTTTAACCATGTTTTAGTTTTAACCGTCTGCAGCTCTTTTTAAACTACAAGGGAATTTCCAGATTAAGAAATAATTGGAAGACCAAATGACACATTTATTCTTCTTTTGCTGCAATCCTATTGTGCCTATACCAACCAAGTGTATGATTGTTTCATACTTTTCACACAACAGTTTCAGACCCTATGTCTAATATTTATTCTGTTTCTTACACTGGTGTAACACAATGTATACAAGTAAATAAAAAAATTCAGCAATTTTTCAATTTGTAAAGAGGCATAACTCTAGAAAGGTAAATGTGACGCCACCCAAATTCAAACTTGATCTGTGTTTTGTGGTAATAAGCATTGTGTATAAGTTTCATAACATTTGGTTGAGCCAAACCAAAGTTAGAGAACAGAAAACAATTTTGGGACACACAGACGTACAGACGGACAAGGGTAAAACTTAATGCCCCCTCCTCTATGGCGGGGGCATAAAAATAATTCATTAAGTCTTGAATATGCATGAAATAATTGCCAATGGAGGTTATGCAAGCATCAATCAATAAATCAATCGATATAAGATTTAAATTTTAATACTTTGTGTTTACATTACCTTTAATGGTTGATTCAAACTGTGATGAAAATGAGCTATTACTTTCTGTTTTGATGTTACCTAACTCTCCTAATGGTAAACCTGTTGGTGAAAATTTAGGCTTTCTCTCTGTAAATATACAGCGTAAAACAAGTAAATATTCAGTAACTAGTTTTATGAATGACTTTAAGAGCCGTAGTACAAAAATGTACATATATGTAAATTTTTTCAACTTAATAAATATTCCCAAATTCAGAATTTTGATTGCACTAGTATGAATGTATTGGTTAATGTCATGAACAAATATATATATGCAGTTTAATGTTTACAAGACAAATCTCTTCAATAGAATGATTGATTGATTGATTGTTGGTGTTTAAAGCCACTTTCAGCTTTATTGGCTATATTGTTACTGCCAGTTTTTATTGCCAGAGGAAGCCAGTTATCAGAGAGAACCAACAATTTCAAGAAGGAAAACTGGCAATCCTAGTCAATTAAGATTGGCGTCCCAATGTTTTCTTTTATCTTTCTTTCTGTACATATTGCATCTCTCTCCTTCAAGTATTCCTTTAGTCATATTATAAATGCATTGGCATTTAAAAAGTTGGTATGCAAATTGTAATTTATTATTTTCTACTGGAAATAAGCTGGTTTTTAAACAGTTTATTGATGTGAAAATTACAATTTTTTTTTTAATGAAATGGAAATCAAATTTTGAACAAATCTTGTAAAAGTATAGCACAAAATAATAATTACTGCTTAATTGTACATATATTTAAATTAATTTCATGATTATATATCTTAGATGACTTACTCTTTCTGGGACCTTTATAAATCTGTGTCTTTCCTTTTCTTTTCTTACTAAATGGGGATTCTTTTACCAGTTTTGGTACAACAGGTACAGGTGATATTGGTTCAACTGTAAGAGAAAGACAGATATTATATCCTCACTTATACCTAAATTTTACAATAGGATTATAAAAATATACACAGATAAACTTTCATATACATGCATGTCTTATGGTCTTTTGTGTTTGTTGCTCTTAGACTATATTAGTTTGGCAGCAAGAATAGGCCTGTATTTGTCAAAATATATCAGTAATAAAACTGACCATTACATTTTCTTTTTTTTTCTCTATCAGATGAATTTGTTGCTTACTTCACCACTGGCCTGAAATATGCACAACGATATCCACTTTTTACTCTCTCTGCCATGGTATTTGCCAAAATACATGTCTTTTTACTCTTTCTAATGTGGTATTTGCCAAAGCATATATGACTTTTATTCCTTCTCTGCTATTGTATCTTCCATAACATATATGCCTATTCTTATGTTTTGAAACACTTAATTATTTGTGCACTTTGTTTAATGCTGCAGCTTTTGCTAACTTCTTTAAAGCTTAAAAATAATGGAATTATTCGATTTCTAACGTTCAATCTAGAATGAAATTTGATGTTATTAAATGGATATATCATGTTCAGTAGAGGTATTTGCGAAAAATAAAATCATTCCAGAGAAGAAACTTCCTTTGCCTAGTGTCTCAGGAAATTTTACCTTCTATTGACAAAAAAGGATTTACAAATACCCTTCTTAAACATGATATATTTGTTAAATATCCCCTCCTTTGGGGTAGAGGTATATTAAAAACTTGACTGAAGAAGGTATCTTGATAGATTGTGTTGCCAGGGTGCTGTTTCTTGCAATGGCTTCTCACCGATTGATCATTACCTCAATCCAAGCTTGAATAGGATATATATTACTCACGTTTGACCCTTGGCCCTTCTAATCCATAGTTCATGACCTCACACCAACCCACAGGATATAAATCAGCTGTTTCACAGTCGACCCACTGGTCATATGTAACCTCCCAACCATCAAAATGAATTCTCAATAAACGTCCTACAACTCGGCTCACAGTGGCTACACATATCAATCTGAAAAACAACATTAAATTTGTTTTAAAATGAATGTGGGAAGGCAGGAATGGAAGTTTGACTTTGGACATTGGGTGTGTGTGATTAATGGTTGTATGGTCATTTGTTGTATGAAAAATTTCTCAAAGTATTGTTTGGGGGATTTTTCAAGTCCATTTCTACATTCCAAACTCATTTTAATGGAAAAACTCCCATCAAGAAATGTTGCAAAATAGTAAAATCAATCTTTTGCACAAGTGCATTCATTTAATCAAGTTATTATCTCCCTTGAGCAATTAACATATTATTACAAACTAAACTTTCTACAGTACCTTGGTTCCATCAGATCAACAGCTTCAACTTTATTAGCAGGTTTGAAACCATGCTTTGGTATTTCCTGCAAAAGTGTTAAATATCTTAATGAATTATTATATAACCAACAATATTCATTTTAAGAATTAAAAATGGTATTTTAATGTCTTATTTGTAGTTGAGACATGTACAACCATTAATGCAATACACATAAGTCAACAGCTGTGACTAAAAATGTTTTGAAGAGTTCAATGAAAAATGTTATCATCAAAGAATGGGGCTCTGAAATAGTGAGATTGAGTCTTATACTCCTTTTAAGAATGAAAATACAAGAGAATTCCTATAGTTGATCATGATTGCCTTTTAGGGTCTACTTCCCATTTTCAAATGCCTTCCCAAAGTTCATCCTTATCAAAACTCTAAGCAATTTCAATGGAAATGTTCTCTTTCAAAATAGTTGAAACTTTTAAGATTTAAAGACCACTGAAAGCTAAAATAAGCTATCATCATTTCATTTCAACTGAATAGAAAGAATACAAATGAATACCTTATCAAATAGTTTAACGGGAGCTGCTGATGATTTTGTCTGTCGTAAATATTCAAACCATTTGAACTGCCCTTTATATCCTGTAATAACAAAACATATATTAACTCTATTCAATGGAGATGAATTTACACCCTTAAACATTATAAATAAGTGTTTACCTTTGCAGATAGGACTTCTAAGTTCGTGTTGCTCAGTCTTTTAGTTTTTTATGTTGCATTTTGTATACTGTTGTTTGTCTTTTGATCGTTTTTTGTTTTTTTGCCATGGCATTGTCAGTTTGTTTTCTACTTATGAGATAGGAAAGATCAGCCAATTTTTTTTTCCTTATTTTCAAGACAGTCATTGTCGAAATGACAAAATAGAAGGACAAATAATATAAAATATGAATTGACTGTTGCCTTACTGTACCCTAGTTTTTGACAAAAACTGTTATGTCTTTAGAAGTGAAACATCAATGTTTAAGTGTACATTATCCATCATATATGTAAAGATGTCTCCTAAAATAAACTATGTTTATTTAAATTCTTTCATCCAAAATAAGCAATCATTAACTGACTGCAAATTCTGTAATTTTCAAGTGACAGTTAACAAAAATTTACAAGAGATTACATTTCTCATAACTTACATTTCATACTTCATTAGCAAAATAAAATGTGGTAATAATTGCTAATGGAACAATTATATAATAAAATGATTGATTGATTGATTGATTGTTGGTTGCTTAACGTCCAGTGGCAAATATTTCATGCATATTCAGGACGAGAACAAGTTCACAATAAATACAATAGGTAGGTTCTGTAATAGATTAAGGGATTAAGGTCGGAGAAATTTAGACTGCCACGGGAAATGAGGGTATATTGGATAAGGACAGAAATTTAGCCTTGCAACAGGTCACCTACGGACCCCTCAAAGAGTTGTTGCAAGGGTTCTTAACGTGCAAAGAGCGTGGCACTCTCTTTACACGAGGCATCGGATTTAACGTCCCCATTCTGACCGGACGTGGCTGCAAATTTGTACATCCCGCACAGCCAAACGGACGCCCCACTTTAGCACGGGTTTTACTGCCGGTCGGAGGAAGACCAATGGTGACCATACTTCTATTCCCCAGTCACCCTTGGGGGTATAATAAAATCATAACCTATAAAGTAAGATGTATTTATAGCAGAATATTTTTATTCATAAATTTTGCACATCTACATATATTTACGATTGAATAAATCATATAAACAAAGCTTGTATACCACAGAAATAAGTATCCTCAAGCATCTTTTTTTTCAATTGCAATCATTGTTTGTTTACAAACCTCTAGGTGGTGTTAATTCTATTCCATTAACTTCACAAAATCCTACAGGGAAGATACATGGTGATGTAGAATGATAATTGAACCAATCTGTTCCATTCTGAGCTATAGAACCGTCTATTCCTATCATTAAATAGTTATTCTTCAGAACCTAAAAAATATCAATACATCAATTTCTTGTTTCTTTAAATACAGATTTCATTTTCTGAAGCTTTAATTTTCAAGAACTCAATTAGAAAAGAAATTGGTGCTTGTACCATTTCCCTTAACCATTTCAAATATATTTGTGTGAGCAACAGACTTGCTGAAATGATAATATTTATACCATAAATCATAACAACTAGTTCCATGTACAAACTGTATTTACCTTCATAACAGTGGCAACACATATTGCAGAAAGATTGAGTGGATCTATGGCTTCCAACTTCATCCCTTCTTGGAATTTGGCTCCATGAGGAGGTTCCTTCTTCTAAAAAATTTAAATGTTAATTTAGCAATCAAGAAAAAAATAGTATCTTAGAAAGTTATTTAACTTCATTAATATTATGCAAGAAGCCTCTGTACTGATTTGTATATATTTTACATTTTGTAGGTCTGGACAGAGCAAAGCTTTACTGAATGTGTTGTGAATACAATGACAGTTGCATATCTTCAATGTATATACAAACATTCTAAAAAGATGAAATATGCTGGCTTGAAACCTGCAGGAATTGATGATATGGGTATTCTTTACTGAGAATCCTGATTAAAATTGATAATTGATAATCAACCAAAAATAATGAAATAATCTATATGCAGAGTCAACGTGTTGAACAGTTGACAACAAAAGAGGTCTTTGGTAGATAGTTGCCATATTTCCTTATTTTCATATATAAACTACTAAATGACTGGTATATGTAATTTTACCATTAGTTGATAACTTTTTAGTCAAGGCTAGTTCATTAACATTGATGGGGGAGGGTAGGAAGAATTTTTTTTTAATTTGGACACGGCTAGAAGGTCAGTTAAGGATGAATATCATTGATGTGTGCATAGTTACTCATAGAAAGTATGTTGGTTTCTGGGGGTATTTTGTAGTCCCTTCCTATCCTACAAAATCTATTGCAATAGAATTTAGAATAGCCCTTACTGATATTAAAATAAACAAGAATGTGTCCATAGTACACGGATGCCCCACTCGCAACGTCATTTTCTATGTTCAGTGGACTGTAAAATTGGGATCAAAACTCTAATTTGGCATTAAAATTAGAAAGATCATATCATAGGGAACAAGTGTACTAAGTTTCAAGTTGATTGGACTTCAACTTCATCAACAAGTGAAACTGCGAGCTACTGCTCACTGATGATACCCCAGCCGCAAGTGGATAGTTTTAATAGTGTAAAAATATGTAAGTGTTCGGTAAACAGGAAGTTGTTGAGTGATGAATCTGAAAACGCATCACACGGTATAGCTGACTTATATAAATCCTGAAACCAAATTTCAGAAATCCTTATAATGTAGTTCCTTAGAAAAATTTGACGAAAATTTTCAAATTGGATGTCATGTGTAAAATGATGTAAGTGTTCGGTAAACAGGAAGTTGTTGAGTGATGAATTTGAAAACGCATCACATGGTATAGCCGACTTATATAAACCCTGAAACCAAATTTCAAAAATCCTTATGATGTAGTTCCTGAGAAAGATGCGACGAAAAATATTCATTGAACGGACTGACGGATGGACAGACAGAGGTAAAACAGTATACCCCATCTTTTAAAGCGGGGGTATAAAAACTACCTTGACCAAAAATTTAACCTGCCCACTCGCACGATCATATTCTTTCTTCAGTGGACCGTGAAATTGGGGTCAAAACTCTAATTTGGCATTAAAATTAGAAAGATCATATCATAGGGACATGTGTACTAAGTTTCAAGTTGATTAGACTTCAACTTCATCAAAAACTACCTTGACCAAAAACTTTAACCTGAAGCGGGACAGACAGACAGAAAAACATAATGCCCCTAGGTGGGGCATAAAAACACAAAAGTATCGATATTATATAGAAAATATTTTTATCTAAAAAAAAAAATTTTCTTCGACCACAGATTTATAAATGAGTATGGCTATGAACATGATGAAATAATATCATCAATTACTGTGTACATAATGGTGATTAATGTCTAAACATAAAATATATCTGAAATGTATAGAAATCAGTTACAGGTAAACTAACAATTTATATCATATGAATCCTCAAAATATGTTCTGTGAATGAATATCGATTCAAAGCATAAATGTGTCTTAAGTGAATTCAAATCTTGAAACATTAAATATTTTCTAGTAACTGACTTGTTTAACACTGTGTCCTACATACTGACCTTTTCGAACATATCAGGTGTGACATCATCAGGATCATACTTGTCCATGGTTATTTTGTTTAAACATTTTGATCTGTATTCTAAAAAGAAAATACAAAAAAATGATGATTTGTTATCTATACAGACAGAAGTTATGACAATAGTAATTATCAGCAATTTAAGCTCTGAACCAAAATCACATTTAAAACATTTCATATTGCACTGAAAACCATATTACAGAATGCATTTTTGGAAGACTGATGGGTTTTTCTTTTTTCAATAACCTTTATCTACTGAGACATCATTCATACATTTCATTACATATAATTTTTAATATTTTTTAACATATAACTAATGTTTTTATTTCTATATTCCATCAAATAATATCTGTATTTATATTCTTGTTTAAATATTTCATAAACATTTCCCAGATTTGTCTTATTATTTGAAATGCAATTACATATGTGCAGAGTGAATAAGATAACTGTCAAGAGATGGTTAATATCATTCAATGAGTTGTATTGTATTTTATATCCTACTACCAAATGTTTTAAATTCATTATTTATTTATCAATATGAAGTTTATTAAATAGAATACAAATCTTATTCCAAAAGTCTTTAAAATAAGTACATTCTATGAAATTATGTTGATAAGTATCTGGTACCCCACATACTGAACACAAATTGGTGTCCTTGATTTTCCATGTGGAAAGATGTGTACCTACAGGTAATATATCATGTAATAATTTCCATTGAATCATTTTCAATTTATTGTCCTCTAAGTAATTAAAAATAAAATAATATGTGTATTTGATAGAACTATATAAATATCTTTATTATTATTTTTTTGAAGTTTAAGTTGTCTTCTTTTTGCAATATGTTTTCCAACAATTTGGTATACTCTGTCTTATTTGTATTATTTCAGCAATCCAATTTCTTTTACATTTTAACTTATTTAAGATTTTTCATTTGATATTCTACCTTTTTCATCAATTATGTTATTCACATAGATTATGTTGTCTTTTATCCAACATGTCCAATGATTAAAGATCAAACTATGCCCGTTTATCTTTATATATTTATTACCCAATATTATTTGTTGTCTGATGGTTCTAAAAGTTTTCTAGTTTATTAGTTTGACTGCCTCCATATCTTACCCATGTTTTAAGCATTTCAAAGTACAAATAAGGGATTTTGCTTTTTTGGTAATTAATGGATTTTTAATTATCCAGATTCATGTTAAATATAAGAAAATTTGATCTGTTCTGATTTAAGTAAAATGTTGGAATAATTTTCCAATTTGACTGTTACCTTCCATTAATCTTTTCATTATTTAATTTCTATTGAATCAATAAACTTACCAATATCTATCATTCCTAGTCCTCCTTCAGTTTTTTTCCTATTTCTTTTTTTTTATTTTTTCTTGTTTATGGTCCCAAATGAAGTCATAAATCATTTTTTTAAACTTATATAATGAATCTGATGGTACTTCATTATATTTAGATGTAACAAACATATGACACATTAATCAAATTCCATATCAGCATACAATTATAATAAAATAGTTGACAATATCAAGTCCCCTTAAGCAAGTACTTAACAGTGACTTCTTGATAAGAGAACAACCGATTGGGTTAGCCCTAATCAATGACTTTTACTACCGTAGAAAGGCCTGTATAGTTCGCACTGGTACATAGTCCGCACCCTCTTCTCCCCACGAAATTTTAGGTAAAAAAACTTTTTGTAACTGTTAGAAAAGGTCTAATGAAACTCCGGTAATTTCAAATCCTGTGCGGTCGTTTGCGGTATTTTCTTGGAAAAACCTATTTTCCATCATCAAACAGAAGCTGAAACTGCTTGTAAATGATTCTAGAACGCTTCATGATTATTAAAATAAGTTTAATTCACTTAAAAAACAATTTAGAAACTTGTGTATGTTCAAACAGGAAGTTTAAAAAGCACGTGTAAAAGAAGAAATTAACCGGTGAGAGTCGAAATCCATACATAACAGATATCACTATAATACGACTTTGAAAGTAAAACAGTTCCATCCTTTTGTAAAACAGTCTTTAATATATCTATCACATTAATGTTTGAAGGGTCTTAAGCTAATACAAACCATATTAGTCAGTATGAAACACCAAAACGGAACGAACAATAACCGATTACGTTTTGTAGTTTACAAATTCTAAGCTGGTTTACGGTTGTCTTTTGCACTATGTTTGTATCGTTTCAATCAAGCAGATACCAGTTTATTTCAACCAATGCATTGAAAAGAAACAAGAAATTTGTAATGAAAGGTTTAGTTTTTATATTTATCAGTATTAATTTGATATTGAATAGAAATAACTTATTAATATGGATGAGTTAAAATTATTAGTTTGAAAAATGATGAGCGCCCTCTACAATATAAATAACAAAGATGGCGGAACGTAAACAAACAATCTCGCCCGCGAAATTGAAATTTTTCTCTTGTTTCTTGCTTATTGTACTCTATAGTCCGCACCCCGCCTGGAAGGTCCAATTTTGGAAAATAAAACCGCGGACTATACAAGCCTTTCTACGGTATGCTAACAGATAATGTAATCATTTTAATTAAAGGCCTCTCTTTTCTTTCTATTACATTTTGATTGTAAGCATATTCAATGTATAATAATCATCTTAAATTGATAATTTATGACCAGCTAACCTTGTGTAGCATGCAGTTTATGTCCTGATGTCTGTGACCAGCCTATAGGGTGAACTAATGGAGATCTCATATGGCACCAGAACTCATCGATCTCTTCCTGCAAAGCAAAAAAAATGCTTATATATTTATTCAAAGCTTTCATATATTACATCTATGTAAGGGCTATGCCAGAAACAAGAAAAAACAATATGGGGTAGTTGGAAGGTACTTTTTTTTTCAAGGCCATCACCCATACAATTGCATTTTGATTTGCATAGATAACCACACAATTTGAAACCATCCCCCACCCATAAAAAAATAATTCAAGTGCCTACCCCAAAATATCTATTTATCATTTTACTAACTTGGATTAATCAAATTTTGACTTGCTTATCATTTTTTGCTACATTTTCTGAGTGATGTAATTCCTAGTGTAAATGACCTACCTTAGAATCAGTGTAATGTAACCTTAGTCTTCCTCCTACAACTTCTTGAACTTTAGCTACTTTCATGGCAGAGACACACATTTTATCAACTACTTCTAACTGCATACCTTTCTTGATTGGAATGTCATTGATACATTCTACAACCTTAAATAAATGGAAGTACAACTTTTAATCAGTCAATCTTTTATTTTATTAAATAAGAGCAAGTTTGCAATTTTAACACTTTTTGATTTCCTAGTGAAAGTATTTTATCCACCGACATTTTTAATAAGTGTGTGTGTAATTTTTTTTCATTCCTATCGGGAGTTATCACTAATTGGAGTAAGTTTTATATATTGATTTAGTTAAATAATATGTCAAAAATATGAACCATTCTCCAATGCTTTGAACATATTTTTCTTTTCTAAGTTTGAAAATTCTATTTGTCTGTGAATTTTATTCAGATTTTTAAAAGTATCCACTAGAGTTATGAATTTTGACAATGTTGCATGTGAAAAATGTTACTGCTTACTATACATTCAATAAAAAACTAACAACATTTTTATAGACATCTTAAATATTTTTCAATAATATTGACCTACCTTGTTATAAAAGTTACTGGGAAGAGTTCTAGCTCCAGTCAATCTTTTGATTAAATACTCCTTCCAGTCAATATATTTGTCCTGGATACCTGAAAACATAAAAGTAACTTCTAACAAAGAGTTTACAGAGAGTTATGTTGGAGATAAAAAAAAAAAAACAGCATCCTGACATATAGAATTTTCAAAAAGTGTCTTTCTTTTCAAGTTGTTAAGATAAAAGTAAAATTTGAGAGGGCTATTAAGAAATATAATTTCAATTTGTTTTTTTCTATAGTGTAGATCTTACATGGTGGCCAGTTCTTTAGACATACATGTACAGTGTACAGTGACCTATAGATGATAACTTCTAGTCTTTTGGTCTCAGGTGGAAAGTTGCCTCATTGGCAATAATATCAAATCTGCCTATTCTATATATTCTATATGTGTTTATACAAATTAAGAAAAAAAAAATCTATTTTTATAGTTTGCTGTCAAACACTGGATTAATCTATGCTTGAACACTTACATTTTGGTGGGACTAATGGTTTGCCCACAGTTGCACACCATCCTACAGGGTGAACATCTTGTGTACAAAGATTAATCCAGAAATCATATGTTGACTCATTTCCAAATCCTTCAAACCTCATCAGAGCTTTGTATCCTGCAAAATTTAAATAACCATTTGTTTATCTAAAAAAAAACTGCTTTGTATCCTACACAACCTAGTTTTAATTAATTAATTTATAAAGTACAGAATATGATTAGCTCTCTTTACAATCAACCTTTTAAACAGATGTCTGTATTAACATGTCAATCAAGAATGTTGATGGTTGACTGGTTACTTGTCTGCCTTCCTTGCAATAAATATATGTTCATGGATTCAAATGAATACACATACAGAAAGAATATTACCTGCTACTTTAACAACTGTAGCTATCCAGAATGCATGTATGTCACACAGATGGTTCTCTAATTCAACTTTCATACCAGTGTTGATATTCTGCCAGTGGTCAGACATTGGACACTAAAAAAGTATATTATAGGTTAAGTGCAGGACATTGTCTTGTGACTTGAACTTCCTTTTCACTTAAATTCAACTATTATATGTGCACGAAAAAAAGTCAAATTGAAAAATTGAAACTTGAATTTGATGTTATGTAACATGTATTTGATTCAAAAAGATGGATAGGCCAGATAACAGACACTTTAGATTTTTCTTTATTAGTTATATTTTTTAAAGAAAAATAATATTAGAATATGTCCAAGCCCACTTTTTTCTTTATAAACAAACAGATGGCACAAGTGGTCCCCATGAACTAATCTGCCAATGTTTGGTACACAACAATTAATTAAAAAGTAACTTACATGTTTAAAACATGTGATTGGTGCTGCATCACTGCCTGTTTGTGCTAAGTAAGGGCCCCAGTCAAAGCCTTTCATTCCTCCTGAAATTAAGATAAATGTGTTAACTTATCAAAATGTCCATATGTATCTGTTTACTATAAATAGGTATATCCCAAATATGTTAAAAAAAAATGAATATATATAATAAAGGATCAATCAAATGAAAAACTTATGTAGTATTTAGAAATTTCTTTTCTGGTCGGACAGTTCAAATTTTTTTTTAATTGTTTTACCACTTTTATATTATTAAATGATAGAAAATGCATTGTTCAACTTACATTTCACTGGTCAAGGAAACGTGCATTAAGGTTCTAAACCATTACATACTTTAAAAGTGAACACCCATACCCATATGGTATGATCATGTATGTTTTACCTGGTCTTTTTGTTACTGTTTTTGGATAAAGACTCTGAACTGGTTGTGGCAGTTTGCTAGGAATATTCATCTTTTTTCCTGGAATCTTTTTCTGTAAAATATAAACCAAATAAGTAAAGAACCTTTATATTTATGTGTGATTGTGAACCAGATATTTATTTATAATACTGTAGTTAAAACATCAAGGACCAGAAGTATGTGATTCAAGTTTAATCATTACAATGAATTGTTTTGGAATCTCCTGCAGCATGAAACAGTTAACTTCATTTCAGAGTTTCTTGCACTGATCCTAAATTTTGTTTGAAATTTTCTCTTATATCTTTCAATAAGTCTTTTCATCGTTAACAATTAATTATGTATAACTTAACAATGGTGAACCACTTAGGCAAAACAAATCCCTTATAATAAAAGCTTCTTAGACCAATTTAAAAAAAATCTAGATGAAGCAAATAAGCACTTACTGTAAACGTGGAAATTAACACTTATTTCACGATCACATAAAATGCCTGAAAATGTCCTGGGTGAATGATTTGTATATTAAAACAATAATATTAATTTGAAGAGCCAACTAATCCTTAAATTATTAGTCATTGAAATCTTGAAAATATCCCCTTTTAAAGTATATTATTTTTTTTCCATTTAAAAAAAGAAATGTATATTAGCATGACAGATATAGATATAAATGATGAATTCAATGATTGGCATTTGTTCTAACCTACCTGTGGGGTCTTGTCGAATGTTGTCAAAGGTTTCCCTTCCCGTTTTGCTGTAGCAAAGCTCCTGGAACACGATAAACTACAAAACCTCTTGGACTTAGAATAAAATGCATGTTTTATGCCAACTGATCCACATCTCTCACATGTAGCTAAACAATTAAAAGATATATGTTCAATGTTGTAAGATATACAAATGACACTACATAATTTTACAAGATTCTTACAATCAAATCATAGACATTTCACAATCTCTTTATCAGTGTTCCCGCCTGCCCTAAATAGAAGGGTGGCCCGCCCTTGGTGCCCTTACCCCCGCCCTTCTGCCCTCCAAAGTAAAAGAATGCACCCCTCTGCCTTTTCAAAAAAATAAAATTTCCAAATTTCATGCCTACCGGAAACGTTTCCGGTAAAATTGTTACCTGATTGTGTAACATAATTAACTGACAATGGGATTAAGTTAAATACCTAATGCTTTGGCAGTTTTATCACCTTTGTTAATGATTGTTTACTGCTAATTAGTGGATTTAAGATAATTGAACAAATACTAGATATTTAATACAGAATGAAATGTCCACATGTTATCCATTTGTAATGTTTATGTACAGCATGTACACCTGAAAAAATTTATTTCAGTAGACATAACATAAAAAATAAAATCATAAACAATTTCAAAGGCATAGTTTTGACTTAATTGGTAAAAATTGTTTTGTTTCATAACCATGAGTATGAAATTTAAAGAAGAATCAAAGATATTTGTACTTTGAACATAACAAGGTTCACTTCCTGTGTTACTCCTTGTATTTTATAATCCTCCTGACATAGGAGCACTCAACAAATTTATTTTTAACAATGATGGAGAAAAAAGTAACTGTTTATACCTTCTGCAATATATTATTGCATTTATATAATATGATCATCTACAGTCTCACCTGTTATATTTATAAAACTTCTTACTGAGGAGCACTTTGGTGTGCACTTAAAAATACTTTTTTGTAACAATTCAAATGATAATAAATAACTCTCAATAACATATATACTATATGTTTGAACAAGTAATTTAAATGTAGATAATTTAATTACATTAAACATTCAATTTTGCATGTATAACTCCATCTTTCAAAACTACTTGTTTATTTTTATAGACTGGTATAAGTTATAAAACATTGAAATTTCTGATGATTATTTTCCTTACCAAATGTACAAGTTTGTTTAGATTAACATCAAAATGATATGCTTTGCTTTATGGTATGATAATTTGATAGAAAAAAAATCTTACTGGAACCAACATCAAGAACACATTAATTTCTGAATATGGTTTAAATACAACTAATGTTCTCCAGCTGCATGAGCCTAGTAATATTCAAGGTAATTTATACACTGTCCAACAGTGCCCTTAAAATCTGGGTTATAACGCTAAAGTGCCCTTTCAGACAACTAGCACCCTTCTGCCCTGAGATTCAAGCTGGAACACTGCATTATTCAATTGTAATAAACGTATCCCTCCTCTATGCAGATTAAAAAAAAAAAAGATAAAACAAACTTCTTTCATACTACCAAGTATAATTTTCACAGCAAAAATGTATAATAATAAAGATATGTCAGAGAGGCAGCATCCCAACAACATTATAAAACTCAAAAGAACAACATAGTCTTAAAAATCATTAATCTGAACAGGTAAACACAAGACATTTTGCTTTATAATGTTTAGGTTTAAGATTTAAATTTTTGGTATTGACATTAGTGCATGCCTACCCATTCCATCTTTGCCATTCATGAAACGATACTGAGTTTTCTGTTTTGTTGATGCTGGGAAATATGTTTCATCATCCTCATCATCACCTTCATCTGAAGAACTTCCACTGCCATCTTGGTAACTGTCATATCCGTCATACACACCTAGTCCAGAAAAATATTCTTCTTCACCCTGTAGACATAAATTTGTGACATGGATAAACAGGAATGTGTCAATAGTACACGGATGCCCCACTCGCACTATCATTTTCTATGTTCAGTGGACCGTGAAATTGGGGTCAAAACTCTAATTTGGCATTAAAATTAAATATATCATATCATAATGATCATACGGAACATGTGTACTAAGTTTCAAGTTGATTGGACTTCAACTTCATCAATAAAATGCTCCGCTGGGGCGCAGCTTGATACGACCGCAGAGGTCGAACCCTGAACAGTTGGGGCAAGTATGGACACATCATTCAAGCTTGATACAGCACTGAATTTGGATTGTAATTAAATATTTGACACAGCATAGGTTTCTGACACAGAATGAAAGTGGTCTAAGAACTTAAAAATTTTCAATTTACCTATTCATACATGTGATGGACTGTGAAACTCAGATCAGGAGATTGGGAAATTTTGGTCAGGAGATTAGGACTCAGATCAGGAGGTTTTTAATCGACATTAATTTTGTTGTAAATGTAACCGTGTGCTGTAAAAATGGTCTTTTAAAGTGTGTTTTCTTCAACTTTCCAACCAATTTATTATGTTTATAGTACCCTTGTACTTATAAAGTTTCTCCATCTTTATATTCTACATGTTCAATCTAACATTGTTTTTTTCCAGTATGTTCTTTAAATTTTTTACTTCATATTCTATAAAACAATCATTGCAACCAGAACATTTGTTTAGCTGTCTGCAAATAGTTTTTAATTTTTTTTTTTTCTCTTGCAAATAGTTTTTATTTGCAAACTCAGAAATTCATTCTATCTGTAAAGTTAGGGTCATAGTTTTTATATAAATTTCAATTTAAGCCTTAAAAGGAAGTATAGAATCCTCAAATAATTTTCAAATTATTATTTTTTTATTTGTCCTAAGACATTTAAAATTATTTAATAACCATCCTTTTATGATTATTTGTTCAATTTATATTTTATTTATATTCTTTTAAAAATTTTCATTATTAAAAGGAAAGTAACTTAAAACAGGATAAATCAAGGGAAGTAACCCAATAAATACACAGTTTTTGTTACACAACGGCAGTTAGTCTGAGGTAAAAATCGTTGCTTACCAGTATGTTTGACACCCAAGCTGACAAGTGAAGCCATATAATTATGCATGTTAATTGATTTACAGGTAAAATATAACTTCAGCTAATGTCAGTTACACCAGATGCCTGAGATGTTATGTTGGGCAGAAATTTTTCATTCATGAAAAATTTCATACACAGGATTTTTTTAACGGGAGGGGGAGGAGACCCCTGAAAACGGGATTATTGTATTCCCGTCGGGAGGTTCACATGTATGCCTATTCAAACCATATCATTATTATTTGCTTTTATATATAAATCAGAAATAACCAATTTAAAATGGAAAATGTTAAAGAAAAAAAAGGAAAAAAAAAATCCCCCCCCCCAATTTTTTGAACCCCCTTATGATTCATCGCCCCCAAACTCAATCCCAGCTTTCCCTTTGTGGTATGGTACCTTGCAGTACAATTTCAGAGAGATTCATACACTTGAACACAAGTTATTGTCTGGAAACTAGAAAAATGCTTGTTTTTTGGCCCCTTTTTGGCCCCAAATTCCTAAACGTTTAGGGCAATTACCCCCAAACTCAATTCCAGCTTTCCCTTTGTGATATGGAACCTTGCAGTACAATTTCATAAAGATCCATACACTTACACACAAGTTATTGTCCTGAAACTAGAAAAATGCATGTTTTTTTTTGCCCTTTTATGGCCCCTAATTACTAAAATTTTGAGGGAAAACCCCCAAAATCAATCCAAGCCTTCCCTTTGTGATATGGAACCTTGTAGTACAATTTCATAAAGATCCATACACTTACAAACAAGTTACCTGTTGGTGGCCTTCTGCTGTTGTCTGTTCTGTGGTCGGGTTGTTGTCTCTTTGACACATTCCCCATTTCCATTCTCAATTTTATTGTCATGAAACTAGAAAAATGCTTGTTTTTTGCCCCTTTTTGGCCCCTAATTCCTAATATTTGGAGGAAATTACCCCAAAAATCAATCCCAGTATTCCCTTTGTGATATGGAACCTTGTAGTACAATTTCATAAAGATCCATACACTTACAAACAAGTTAGTGTCATGAAACTAGAAAAATGCTTGTTTTTTGCCCCTTTTTGGCCCCTAATTCCTAAAATTTGGAGACAATTACCCCCAAAATCAATCCCAGCATTCCCTTTGTGATATGGAACCTTGTGGTACAATGTCAGAGAGATCCATACACTTACACACAAGTTATGTCTGGAAGTTACAAAAATGCTTATTTTTGGCCCCTTTTGGCCCCTAATTCCTTAACTGTTAGTACCATAACCCCCAAAATCAATCCCCACCTTCCTTTTGTGGTATTGAACCTTATGGTAAAATTTCAATGAGATCCATTCACTTAAACTAAAGTTAGAGTGCGAAAACTAATGTGTATTCGGACGACGACGCCGGACAACGATGACGACGCCAACGTCATACCAATATACGACCACAAACATTTTTTTGCGGTCGTATAAAAACTACCTTGACCAAAAACTTTAACCTGAAGCGGGACAGATGGACGGATGAACAGATACACAGACCAAAAAACATAATGCCCCTAGTTGGGGCATAAAAGTATATTATATATATATATTATAACAATATCTTGTGGGTTGTTGTCCTTTTTATCTGAATGTTTTTATCCTTAAAGAATTTAGTGTTTATTGCAGAACTTTGGAAGTTTCTATAAAATATATCAACAAGTTGTCTACATTTGAAGTGCTTAAGTGCTTGAATGTCTTGGAATATATGGAATATGGTATAATTAAGGGAGAATCAATTAACAGACGTTTCCATGTACCTCAATACTTCCTCGGTTCTATTTTGAATTTCTGCATATACAGTGTTCTCCACAGGCCCTTAAAGGACCGCGGGCCCGTGATGTATAATTTTTGACCGTGGTGCTAAAATTTTCAGTAAAAAAAAATTGTAAATCGGTAAAGTTTTAAGCGATTTGTTAAATTTTTTCCGTGTGGGATAAAATTCCAGGTGAAATTTGACCAGTTCAAACCAGTTTACCCAGATTGTTGACACCACGTGATCGATTTACCTTATGAGGTTAACCTTGTTGATTGGATTTAATCGATGTAATTAACACTTGTTACATTATTCTTTTGTGTTTTAATTAGTAGTTCATAACTGTATGATCACTGATAACTATTTTACGGCTTCACTCACAACCCAAGCGCTGACCTGTGGCAAGTCTGTAAATACTTTGTACACAAACAGTGTGAACCCAATAGTTGCACACACGCCTGTACATTTTTTGTACATAATAAAGTTGGCTCATTAGTATAGTATAATATGTCTGATTAAACCATGGTCAAAAATTGTCTTTAATAATGACATAGTTAGTGCATGATATCGGGTTTCAAACTAGAGTATCTGTGAAGGGGACAGACATATGTACATATCACATGACCCAGTTAGTTCACGTAGAATATTTAAGTTTATTTGCAATTAATTGCAATCTATTCTATTTGATAAATAAAATGTATGACTGTACCTTCAAATTGGATATCTATATCCACAATTAATGAATAACAGAAGTAATCTTGCAAATTTTATCCATAAGCACATGTTAAATCTATTTATATCTACTTCCTGTCATTTAGGCGGGAAAAATAGGGAGACTTTGTTGTTGACATTGAATATGGTTACTTATAGACCTAAGATAAATTTAAAGATTTAGGAATTCTTTTTAAATGATCATGACAAATAAAGATTTAGATTTCAGTGTAGTATTAAGCCTGTATCAATGTTTAATTATCACCAAAGACAAGAAAGGTAACTATTTACATGAAATCTATGGCAATTTTTTTTAAATTTATGAAAAATTTCTTTTTTTTTTAAATTTAAGATAGAAACTGGTTCAAACATTAAATCAATATTTGTTCTTGTTATTTAATATCTCCTTATGAAAAGAATCCTTTCACATACAACTTTCTTTCTAGAAACTATAAAATTTTTCTAAATTTTTTTTTAAATTCAAACATTTTTGGTCTTCTTTGAATGATATTTTATTTTTATTGATCATGAATTTTATAAAAGAATTGATTACTTTAAATTCAGATGAATATTTTGTAATGAATCATGTTTTATTTATTTAAAAAAAATATTAAAGTATACAAACTGTTTATTGATTTACTTCTTTTTTTACCAATGTCTACATAACACAGTACCACAGTGTTAAAACAAAACAAGAGACATACTGCAGTAACTAGAAATATAGCTAAGCGACGCGACACAACTGATTGTATGAATCATTTCACCAAACTGTCCACACGCGTTACCCTGGTGCTATCCAAAAATCCTGGGGAGAACACTGATATATTCAGTTTCCCTCTTGACCTGTTGGATATTTTTATGTTCTCCTTGTGTGTTATACAAATGTAATTATATGGACATTTTTCCAAATGAGGATATTATGATAATTTTATCCATTGTAAAATCTATTCTAAAATATGTTGTCAGATTGTGCTAACAGGTCAAACTTGTCTTTTTACAATGAAAACCCACAGGATGTTTTGGTTAACGAGCCATGAAGAAGTATTAATGACATAAACTAAACCATGACAATTGCATCCAAAATCAAATGGTAACCACAAATTCATTCTGTAGACAAATTGTCTCATCTCTAGGAATGGTCATTTAAGCAGTGTTGAAGACCAATCTTCAGTAAAAGAGGTATACAAAAAAAGAAACGATAACCTTAAAACAGTTACAAATGTTGATATGCAATTCTAATGAGAGGGGTTTAAAATATAAACTTACTCCTACATTGCTTCCTCCATATACAGAATCAGATCTGGAATCACCAATACTCATGTTGGAATCTTCCTGTTTCTGGAATGAGTCTACAGACATATTTGACTCTCCTGCTTCTGTAATGGAACTCCATCCACCCCAGTCTGAAGGTAAATAATCATCTTCATGTTTATTACAAATAACTGAAATTAGTTTGTCAATTACTACTAACAGCCTCAATGGTTTAGTGCTTGTCTAGTCATGCTAATGTGTTGGAGGTCGTGAGTTTGATCTCTTGCTAGTTCAATCCAGATATTTACTAATCACCAGCATATCAGGTCGAACAGCTATATGATTTCATCAAATAAGGTGACAGAAGTTTTCAAATCGTAGTTAAACTGTATAACTTCACACATTGACAATTGCAATATGGTGGAAGTTCCGTTAAGCGATATGTAAAATATCACAACAAGACTAATTTTCAGGAACGAAACCATTAGAATGCATATATCTTTGTTCTTAATTGACTTGCGAATAAAATTTTTATCATAAATATATTCATTATTTTAATAATTAATTTGTACGTAGTCATAGTCTGCCAGATTGGACTAAACAATATTATAAGTACATGTTCTGTTTTATTTTATAAGTACTAAATATAATAAGTCCAAAAGAACATAATATACATATGTTATCCTTCACATCACAAATGTAGAACAAATGTGTTAAAATACAGATGCATTAAATTAAAACTTTCTTTACAGCAATACTTAAGTAAATTGTTTTGTTAGAAATGAGGCCATTAGTTTTCTCAATTGAATTGTTTCATATTTTTCAAGTCTTTTATAGCTGACTATACGGTATGGGTTTCTTCTCATTGTTGAAGGCCGTACAGTCGCCTATAATTGCTTACATCCACTTCATTTGAACTTTGGTGGATAGTTGTCTTATTGACAATCATTCAACATCTCCTTATTTTTATATTAAGATCCTCATTTTTCTTAAGACATTTGTACATACCTGGTTCTATTGGATCCTGAAAAAGACAAGAAAATTGAAGATTTCATTTGTGAACAAAAAAAATGCTCTTTAAAGAGTTACTTTTAAATGTTAATCTACTAGATACTGGAGTGATAATAAAAACATAAGGATACATTTTTACAGCGAATGTTGTCAAGCCGCTGTTTTTTTATGACAATTGCCTAACATGTACCGGTGAAATTGAAATACGTCCTGAATAAATGAAAATATGAGCCTGCGAGCTTTACAGTGCAGGTCCAATGTTACAGAGAAAGACTGTGTGGATGTCTTTCTTCCCTTTGGTCACTTGCTTTTCTTAATTGTAATCATAATAATCCCCTTTACCACCTGCATTTGTGTGAACATTGATTTCATCATGATTGACCTACACATATTTTGCATATTGTAATTAGAAATTTTAGCGCATTTGTATGCAATTATTTAATATAAATTTGACATCTTTGACGACTTTTTTTTATTGATAAACAGGTAAAAATGACCATGACAAATAAGATTAAAACTTAAAAAGAGCTTGCTTGTGAATTGTCTCTAAATTTTCATTGCTTATATCCCTAATTATAATGGAGCCACTAGGAAATATATATGCATAGAGGGCCATGGTGCATTGAAGGTATCGGGTCCATTCGCTCCCAGAACAGGGTGGTCCCCTCAGGCCTTGAGTTCGTAAGGTTGAATTATTAGATGTTTTTTAGATGTATACATCCAAATATTTATATTTTCATGAATAAAAATTAATGAATTTTCTAAATGAAGTATTGTTTATTTGTGATAAGATGATAAATTCTCAAATGGTAATTATTCATAATTACTGTTAATTGGTATTTACAATGTTAATTTGGTATTATTGTTATGTGTTTGAAAATCATAATTGTTGTAATAACTTTAGCTTTGGTGTAGTCACCCTAAATATTGTATTGCTCTTTTTTAGTTGCTGTCATTGCAATGTCCTTGTGATGAGTTCGATAGCGGTTTGATATCTTTTGCCTTTCTATTACATATCTTAGATGACTGAACTTGGTCTTTGATCATCATGACAAAATCTTTCATTCATTTCATCAAAATAATTCACAAAACACTAAAGGAAACCTGTTTTCGTGTTTAGAACGTCACTTATTTGTGAAAACAATAAAAAAAACTTGTTAACTTTAATTTACAGCGATATCTGCTACTAATTTCCCAAAAAACCTTACAAGGAATTTTTTTTCGTAAGTCATGAACAGTTCTGAATAACTTGCGATCAATTTTAGTCATAAGATTTTTGTGTGAAAAGTTATTTCTGTTTTTGGGGGATATACAATTCATTTGAAATTTGATGTTGAAGAAGAATGTGTCTAAGGACACAAATACCCCGCTCAAGTTTGCTTATATATAATATGTGAAAATACTTTTAGGACGGACGGTCAAGGGGAACACTTAATGACCCCTTCACCTTCGGTAGGGGCATAAAAAGTAATCAAATTGGTCTATAGGGTATACTAAAATGATCCCATATGCTATTTCATTGTCGACACAAAATTGCACTCCCCTATAAAATTCAGCTTTCTTACTTTCTTTTAAACTCTAACAAAAGCACACTCACAAGTCTTAATACAAAATGGATTACATTGATACATTATATTGTAAGATGTGAAAAACTGCAGGGCAAAATAAAAGTTGGCAGTCATCCAAAACTACCCAGTTTCTTCTGATGATTTCCAAGTAGTGTACAACATGAGAAAACATAAAATTTTCACTTGAAATTATCTAATGACACGAATTGACTAAATAGAACCATTAAATTGTCATATTTTTGTGTTAACTGTCATTTAAAAACAGCTTGTCAAAATGTAAACATTCAGCAAAATTGACACGACCGCAAAGCACAACATAAACAAACCCTTATTTCCATGCATGAACCCATTTTTGATAGAATGCTCTTACCATTTAGTTATCTGAAAGACACTTAATGACTTCTAGACGTTGCACAATAAATTTGTAAATATGCAATCATCTACCAGCGTTTTGCAGACTCAAAATAACATTGTCTGCTACACGGTGCCTGGATTTCAGGGACAAACACAAGTCTCTGTAGGACAACACGCATGCGTACAAATTTACTGGGGGAACGTTACAAATAATTTAATTGGACAATTTATTCATAAACTTGAGAATGTTAGAGTTTCAACCAATCAAAGAACCTGGTACAACAGATCCATAAAAGGTTATCACCGCGAAATAATGTTGCTATCACGCTTGCGCTAAAAGGTAAACTTCCGGAGACAACAGACATGTGCCATTGACCTATTTTGAAAGGGCTGTTAAAGCATAGAAATTTCCAGTCTCCAACAGGAATGTAATGATATATATTTATGCTTACATTTTTAATGTCAGATCAACCCTAGAATTATAACAAAGGGATCAACCAAAAATTTGTCATCTATTATTGGATTCTGTGTCCACTGTCTCAGTGTCTGACACTGACATGACTGAGTGGGTTGCCAAATTATATGATGATGATGATTAATATAAAAAGTAGGAAAATGTGTAATGTCTTCACAACAGACAATAGTGCTGCTCAAATATTTTTGGCAGCCCTAGTGTATACCTCTCTATTTTGACCATTCTATTCTCATAACATGTATCTGTATGCCCCACGGTATCGGGTCTGTTCGCACCCAATACACATTCGCACCCTACACGTTCGCACCCCACACAATAGCGCTGCTCAAAAATTTATGGCAGCCCTGGTGTATACCTCTCTATTTTGACCATTCTACTCTCATAACATGTATCTGTATGCCCCACGGTATCGGGTCTGTTCGCGCCTATTACACATTCGCACCCTACACGTTCGCACCCCACACGTTCGCACCCTGGGTCTGTTTGCATCCTACATGTTCACACCATTTTTTTTAATTCAAAAACCTGATGAATTGTTAGATGTATATATCAAAATATTTTTATTTTCATAAAAAAAAATCATGAATTTTTAAATGAAATATTGTTTTAAATTGATTTGATGATTAATTATTACAAGGTGTTTACACAGCTAAACTTGGTGTTATTGTTATGTGTTGGAAAATCGTGATTATTGTTATAACTAGCTTTGATGTAAATTTTGCATGTACTAAACATGTATCTAGCTTGGTATGAGTAAATACAATGAAGATTCAAAATGTTATTAGTCCCCTACCAATGAAGTTGAAGGGGACTTTAGGTTTGCACTCTGTCCATCCATCAGTCCGGCAAATCAGTTTTCTAAACTTTTTTTCTTCGAGCTTGAAGATATTGATTTAAAGTTTGGTGTATTGTTTTATCATGACAAGTTAAGGTCAAGTTCGAATTATGTTCCGATCTGATGATTTTGTGCAGAGTTATGGTCCTTGGACTTAGAAAATTTACTCAAATAATCAGTTTTCCTCATTTTTGAGCTCACCTGACCCGAAGGGCCAAGTGAGCTTTTCTCATCACTTGGCGTCCGTTGTCGTCGTTAGCTTTTTACAAAAATCTTCTCCTCTGAAACCACTGGGCCAAATTTAACCAAACTTAGCCACAATCATCATTAGGGTATTTAGTTTAAAAAATGTGTCCGATGACCCTGCCAACAAACCAAGATGGCCGCCATGACTAAAAATAGAACATAGGGGTAAAATGTAGATTTTGGCTTATATCTCTGAAACCAAAGCATTTAGAGTAAATCTGACATAGGATAAAACTGATTATCAGGTCAAGATCTATCTGCCCTGAAATTTTCAGACAAATCTGACATCCTGTTGTTGGGTTGCTGCCCCTGTAATGGTAATTTTAAGGAAATTTTGCGACTGCAAAAAAAATTTTTTTTGGTATGACGTTGGCGTCGTCGTCGTCGTCGTCGTCCGAAGACACATTGGTTTTCGCACTCTTACTTTAGTTTAAGTGAATGGATGTCTATGAAATTTTACCACAAGGTTCAATACCACAAAAGGAAGGTTGGGATTGATTTTGGGGGTTATGGTACCAACAGTAAAGGAAAAAGGGGCCAAAAATAAGCATTTTTGTAACTTCCAGACATAACTTGTGTGTTATTGTATGGATCTCTCTGACATTGTACCACAAGGTTCCATATCACAAAAGGAATGCTAGAATTGATTTTGGGGGTAATTGCCTCAAAATTTTAGGAATTAGGGGCCAAAAAAGGGACAAAAAACAAGCATTTTTCTAGTTTCATGACAATAACTTGTGTGTAAGTGTATGGATCTTTCTGATATTGTACTACAAGGTTCCATATCACAAAGGGAAAGCTGGAATTGAGTTTGGGGGTAATTGCCGAACGTTTAGGAATTGGGGGCCAAAAAGGGGCCAAAAATAAGCATTTTTCTAGTTTCCAGACAATTACTTGTGTTCAAGTGTATGGATCTCTCTGAAATTGTACTGCAAGGTACCATACCACAAAGGGAAGGCTGGGATTGATGATGGGGGTAATTGCCTCAATATTTTAGGAATTAGGGGCCAAAAAGGGGCAAAAAACAAGCATTTTTCTAGTTTCAGGACAATAACTTGTGTGTAAGTGTATGGATCTTTATGAAATTGTACTACAAGGTTCCATATCACAAAGGGAAAGCTGGGTTTGAGTTTGGGGGTAATTGCCTTAAACGTTTAGGAATTTGGGGCCAAAAAGGGGCCAAAAAACACATTTTTCTAGTTTCCAGACAATAACTTGTGTTCAAGTGTATGGATCTCTCTGAAATTGTACTGCAAGGTACCATACCACAAAGGGAAGGCTGGGATTGAGTTTGGGGGTGATGAATCATAAGGGGGTTCAAAAAATTGGGGGGGGGGGGGGGATTTTTTTTTTTTTCCTTTTTTTTTCTTTTAAAATTTTCCATTTTAAGTTGTTTTTTTCTGATTTATATTTAAAAGCCAATAATAATGATATGTTAGGAGATACACACCAAACAGGATGTGTAAATTATTATATAATAAGTATTGTGCAATAGCAAGAAATTTTCAATTGCACAGTATTGCACAATAGCAAGAAATCTTCAATTGCACAGTATTGCGCAATAGCAAGAAATCTTCAATTGCACAGTATTGCGCAATAGCAAGAAATATCCAATAGCACAATATTGCGCAATAGCAAGAAATTGTCAATTGTACAGTATTGCACAATAGCAAGAAATATTTAATTGCACAGTATTGTGCAAAAGAAGATACTTTGTATAAATTGCTTATTTCTTGACCAATTTCAATGGATTTTATTCTTGAATTCTTGGGGTTCTTTAATATGCTGAATCTAACCGTGTATTTAGTTTTTGGATTTTGGGCCCCGTTTTTAAATTGGTCCACATTGAGGTCCAAAGGGTCCAAAATTAAACTTTGTTTGATATTATTGGGGTTCTTTGATATGCCGAATCTAACCGTGTATTTAGATTCTTAATTTTTGGTTCCTTTTCAAATTGGTCTACATTAAGGTCCAAAGGGTCCAAAATTAAACTTAGTTTGATTTTTAACAAAAATTAAATTCTTAGTGTTCTTTGATATGCTGAATCTAAACATGTATTTAGATTTTTGATTATGGGCCCAGTTTTCAAGATGGTCCAAATCGGGGTCCAAAATAAAACTTTGTTTGATTTCAACAAAAATTGAATATATGGGGTTCTTTGATATGCTGAATCTAACCATGTATTTAGATTTTTGATTTTTGGGCCCTGTTATCAACTTTGTCCACATTGAGGTCAAAAGGGTCCAAAATTAAACTTTGATTTCATCAAAAATTGAATTCTTGGGGTTCTTTGATATGCTGAATCTAACCATGTATTTAGATTTTGGATATTGGACCATAATAGGTGAATGTCCAATTTAAAATTTTTAAGTTCTTAGACCACATTCATTCTGTGTCAGAAACCTATGCTGTGTCAAATATTTAATCACAATCCAAATGCAAAGCTGTATCAAGCTTGAATGTTGTGTCCATACTTGCCCCAACTGTTCAGGGTTGGACCTCTGCGGTCGTATCAAGCTGCGCCCTGCGGAGCATTTTATTGGTCATTATCTTGAATATTATTATAGATAGAGATAAACTGTAAACAGCAATAATGTTCAGCAAAGTAAGATCTACAAATAAGTTGTCATGACCAAAATTGTCAGTCGACCCCTTTAGGAGTTATTGCCCTTAATAGTCAATTTTTAACAATTTTTTGTAAATTTTTGTAATCTTTTACAAAAATCTTCTTCTCTGAAACTAATGAGACAAATTAATTTAACCATACTTGGCCATAATCATTATTAGGGTATCTAGTTTAAAAAATTTGTCCGATGACCCCGCCTTCCAACCATTATGGCCGACTTGGTTAAAAATAGAACATAGGGGTAAAATGCAGTTTTTGGTTTATATCTCTGAAACTTAAGCATTTAGAGCAAATCTGACAGGTGGCAAAACTGTTCATCAGATTTAGATTTATCTGCCCTGAAATTTTCAGAAGAATCCGACAACCCGTTGTTGGGTTGCTGCCCCTGAGTTAGTAATTTTACAAAAATTTGGCAGTTTTTTGTTATTATCTTAGATATCATTATAATATCTAATATCTAATACTATTAATTATGATTTTAACCTTATTTTACATGATTTCCAAAGCATCAGTAAATACAGGTAAGCGACATCATGCTTGAAGATATTGATTTGATAATTGGTATATTGTTTTATGATGACAAGTTCCAGATCAAGTTCGAATTTTGTTCCGGTCTGATGATTTTGTGCAGAATTATGGTCCTTGGCCTTAGAAAATTCATTTAAGTAATCAGTTTTTCACACTTTTTTTCGTCATGCTTGAAGATATCGACTTGATATTTGTTATATAGTTTACACCATGACAAGTTATAGATCAAGTTAGCATTTTTTCCAGTACACTTAATTTTTAACGGGTAGGGGACTATGTATTGCCATGCAATACTCTCAGAATACTTCTTGTTGTTGAGTTTAATAGCAGTTTGGTATCTCAACATCATAAAAATATCAACACAAAAAACCTTTTTAGAAAGTCACTTTATTTTGAAACAATGAAAAAAAAAATTACAGCAATACACTTACCAAAACACGATTAAAAATTATTCAACAAAAAAATTGTTTTTAGTAAGTCACTTCATTTTGAAACAATGAACAAAAAAAATATTTATAGCAATACACTAACCAAAAAACGATTGAAAATTTATTTAACACAAAACTAATAAGAAGGGATCGAACGTGTAGGGAACAGACTCGGGGTGCGAACGTGAATGGGAGCAAACAAGTTTTTGGGCGAACGGACCCAGATTCATGCCACCACAAGGGCTCTGAATTCGAAATAAAATGTGTTTAATGTTTATACCCTTGTTTTTTAACAGTTATGGCATAATAACTCCTAATGGGAACTTTCTCTCTTTTGACCTATTTTGTTTATTAAGGTTCATGTGGACCCTTTGGCTAAAATGAATGTGTTTTCACCTCAAAATTACTCTGAGTGCAGACAAACTTGTGCATCTGGAAAAGTTTTAATTCATAGCATGCACTAGATAAATAGATTTCAAATGCATTATATGTTTTATAAAATTTAAAGTCTAACTGGATTTTGAGGTCCACTTTTTTTCGTCCCTGCAGAAGATGATAAAATTAACAAACAGTTGAGTTTCACTTGATATGGTCCACAGTTTAATTCACCAATTATTGTCACATATCTATTGTCCATCTATTGTCCATTTCAATCAAAACAGTTCACTTCAATTATTACCTGTGGGGAAGTTCTCAAACCTCTTTCCCAACCTAGTTTATTTTGGCACCTTTTGAGGAATGAAAAAAAGTGCACTGCAAAATCCTGTTATTTTTTTAATTTTCTAAAACATAGAATATATTTGAATTTTATTTATCTAGGGCATGCTATGCCTTAAAACTTTTCCAGATACACAGGTTTGCCTGTACTCAGAGTAAATTCTGACATGAAAATGCAGCCATTTTAGCCAATGGGTCCACATGAACCTTAACATGTTCATGTGAACTACTATCTTACCAAATCTTTATGGAAATTCAGTAGACGAAACTGGTTTTTGTGTTGGATACTGTTTTTTATGCCCCCGCCGTAGCGGTGGGGGCATTAAGTTTTACCCTTGTCCGTCTGTACGTACGTCCCGAAATTGGATTCCGTTCTCTAACTTCAGTTTGCCTCAACCAAATGTTATGAAACTTATACACATTGCTTATTACCACAAAACACAGATCAAGTTTGAATTTTGGTGGTGTCACTTTAACCGTTCTAGAGTTATGCCCCTTTATAAATGGAAAAATTGCAAAATTTTTAGTTTCCGTTCTCTAACTTAAGTTTGCCTCAACCAAATGTTATGAGTCTTATACACAATGCTTATTACCACAAAACACAGATCAAGTTTGAATTTTGGTGGCTTCACTTTAACCGTTCTAGAGTTATGCCCCTTTATAAATGGAAAAATAGCAAAATTTTTAGTTTCCGTTCTCTAACTTAATTTTGTCTCAACCAAATGTTATGAAACTTATACACAATGCTTATTACCACAAAACACAGATCAAGTTTGAATTTTGGTGGTGTCACTTTAACCGTTCTAGAGTTATGCCCTTTAGAAATGGAAAAATTGCTAAATTTTTATTTTCTTCTAAATATCAATTAATTTTTAATGAAATTGGAGTTATCTTCCTTTGTTCATGATGATAGTTGAATCAACAACAATCAATGCTTTATACAATGCAATGTTTAATTTTGTCTTCCACTGATAAAACACAGATCAAGTTGAATTTGGGTAGGGTCACTTTAACCATTATTGAGTTATGCCCCTTTATGAATTGAAAGATTGCAAAATTTTTAGTTTCCATTCTGTAACTTAAGTTTGCCCAAACCAAACATTATGAAACCTATACACAATATTCATTACCACAAAACTATGATCAAGTACAATTTTTTTGTTTCTGTTTTCTAACTTTAGTTTGCCTCAACCAAATGTTATGAAACTTATACACAATGCTTATTACTACATAATACAGATTAAGTACGAAATTTGGTGGAGACACTTTTACCATTCATGAGTTATGTCCATTTATAAACATAAAAATTGCTGAATTTTTCGTTTCCGTTCTGTAACTTTAGTTTGTCTCAACCAAATGTTATGAAACTTATACACAATGCTTATTACTACATAATACAGATTAAGTACGAAATTTGGTGGAGACACTTTTACCATTCATGAGTTATGTCCATTTATAAACATAAAAATTGCTGAATTTTTCGTTTCCGTTCTGTAACTTTAGTTTGTCTCAACCAAATGTGATAAAACTTATACACAATCGTTCTAGAGTTATGTGTGTTAACAAATAGAAAAATTGCTGAAACTTTAGTTTCTGTTCTCTACTTAAGTTAGCCTCAACCAAATGTTATGAGACTTACACACAATGCTTATTACCACAAAACTCAGATCAAGTTCAAATTTGGGTAGCGTCACTTTTACTGTTCTTCAGTTATGTTCCTTTATAACTATATGATATGCAAGAGGGGGCATCATCTGTGTCCACATGTGGACACTATCCACATTTATTTCTCTAATTATTGATCTGTCAAATCCATTGGTCATTTATATCAAATGATGATACATATATATTGTATTTCTTTTTCGTCAGATAAATAAATTTTATTGCACATTTACAGTTTACAATTTACTTAATCTACAGCTTCAATTAAGTAACCCTATATATTAGTTATTGATTATCTAGGGCGTATGGGATATCCATTCTTTGATTGCAAACAAAATTAATCTCATGTTTCTCACAATTTATATAAATTTTTAGCATAAAATTGTTTAAAACTTTTTTCTGTATATTCTGTCAGTCAGTTTGGTAACTGGTTTATATCTATTTAACTAAGCTCCCTTTAGTTTTTTAATAAATTTCTGATATGACATTGAGGAGTTATGGAACTTCATTCGTTGAAAAAGCGAAGGGCATATCATTCGCTCATGGCGCAGTTCTTTATTCTTTATTTTTATTACATGTATGTCCTAGCAGACTCAAGTGATATTCTTGCTGAACAAGTCAGTATTAAAAACAAAAATCCCATTCTATATTTATCCTCTTTAAGCTTCTCTTAATCTAAATTTAAAGACTATTTAATTGTCTTGTAAACTGTGTTTTCATACAATGTACACACATTTGAACTTTTTCAGGGCAACATACTGGAAGTCACAACCAAAGAAATATTGCAAATTTTGTAACTGTTGGATAACAGATAATAAACCTGTAAGTTATTGTCTTTAATACACTAATCTCAAGTTGTTTTTTATGAATGAGTTACACCAGTTGACCTGAGGTCAATCACCGTAAACTACTTCATCGAACAATCTGTTCTTACTGTGACGAAATAACAAATGCATTGTGACACGAAATTTATGGGAAAGTGCAAGAATTTGAAAGTCATCGATATCTCTTTGCATGTGTTTTCATGAAATAGCAAAACCTTAATAAAATTGGCTTGTTCTTTAAAGTAAAATGTAAACTTAGTGATACAATTAATTGGCCCGGTCTTTAATTTTCAACCTGAATTTCAATGGGCGAGGGATGGCACCACATAAGGTTGAAAAAGAAATGGACAAAAATTAAATCTTTTCCTATTTGTGGCTAATATATTCATAATAAATGAAGCAGCTATACAACTTTTCTTATCATACTTTCAAAAATAATACATTTAGCAATACATATATGTACACAGTAGATTTTCTTAAACATTTGAAGTTTAAAAAATACGCCTTTACAGTGCCATTTATGGTGTTACTGGCTCTACTCCTTTGTTGTTTTAACATGTGTTTAGATTTAGAAAATAGCTTGAGAATATATTTAAACTACATTATACACATATATCAGTATATCTTGTGGAAGTTTTATTTGAGGAAAATTTTCTTGTCTTTTTCAAATGGGGATATATTTTTCTAGCATGAATTAATTATTGCGATTTCTAAAGAATATACAAATATGTGAGATTAATTATTGCAATTTCAGGAATTTCTGCATTAAGATATATGTATCTAATATGAGAATGAGAGTTCTTATAAATAGTATTGCGATACTCACCAAGTCCCATTGTTGGCATTAATAAAAACCTCGCAATAATTTCTGAATTTCAGTGTTCTCCCCAGATATTTCATATAGCATCCTGGTAAACAGGGAAATTTGGAATACCATCTTGTTTCTAAAAATTATAGCATCACATCCGTAACACAACCTATAAGAAACTCTTTTCAGATAGCATCACATTCAAGAAAAATAGCATCACATTACCATGATGCTAAAAGGTCCTGGGGAGAACACTGGAATTTACAGTACATGTTATTGCCTAGTGTTAAAAGACTGTGCTATCACAATCACATGTACAAATGACAACTATAACCAGCAACATTATATTAGAATTTTTGGTGGAAGAAGACTTTGAAGTCTGAAATCCTATACTGCCGGCTGTAAAATCATTGAACCGTCACCAGGAGTGTTGCCGTATCCTTTTCTGTGCTTTACTATTTCATAACTTCCGTGCCATATCTTGACACCGATGTTTACACATGATCGGTTTCAAGTTTGTCAAATAGCATCTGCATCATTGTATAAAAACAATCACTATTGTTAGTGTTATAATTTCTCATGTTTTTTAATGTTTTAATATCTACCTTTTTATTATGTCAATTATAAGATTTCATCTCATCTTGCATGTATGCATCTCATCTTGCATGTACGTTATTTAGTATTTACTTGTAACCGGATGGTTTTAAAGTAGATTTGGTAGTACGCATGCCTTAATTTAATTATAATCCGAAACTAAGTCGAATGATTCAGTGCCCTCTATCCACTGCCGTTTCTCGTTGGAGTAATCAGAATTAAACAACTGGATTATCCAGGTTAATCCAAACCACGTTGGTTTTGTATCTGTGCATGTGCATAAATGGGAAATTTAATTGTGCATCCGAAAGTTTCAAAATAATGTTAAACAGAATTTTCATTAATTCAAACAATCTTATGTTAATTTCAAGTATCTACACGGAGAGTACGACTTCAACTCAATGATGCTTGACAAAAATACACGGATTTAGTTGTTCCGTCTGTGTTCAGATTTTTAACGCAATCAAGTCATATTCCGGATTTAGAAAACATGCGTTTTTTAAAACGAAAGTTAGAATATTTCAGTATGTCATTGCGATAATAAAGAGTCAAAAGCACACTTAAATCTGCTGGTGCTTTTCGCTTCAAACAATGCACTGTCAGTTGACAGAAATATCAATGTACAAACTAATGTCAGTTGACAGAATCCATATCGAAAGTACGTAGATTTTATGTCAATCATTGTCGGAATGTCCCCAATGATTACCTTTACTGCCTTATGTTTCAAAGTTTTAATTGATCAAAAACGGGATTTAACATATTAATAGTCCAGCTTTTTAACGTTATTCGTCATGAAGGTACCCCCATTACGACCCTCAAGTACGAAACCAATAACTAGTTGCCGTCAATCATTCATGAAACATTTCAGAAAATGACCGTTTGACGCCTGACAGAAAAGGGCATTCCTACCCTTGTACTTTTGTGTAAGAATATTAGACATGTTAGATGAAATACAAATATTATTAACAACAGCAAATTAGTGGTTCACGATTTGGGTCAAGCACATACAGACATGACAGAAAAAATGAACGGGTTTGAAATGTTAACAAGTGCTCAAAGCCCAATCCCTGACCTCAGACAAATCTGCATTGGATATATTTAGCATTTTTCAATATATGTTTATAATGGGAAAAACAAGTAACTGTGAACAACTATAACAATTCATGATTAACTGATTGGTGTTTGATGTTAAACCCTACTTTAAGCACACTTGACTAAAATCATGGTGGCCAGTTTTTATACGACCGCAAAAAAATTTTGTGGTCGTATATTGGTATGACGTTGGTGTCGTCGTCGTCGTCCTGCGTCGTCGTCCGAAGACGCATTGGTTTTCGCACTCTAACTTTAGTTTAAGTGAATGGATCTTTTTGAAATTTGACCATAAGGTTAAATACCACAAAAGGAAGGTTGGGATTGATTTTGGGGGTTATTGTACCAACAGTTAAGGAATTAGGGGCCAAAAAGGGGCCAAAAATAAGCATTTTCTAGTTTCAAGACAATAACTGTGGAACGGTGTATGGATCTCTCTGAAATTATACTACAAGTTTCCATACCACAAAGGGATGGTTAGGATTTGCTTTGGGGGGTTATGGCTCAAACCGTTTAGGAATTAGGGGCAAAGAAGGGGGAAAAACAAGGTTGTCCTGGTTAATGGACAAATACTTTAGTACAAAACATAATTTAAAGCAGTGTAAGGGAGATAAATCAAATACATCATTGAAATTATCTCCCTTACACTGCTTTTAAATTATGTATAAAGTAATGGTTAATGAACAATAAAGATAATTTAAAACAGTGTAAGGGAGGTAATCCAAATACAACATTTTGGTTACTTCCCTTACACTGCTTTTAAATTATGTTTAAAGAAATGCATATTTATAAAGGAAGACCAGTAAAAATATCTGCAAATGTTGCATCTTTTTTTTTTACAAAAAAATCCATATGAAAGATTTGACATTATATTTTTAATTCTATTATAAAATAGATTAAGTTAGCACTATGGTAAATTTAAATGGGTAATTATGGTTGCCAACTCCATTGGAAATTTGAATTGAGATTATGACCATATCTTGAGGGAAAGAATTTTTTGGGGGAAAAAAGGGGGGGGGGGGGGATAAAAAGAAATTGTGGGGGGTCAATTTTTTCTCATTTCAGATTTCAGAAATTAAAAAGAATTATTCTTCAAATATTATTTTTTTTTCAAATTTCAAATATTGAAAAATTTCAAGAAGTAATCTTTAATTGCACAGTATGGCACATTAGATTTGTAAAATCTTTGATCACATTTATTTATTTGTTATGACGATCTAACAGTGTATTTAGATTTTTAATTTTGGGTCCAGTTTTCAAATTGGTCTACATTAAGGTCCAAAGGGTCCAAAATTAAACTTTGTTTGATTTTAGCAAAAATTGAATATATGAGGTTCTTTGATATGCTGAATCTAAACATGTATTTAGATTTTTGATTTTTGGCCCAGTTTTCAAGTTGGTCCAAATTGGGGTCCAAAATTAAACTTTGTTTGATTTCAACAAAAATTGAATATATGGGGTTCTTTGATATGCTGAATCTAACCATGTATTTAGATTTTTTTTTGTGGACCCCGTTATCAAATTGGTTCATATTGAGGTCAAAAGGGTCCAAAATTAAACTTTGTTTGATTTCATCTAAAATTGAATTATTGGTGTTCTTTGATATTCCAAATCTAACCGTGTATTTAGATTTTTAATTTTGGGTCCTGTTTTTTAAATTGGTCTACATTAAGGTCCAAAGGGTCCAAAATTAAACTTAGTTTGATTTTAACAAAAATTGAATTATTGGGGTTCTTTGATATGCTGAATCTAAACATGTGCTTAGATTTTTTATTATGGGCCCAGTTTTCAAGTTTGTCCAAATTGGGGTCCAAAATTAAACTTTGTTTGATTTCAACAAAAATTGAATATATGAGGTTCTTTGATATGCTGAATCTAACCATGTATTTAGATTTTTTATTTGTAGGCCCCTCTATCAAATTGGTTCATATTGAGGTCAAAAGGGTCCAACATTAAACTTTGTTTGATTTTGAATTATTGGGGTTCTTTGATATGCCAAATCTAACCGTGTTTTTAGATTTTTAATTTGGGTCCCGTTTTTTAAATTGGTCTTCATTGAGGTCCAAAGGGTCCAAAATTAAACTTAGTTTGATTTTAACAAAAATTGAATTCTTGGGGTTCTTTGATATGCTGAATCTAAACAAGTGTTTAGATTTTTGATTATGGGCCCAGTTTTCAAGTTGGTCCAAGTTGGGGTCCAAAATTAAACTTTTTTTATTTCAACAAAAATTGAATATATGGAGTTCTTTGATATGCTGAATCTAACCATGAATTTAGATTTTTTATTTGTGGGCCCCGCTATCAAATTGGTTCATATTGAGGTCAAAAGGGTCCAAAATTAAACTTTGTTTGATTTCATCAAAAATTGAATTATTGGGGTTCTTTGATATTCCAAATCTAACCGTGTATTTAGATTTTTAATTTTAAGTCCCGTTTTTTAAATTGGTCTACATTAAGGTCCAAAGGGTCCAAAATTAAACTTAGTTTGAATTTAGCAAAAATTTAATTCTTGGGGTTCTTTGATATGCTGAATCTAAACATGTGTTTATATTTTTGATTATGGGCCCAGTTTTCAATTTTGTCCAAGTTGGGGTCCAAAATTAAACTTTGTTTGATTTTATCAAAAATTGAATATATGGGGTACTTTGATATGCTGAATCTAAACATGTGTTTAGATTTTTGATTATGGGACCAGTTTTCATGTTTGTCCAAGTTGGGGTCCAAAATTAAACTTTGTTTGATTTCAACAAAAATTGAATATATGGGGTTCTTTGATATGCTGAATCTAACCATGTATTTTGATTTTGGACATTGGACCATAATAGGTAAATTAAAAAAATTCAAGTTCTTAGACCACATTCTTTCTGTGTCAGAAACCTATGCTGTGTCAAATATTTAATAACAATCCAAATTCAGAGCTGTATCAAGCTTGAATGTTGTGTCCATACTTGCCCCAACTGTTCAGGGTTCGACCTCTGCGGTCGTATCAAGCTGCGCCCCAGCGAAGCATTTTATTTTTTTTATGAAAGAAGTTGGAATACCCAAAGTGAACTATCTATCTTTGACAGAAAAACTTTCAAGTGAAACCTAATCAATTACTAGTATAATTGCTTGCATCAAGTTGACCATGCTGAGACAAATGTATGGAATTATAGAAAATTTAATTTGAATCTACAGTATTGGTAGATTTTTTGGCAGTTAAGCTGCCATATGCGAGCACCCTAGATTTGTGTTCTTCCCACTGAATGGTGAAAAAGTGCTGTTGTTATTATCTATCTGGCTTAGTATGTTATTAATAACTAATTGGGCACTTTTTTCATACTATCAATTCTGTAATACAAAAAATATGACCAGAAAAACCTTAAATGATCGTCGAACAACCCAAAATTTTTGAAGTTGCACATAGGAAGTAGTGCTCAATAGAAATCCTTATGTAGGTTATTTTCCACTGTACTTTTGGCTAAGATGTCAAAGAACAATTGTATGAAATATTTAATCGCCGAAAATCTCTAAAGACAAGTCGTTTACATTTCCCAAATGGCAAAAGTCGTAGGGATATTGTTTGTCGTCGATACGTATCAAATACGTCAGTAGTCTATTAATAAGTTGGCGGCAATTTCAAATTACTGGTAGAAGACGAAATTTACGTACCTTTTAAATTTTGAGGATTCTGATGATAGAAAGGTAATTGTTGTTAATCATGAAATTCTTTTTGTTTGAGATGAGTGTTAATAAATTGTGTAATCACATTTGAATTTCATTCTTTTATATTACTCCGTTTTTCACATAAATTACCTTGTCAAGTAATGCACTCTCGGAGAATACACCTTATCGCTATTTGTCCGCCATTACTGGACATCACACAAGTTCCCGTAAAATTTTGACGTCATAATAGAAAATGTCTGACGCCACAATGGAAAAGTGATTGTTGTATGACGTCAAAAGTTCGAGCGGGACAGATTCTCGGGTCAAGCGGGAATAGCGATAAGGTGTATGCACTAGACTGGTTTCCGATCGCAATATTCAGTATGTTACACATATACCAATATAACAAGTTTTGCAAGTGATAGCTCGTCATTCGTGATTCCGATTTTAATAATTCTAACACCCAAGCCCCAAAAAACAACTCTAAATACCAAACAAACTTCTATTCTTTGATTGTTTACTATACCATTAATCAACTGGTGAATGCGTGACCACTGACTTTTGATTGGATTAGATTTGTTAAACACGAGTTGCCTCCCTTGGGAAAACAAAAATATTTTGCGTGTAATTTTCAAAGTATCGTGTTTTGGGGCTATTTTCACGAACACGATCGTGTAATCAGGACAGAGGGTCAACATCATGTAGTTCACGCCTAAATCGTGAAAGTTTGCAGGTATTAGTTTTACACGAAACGTAAGTTCGTTTGATTCTGATGTTATTTTTACGGAAATTGACGTACTGGTCGATGTTTTAAGAAATGCGGAACAACTCGTCCCGGAGACAAGTCGGACAGAGTCTACTCGGCCCATCTAACAAGACAACTCGGACTGCTTGTCAGATTTACTTAGGTTTCATAAAATGTAAGCCATCAATTTTCGTTTGTGCCTTATTTAGGGATATTTTGAGGGGCCTAAAGAAGGGAGGGGGTTTACTGTAGAACCATATGGGATTTTTTTTTAATTTTCAAATGACTATTACTCGAAAACAGTAAGTGATAGACACACACGGTCTTCAGTAATGAGAACAGGACAATAAAATAAATCAAATAAAATATAGGGTGAATTGCGATTCCCACCCCTATAGCTAAACCATATATATTCTTGTATGAGATAATAAAACAATCAAAATGAAAATAATTTGGGGGAGTCCCCGGTGTCACCCCACCCCCTTCTGTTTGATAACTTGTAAACAGTCGAGATCCCTACCCCTAAATCATATATATTCATGGAAGAGACAGTATAACAAATCAAATGAAATATAGGGGGAGTCCCGTGAGTCACTCCACCCCTCCTGTTTGAGAACTTGGAAACGGTTAAGATCCCCACTCCTAAACCATATATGTTCATGTATGGGACAATATAATAAATCAAATGAAATATAGGGGGAGTCCCTGGGGGTCACCACACCCCCTCCTGTTTGAGAACTTGTAAACGGTCGAGATACCCACTCCTAAACTTATATATTCCTGTTCGTCATTTCAAAAAGATTTGAATGACAAACAGGACGGTTAAGATCCCCACCCCTAAACTATATATATTCATGTATGGAACAATATAACAAATGAAATGAAATAATGGGAGGAATCCCTGGAGGTTACCACACCCCCTCCTGTTTGAGAACTTGTAAACGGTCGAGATGCCCACTCCTAAACCCTATTTATTCCTGTTCGTTATTTCAAAAAGATTTGAATGACAAACAGGGTCAATCTCCTAGGCGTTACATATGCATATCACTTTACTAGACCAAACCAATGTGAACTGTTCAATGCCAGGCGACCATGGGAATGACGAATTATTGGAGCTTTGTTTGGGAAACTTCGTCACAGCATCCTGTTACAATTATTTCTTGTTCATTATAAAATTTTATTGATGCTAAAAATGAGTCTAGGTTGATTGGATTTACTTAAAATATTTTTTGAATTATTTCATTTTTGGCTCATTTTTAAAGAAAACATATGAATCTTTCAAGAAGTGTAAAGCCCAAGAATGTTTGACCAACTGTTTTATAATCACCTGTTATTTTATTCCAAACTTGGTATGGAGTGACATCATGGACTTGGGGTGAAGGTGGGGGTAATTTACATTTACTATGGGCAGGTCAGTCAGACCTCACCTTTGATCCCTGTAGTAGTAAACATTTGTCTGATTTGTTTTTCATAATTTTTGCACTGAAGAACCCAAATTCGGTGTTCCTTCCAGGGAAGCAAATCCATTCATACTATTACAAACTCATTCTTCGTCAACTTTTACCACTTATACTGAATGATATATATATGCGTTGCTTTTGAAAACCTTGATAAAATATTAATTAATTTGCCTTAGTAATCATTTCATTAAATAAACAATGTACAATATACGAATGTTTAATGTTTCTTCTTTCAAATCTTAAAAAAAAAATTGAAGCAAGACTGCCACAGTTTTCATAATTACGTTTGCCCTGGTTTTTGGTTAACTGCCTACAGCGCTTACAGTGCTTTGATTTAGTTTAGTATAGTCAGTTTTGTTTGAGACATGAGTATTATTAAAGAATATTATTTTTGGAAGAAAAAAACAAGTCGAAAGCAATAATGGGACAGAGCAGGCTGGGTTGGTGTGGGCTGCTTTCACGGTAATTCAAGTTACCTTTTATGCATCTTCTTCCACCTCAGAGCTATCAGCTCTTTGATTATATAAATGATTGATTACAGTTTTATATACAACATGTACAATGGAACCATTTTTGTATGCTTTTTGATTATGTTTGTTTTTTTTTCTTCCAGAGTGTTGATTTTCATGAAAGAGGCAAAAATCACCAGGAAAATGTCAAAAGAAAGATCAATGAGGTTGGTTTATAATACATTCATTGTTAACTGCAGTCAATACAAGAAACAACCCCAAAAAAACTTTTCTTTGGAAAATTTTATGTCATATATATTGATATACCCTCATGTTTTTGTTTGTAATCATAATTAGACTTATACAAATAGTAAATTTTGATGTTTCCTATTTTTCAGTTCTCTCTTGTTCATATCTGTCATAAAAATTTTAAAAAACTAACAATTTTTTTTCTCAATTAAAATTGAGAATGGAAATGGGGAATGTGTCAAAGAGACAACAACCCGACCACAGAACAGACAACAGCAGAAGACCAATTAACTTGAATATCATTATGCTTTGTAAGACTTCAATTATTTTGACTGTCACTGTTCAAGTTTCTTCAAAGATAAGTATGGAATAAGTCCTATGATGATCTTAAGATACAATACATTTTTTGTTTAAGGATTTCCAGTACAAATTATGAATTTGATGATATCTGGATCTATATTTTTATTTCAGGTTAAAAAGAAAAGTACAGAACAAGCGAAAGAGAAAGCAGAAATGGAAGATGACATGAAACAGATGGAAAAAGTGAATAAGATATTGCGGAAATGATATAGAGTAGAGTTCAAGCAGCTGTTTTGGAAGCAAGAAATTATTTCGCCTCGATATAAAAAAGAAAACTGTTTGAATTTAACAGTATACAAAATACCACATATTTGTGTCCATTTTAGAAAGGAGCCTCATCATTGGCTGTTGTTTTTGATTCATAATAATTGTTTTAGGTCTTTGACAATACAGTATTCGGTCATGTATTGTCCACTGTCTTTTACTCTAATATTAAAATTGCCAGACAGGGGTGTGGATTATAAAATATTATAAGCAAGAAATAAGAGAAAAACCATGCTTCATGACAAATTTCCCCTTTCTTTTCATTGCATTGCATCTATCATCTTAACTCATCTTTTGTGTTTCATACTGCTGCATGCATTTTGTTTTAGCTAAAGGTCCTTCAAACATTAATGTGATAAATAAATTTAACAGTACTTTACTAAAGGATGGCACTGTTTTACTTTAAAAGTCTTATTCTTTTGTTATGTCTATTAAGTACCGAATTTCCACATGCTCTCTCCATATTTGTTTGCAATTTACAGGTTCTTTTCCAATTTCCAGTTAATGGCAAACACTAATTATTTTTGTGGTCGTATATTGGTATGACGTCGTCGTTGTCCGAAGACACATTGGTTTTCGCACTCTAACTTTAGTTTAAGTAAATGGATCTCTATGAAGTTTGACCATAAGGTTCAATACCACAAAAGGAAGGTTTGGATTGATTTTGGGGGTTATGGTACCAACAGTTAAGGAATTAGGGGCCAAAAATAAGCATTTTTGTAACTTCCAGACATAACTTGTGTGTTATTGTATGGATCTCTCTGACATTGTACCACAAGGTTCGATATCACAAAGAGAATGCTGGGTTTGATTTTGGGGGTAATTGCCTCATAATTATAGGAATTAGGGGCCTAAAAAGGGGCAAAAAACAAGCATTTTTCTAGTTTCATGACAATAACTTGTGTGTAAGTGTATGGATCTTTCTGAAATTGTACTGCAAGGTACCATACCACAGAGGGAAGTCTGGGATTGATTTTGGGGGTAGTTGCCCCAAAATTTTAGGAATAAGGGGCAAAAAAGGGGCAAAAAACAAGCATTTTTCTAGTTTCAGGACAATAACTTGTGTGTAAGTGTATGGATCTTTCTGAAATTGTACTGCAAGGTACCATACCACAGAGGGAAGTCTGGGATTGATTTTGGGGGTAATTGCCTCAAAATTTTAGGAATTAGGGGAAAAAAATAAGCATTTTTCTAGTTTCAGGACAATAACTTGTGTGTAAGTGTATGGATCTTTATGAAATTGTACTACAAGGTTTCATATCTCAAAGGGAAAGCTGGGTTTGAGTTTGGGGGTAATTGCCCTAAATGTTTAGGAATTTGGGGCCAAAAAACAAGCATTTTTCTAGTTTCCAGACAATAACTTGTGTTCAAGTGTATGGATCTCTCTGCAATTGTACTGCAAGGTACCATACCACATAGGGAAGGCTGGGATTGAGTTTGGGGGTGATGAATCATAAGGGGGTTCAAAAAATTTGGGGGGGGATTTTTTTTTCTTTAAAATTTTCCATTCTAAATTGGTTATTTCTGATTTATATATAAAAGCAAATAATAATGATATGGTTTGAATAGGTAAATTAAAATTTTTTGAGTTCTTAGACCACATTCATTCTGTGTCAGAAACCTATGCTGTGTCAAATATTTAATCACAATCCAAATTCAGAGCTGTATCAAGCTTGAATATTGTGTCCATACTTGCCCCAACTGTTCAGGGTTCGACCTCTGCGGTCGTATCAAGCTGGGCCCAGTGGAGCATTTCATTTTCAAGTTGTGTTTATGTGATTTTGTTTTATTTTAACATTCATAAAGTGTTTAAGAATCATTGATAAATATTTTCAACTTTATTTGATGATGGAAAACAGGTTTTTCCTTTAAAATACCGCAAACGAACACAAACGACTTGAAATCATGGCAGTTTTACCAGACAATTTCAACCATTGACAATAATGTTTTCCTAAATTCTTGTGACTAAAAGGGTATGGAGATGATGTACTAATACAGAGTATTCAATGATGATTTCGATAGTGTCTGTAGTGAGGTCTTTTAGAGTTTATTAACAAGAAGGGTGATGTTAGAGATAGGAGATGTATTGTTTTTGCAGTAAATTTCCCTCTTATATCTTTAATTTTACTTAATATTGTTTAATTCTTACTTGAGGATTATGTAATAACTGATATTTTGATTACAGGCAGCCATGGAAGCTTTCAAGAAAGATTTGAAGGATAATCCTGAACTTGCAGCAAAATATGGTGTAAAAATTAGAACTGAAGCTGGTAAAATCTCATTTGTATAAGGTAACTGTGGGCGAAATGATAAAACAGTGGTAACATATCAGGTGTTGGTGACCAATCAGACACAAAGTTGGTTAATATCTTTTCACTTGTTGTTAAAATTCAAGATAAAAGGGTTAAGACCTGTCATGTGGAGGTTACTATTGGCGAAATCAAATTTGAAATAATGTCATGGTTACATAGCTGCTGAAATTAAGATTGGAAATCTCCCTTCTGATCGAAATTTTATTTTATACAACAATTTGTCACGGCATCATTAAGGTTATAATGTTTCCATCATGTTGCCAATGAATTTTGCATTAGTGTATTTGTTATTTATTCCATTTGCAAGTTCTATAAAATAACCATGGCGTTAAGTTAGTAATTTAAAAGTTATTGTGGTGTTTAGTTATTTATTTTAAAATTACAGTGGACTTTTTGGCATCTTTCGTTATCTTTTTTTTCTTTTTTTGTAGATATTCATTTGTTATTCTTTCTACAAATATTCTTTGTAGGGTTATCTTAGAAAAAGTTCTCTGCAAGTGAAATATTTCCCAAATGTGTTTGCCTACTTGGTTGCCTCATGTTGAAAAAGAACAATGTTAACTATATTGGAAAGGACTTTGAAAGGGTTAGACTGTTCCCTGTATTTCCTATTGTTAGAAAGTTCCTGATATTTCCTGTTGTTAGAATGTTCCTGATATCCTGTTGTTAGAATGTTCCTAATATTTCTCGTTGACTTGAAAAACACTTGTGATTTACTTATCTTCTGTAAGTTTTGGAATGTTTGGGCAAACTTTTAAAAAGTCTTTTAAATCACATATTGAACAGAAAAAGATGACTCAAAATACTATCTGGTAATAAATATAATTCATGCAAATTGATTGTTTTCTTAAATAGAAGTTAATTCAAACTGTATTTGATATAGTAGTGATAGTTGATAAAGATGTTGGTAATTAATTACTACAATTAAAATTAACTGAGTACGGTAAATATCTTACATGATTTACATTTAGAAATTTAAAGAACTGTGAACTCCATTTTGTTTTCTCTCCTCAATGAAGTAAAAAAAGGAGACTCAGGCATGCTGTTTCCTGTGACAGCATTTCATTATGTTATCAAAGTTACAAAAAGATGAGTCATATCTCAATGTAAACAGTTTATTTGTAAAGAGGTGAAAAAGAGTAAACTGAATTTTCAAATGAGTTTTGTCCCAAATATCTTAAGTTATTATTTTCATTATTATTTGCACATATTTTTTTATGAAAAATACATAAATCTTTTATGTTTTTGATTTTGTTTTAGTTTTGCACTAGAAGTAACCTTTTGTGAATTTGATAGCACAGAGCCTTTTCACCTACTTACTTTTTTTTTTTACAGAAAAGCTAGCAGATAAAGAAGCAAAACGGAAAGAAAGAGAGGCAAAATTGAAAGCAGAGGAGGAAGAGAGAGAGGCAAAATTGAAAGAAGAGGAAGCATTGATGACCAAACTAGCTACGTGTAAATGGTTTGAAGCTAAATCACCTGAAGACTACTCGTACTACTGGAATGTAGAGACTAATGGTAAAATATACTAAATACATATTTTAGAAACCTAGAACATGATTTCAATCTGCATTTTTCGTCTAAGTTACAGAGTTAGAATTTTACTTTACTTTTATGGAATAAACCAGGAGTGAATGAAATTTAGCATAAAATGGAAGATAGAATAGACCTACAATTCTTTTTTGTCATATATATTATAGTTAAGTATTCTACAATATGCTTTTTATACGCCCGTTTACGGGACGTATTATGGTATACTGTTGTCAGCCCGTCCGTCTGTCCTTCTGTCCATTCGTCGTCAACATGTCGTACATTAACTCAAAAGCGCTTTAACCAATTTGCATAAAACTTTGGTGAATTGTTTATATCTATTGACGTGAGGTCCCTTTCGTTTTTTATAAATTTTAGATTTTACGTTTCGAAGTTATGGGGTTTTATTCATTAAACAAGAGGCTCTCAAGAGCCTGAATCACTCACCTGTATTTCAGAGGAGAAGATTTTTAAATGTTAGCAAACTTGATGAACAAATTGTGTAAAATTGTCTTTAAAGAGCAATAACTCCTTAAGGGGTCAATTGACAATTTTGGTCATATTAACTTTTTTGTAGATCTTACTTTGCTGAACATTATTGCTGCTTACAGTTTATATATATCTATAGTAATATTCAAAATAATAACAAAAAACTGCAAAATTTTGTTAAAACTACCTTTGGTCGCAACAACCCAACAATGGGTTGTTCGATTCGTCTGATAATTTCAGAGCTGATAGATCTTGACCAATTAAACAATTTTACCCAATGTCACATTTGCTCTAAAAGATTTAGTTTTTGAGATATAAGCCAAAAACTGCATTTGACCCTTATGTCCTATTTTTAGCCATGGTGGCCATGTTTGTCGATGGATACAAACTTCGGATACAATTTATAAACAAGATACCCTAAGGAACATTTAGTTAAAGTTTGAAGGTAATTGGCCCAGTAGTTTCAGAGGAGAAGATTTTTAAATGTTAGCAAACTTGATGAACAAATTGTGTAAAATTGTCTGTAAAGGGCAAAAACTCCTTAAGGGGTCAGTTGACAATTATGGTCATATTAACTTTTTTGTAGATCTTACTTTGCTGAACATTATTGCTGCTTACAGTTTATATATATCTATAATAATATTCAAAATAATAACAAAAAACTGCAAAATTTTGTTAAAAGTACCAATTCGGTGTCGGCCCCCAACAATGGGTTGTTCGATTTGTCTGAAAATTTCAGGGCCGATAGATCTTGACCAATTAAACAATTTTACCCCATGTCACATTTGCTCTAAAAAAATTAGGTATTGAGATATAAGCCAAAAACTGCATTTGACCCTTATGTTCTATTTTTAGCCACGGCGGCCATGTTTGTCGATGGATACAAACTTCGGATACAATTTATAAACAAGATACCCTAAGGAACATTTAGTTAAAGTTTGAAGGTTATTGGCCCAGTAGTTTCAGAGGAGAAGATTTTTAAATGTTAGCAAACTTGATGAACAAATTATGTAAAATTTACTTTGAAGGGCAAAAACTCCTTAAGGGGTCAATTGACAATTATGGTCATATTAACTTTTTTGTAGATCTTACTTTGCTGAACATTATTGCTGCTTACAGTTTATATATATCTATAATAATATTCAAAATAATAACAAAAAACTGCAAAATTTTGTTAAAAGTACCAATTCGGTGGCAGCAACCCAACAATGGGTTGTTCGATTCGTCTGATAATTTCAGAGCTGATAGATCTTGACCAATTGAACAATTTTACCCCATGTCCGATTTGCTCTAAAAGCTTTTGTTTTTGAGATATAATCCAAAAACTGCATTTGACCCCTATGTTCTATTTTTAGCCATGGCGGCCATGTTTGTCGATGGATCAAAACTTCGGATACAATTTATAAACTAGATGCCCTAAGGAACATTTAGTTAAAGTTTGAAGGTATTTGGCCCAGTAGTTTCAGAGGAGAAGATTTTTGAAATAGTTTACGACGACGACAGACAACGGACGACGATGGACGCCAAGTGATGGCATAAGCTCCCATGGGGCCCTTCGGGCCCTGGTGAGCTTAAAAAGGGGGATTTTCTAGTTTTCAGACAATGACTCAAGACTGCTTTCACCAACTTGCCTGAAATTTTGGTTAATTGTTTATATCTATTGACATGAGCTACCTTTTGATTTTTAAAAATTTTAGATTTTACGTTTCCAAGTTATGGGGTTTTATTCATAAAAAAAGGGTGATTTTCCAGTTTTCGGACAATAACTCAAAAATGCTTCCAGCAGTTCTCATGAAACTTTGATGAATTGTTGATATCTATTGATGTAAGCTCCCTTTAGAATTTTATAAATTTTAGATTTTACATTTCCAAGTTATGGGGTTTTATTCACTAAAAAAGGTGGGATTTTCCAGTTTTCAGACAATGACTCAAAACTGCTTTCAGCAATTCTTATGAAACTTTGGTGAATTGATTATATCTATTGATGTAAGCTCCTTTTAGAATTTTATAAATTTTATTTGTTTATAGTCTTGACAACAGATTTACTAAGTATTGCACAACAGCATAGTGTATTGCACAACAGCAAGAAATCTTTAATTGAATATAAATTCAATTCATATAACCAATTTCAAGTTCTTTGACTACATTTATTCAGAAACATATAATATGTCAAATATTTAATTACAATCCAAATTCAGACCTGTATCAAGCTTGAATATTGTGTCCATTTTTGCCCCAACTGTTCAGGGTTGGACCTCTGCGGGCGTATCCAGCTGCTCTCAGCAAAGCAGTTTTTATTATAGTTTGATATGCTAAAACAATGATTTTTCTGCTGTAACACACTTATATCGCAAGACTTAGGTTTGCTGTTACCACAGTTGTTTACACTAACGATTGTTAAAGGTTGTCATTAGGTTTGCTGTTACCACAGTTGTTTACACCAATGATTGTTAAAGGTTGTCATTAGGTTTGCTGTTACCTCAGTTGTTTACACCAAAGATTGTTAAAGGTTGTCATTAGGTTTGTTGTTACCACAGTTGTTTACACTAACGATTGTTAAAGGTTGTCATTAGGTTTGCTGTTACCACAGTTGTTTACACTAATGATTGTTAAAGGTTGTGATTAGGTTTGCTGTTAACACAGTTGTTTACACCAACAATTGTTAAAGGTTGTGATTAGGTTTGCTGTTAACACAGTTGTTTACACCAACGATTGTTAAAGGTTGTGATTAGGTTTGCTGTTAACACAGTTGTTTACACCAACGATTGTTAAAGGTTATGATTAGGTTTCACACACAAAACAGGTCTCTGTGTTAACATTTTATTTTTATTGCCCCCTGCGCAACGTGTTGCGGAGGACATAGAAATACCGGGCGTCCAGTCTTGTTAGCACTCTCACATGTAAAATTCTTGCAAGATTTTTATGAAACTTATGTCATAGCTTTATATCAGCAATGTCTTGGACGTGTTCGAAAATCAGTGCAGATCAATTATTTTTTAAAAAGTTATGCCCCTTGGAAACATTAACTATATGGAAAATTGCATCGTTAGCACTCTCATGTGTTCAATTATTGTCAGAATTTGATGAAACTTATATCATAGGCTTATATCAGCAATGTCATTGGTGAGTTTGAAAATCAGTGCCAATCAATAATTTTTATCGAGTTATGCCCCTTGGAAAAATTAATTATATGGAAAATTGCCATATGAACTCTCTAATGTGTACAATTCTTGTCAGATTTTTATGAAATTTATATCATAGGTTCATATCAGCAATGTCTTTGACACTTTCGAAAATGAGTTCAGATCAAATATTTTTAACGAGTTATGCCCCTTGGAAATATTAATTATAATGGAAATCACATCGCATTTGCTCTAAAGCCTTTATTTCTCTAAGATATTAATAAAAAGTGTTAAAGAACAACAGTTATTAGTTATTGCCCTTTGTACCTTGGATAGATAGAATATGTGCAAAGCAGGGACATTGGAACTCTGTTCTTGTATATTTTTTTCTATATGGATAAATTTGTGTGCATAGAGGGGTAATGAAGTAATAGTTCTGATAGAGAAATTATTAGATTTATTTGATAAAGTAGCACTTATATAAATGTTTTTCAGAAACAATTTGGGTAGCACCAGAGGAATTTGTCAGTTTAAAAGAACAAAAAGCCCAGGAAGAGAAGGCAAAAGCAGAAGAAGAAAAACAAAAAGCTTCGGAAGAGGTTTGTATTTCCAACTTTAATGGAAATTTATTTCTTACTCAGGTACAAAAAGTAATTTTGAATTTAATACATGGTGCATTCCTTCAACAGATTTTTATTCTAACACAAAGCTACTCGAAAAATTGAGCAAATCCTATAACAACAAATTTATTTCAAACAAAGCTACGGCATTAACTAACAAATTAGTGCCCAACCAAATGAGGTTTAAACATACAGCATGGATATAGATCAAAATGAGGACTAATTTATATCTTGCAAGACAATGTATTGACAAACTGTTTTAACTTAGTTTGACAAAATTGAACCAAACTGACTGCTAATAGTGAATTATTATTCAATATCCTGTTCTTGTAAATGTTTGTAATGGAATAAAAGCATACTTTAAATATTTCAACTTTTACTGTCAAAATTGTAGTTAATGCCACTCTAAATTTATGTTTCAGGAAGCTTAATGAAATAAAACTAAAGAAACAATGTTAAAATAAGAAAACCATTAGCTATAAAAAAAAAATATATAAAAATAAGGAGATGTGGTATGATTGCCAATGAGACAACTATCCACCAGAGCTCAAATGCAGTGGATTTTAGCAATTATAGGCCACAGTACAGCCTTCAACAATGAGAAAAATCCATATCTTATAATCGCCTATTAAGGGTCGATATGAAAAATGTGAAGCAATTCATACAAGAAAACTGATGGCCTAATTTATAACCAACCAATTTAAGAAAAAAAAAATGGGACAGACATGAACCAACAAGTTCAGTTTTTAACATGTTCAACAATGACATGTCTTGAAACTTTAAAATTCTTTAAAATGATCAAAAATCTATTTTGAAAGGTTATTTAATTTCAGCAAGATCCAGATGAAGATGAAAGTGATCCTGGAGTTACAGTGGGGCCACTTCCTAGAGTACCCCAGTCAGCTTATGGTAGATGGCAAACAGTTGCTCATCAGTGAGTGTACAATTTGTTTGTTTCAATCATTCTCTGTTTGTGAGGAGAAAAATATGTACGAAATGTATAAAGTGTAGGAATATTTTAAAGACAATTATTCAATGGGGTACTTAAACAAGTCCACTTTTAAGTGTTTTTAGCTATTATTTTGAAAAGTATAATAGAAAGAGTGACTCTTTAAATAGCAAAATTGATGAGCAAGACAAGATCCACAAATAAGTGAACTAAGCCGAAATTGTCAGTCAACTCCTTATTGGAGTTATTGCCCTTTGATGACGATTTTTCCTGATTTTTTGTATATTTGCCTAATATCTTAAAACTATAATAGATAGATAAAAACTTCTATAAGCAAAAATGATAAGCAAGACAAGATCTACAGTTAAGGCTAATTGTTTATATGGAGTAAATGCTCTTTAATGACAATTTTTACCCATTTTTAGTGTTTTTGCCTATTATCTTGAAAACTATAATAGATAGATAGACACTTTAGTTAGCAAAAATGATCAGCATGAAAAGATCTACTAGTAAGTCAAATGGCAGATATCGTTAGTTGACTTCTTATTTGTTTAATAGCAAAAATTATCAAAAAGACAAGATCTACAAATCAGTCAGATTTTTACGAAATCGTTTTTACCCTTTTTTGTGTTTTGGGCAAAATCTAAAGAAGATAGATAGATACTGTATGCAGAAAAAAATTAATCAGCAATACAAGATCAAAAACAACAACAAAATTTTGTCATGAACTCTTTTCTAGTCCACAATGGTGGAGAGTGTCTATTGTTGAAGATGTCCATAGACCTGTTTGAGCAACACAGGCTTTTTAGGGCCTCCTCTTTAATGAAGTTATAATATTTATTCACATAAAACAACAAATGAATTCGTTTCTTTTCTGTAAACAAGTCATCAGGTATCTAGCTGTAACCATTACATTGGTCATATTAGGCATTTTCACCATTCACTAAGATAAGTCAAATATTTTTGAATACATCAAATGAGATTAAACTGCTGAAACCAAATTGATTTTTCTTAGCCAACTATTGACACATTGTGCTTTTTTGTTTATTAGAGCCCTGCAATCTTGTCAGCAGTGAGTGCCCTATAGTAATCACTTTTTTCCCTGTCTGTCAGTCAGCACTTAATTGTCGTATGATAAATCAAGATTTTGGCTCAACCAACTTCCATAATTTTAATGCACAGTGTAAATGATAATAATTACATTACATGTATGTTTATTATAATACGTTATTTTGATTGGCTAACAGCAATCTCGCGTCATTCAGGAATTAATCTTCATTTCAAAATGAATTGTAACATTCATGATGACACGAGCTTCCACAATTTAGTGCACAAGTAAATAAAAAGAAAAACTTGATAAAAATCGTGTTTTCATGATCCTAGCGAAAAAATGTAATTATAAGTATTGAATACTGCTTTTAGTAATTTTATAGGGTTGTAAAAGCGTTGACTGTGCGCACATTTTTAGAATAAAGCGCTTCCGCGCTTCATACAAAATGTACTTCGGTCAACGCTTTTACACCACAATAAATTTACAAAAAGAAGCATTCAATTCTTAAATGAAAGAAAATCCCATTTCCATATGTGTGAAATTTGAACAAAAATTGTGGTAGAAAACATAGTTTTTGTGAAAAAAATCACATATTTAGAATTCTAAACATCTTTTTGTGCTAGAATAACTCTAAAATGTGTAAGTAGTGCCCTTGCTAATTTGTCATTTTTCTAGTATGCATTTTTAATTAGTGCCAGATCCATGTGACCTTAAATCTTAAATCAGCCAACTGGCAAATTACCATATGGTGTCTTTGCAGGCCAAGAAAAAGTTGTTATTAGTTTTATGCTAGAAGGATTTTAGCTTACTAGATATAAGAAGATGTGGTATAAGTGCCAATGAGACAACTCTCCATCCAAGTCACAATTTATAAAAGTAAACCATTATAGGTCAAAATACGGTCTTCAACACAGTCCCTTGGATCACACCGCACAGCAAGCTATAAAGGGCCCCAAAAATTACTAGTGTAAAACCATTCAAACGGGAAAACCAACGGTCTAATCTATATAAAAAACGAGAAATGAGAAACACTCATGAACCACATCAACAAACGACAACTACTGAACATAAGATTCCTGACTCAGGACAGGTGCAAACAATTGCAGCGGGTTTAAAAGTTTTAATGGTACCAAACCTTCACCCTTAGCTGAAACAATAGTGTAACATCATAACATAGAAAGACACACTATAAAATATCAATTGAAATGGCTTAACTCAATCAAAAGACATTTTAACACAAACATAGAAAGACACACTATAAAATATCAATTGAAATGGCTTAACTCAATCAAAAGACATTTTAACACAAGTGAACATACACTGAACAAATAAATTTGATCTATGATACAATGTAAATACAAAATAAATAAAATAAGGGATGAATAATTAAAGTAAAAGTATTATACCGCTGTGAAATGTTAAACAATTTCAAAAAAACAACAATAACCTTAAAACAAAAATCAGCCATTTACAATAATATTATACACAGGTAAATGAAAATAATTTTGTTGTTAGATATACAGTTTAAAAGGAGAAAGGAAATATTTTTACAAAATAAATAATTTTGATGTTCATAGTTCGAAGAAGTGAAAATTTATAGTAATACCAAACACTTATCAAAGCTGGTATATAGACCAGATATAACCCTGAATATTACAGAATAAGTAAACATTAGATAACAAAAAAGCATTACAAATAGTATCAACAGGTCAAATTAACAAGAAAGTACGATTTGAGAGTACTCGCAGTTACTGACAGCTAGTTAAAAGCCAAAAATAATTTATAATAAAAAATCATGCACAAGAGACTAAAATCAACTGAAACACATCCCAGGGATTTAGTATTTTAACGTCATGGACAGTCAAAGAAGACATGACTTGTGCAATGCCAAAAATAAATGTATCAACAGGCAGTAGGATAGTTAGGAGTTAACCTCTTAATAGATAAATATGAACGTAGAATACAATTAGATTAATAGTACTTTTCAAAGTCATTTTAGCACTTTACTATATATTTATATTTTACAGGGAGGAAGAGGAAGAGTTTGTATCAGAATTTCTAGGTCTTCCAACAGAAGCCCCTCCCCCATCAATACCAACAGAACCAGAGTCTATTCCACTACCTTCGTCAGAACCTTTGCCAATAGAACACATTCCTTTACCACCACCACCACCAGATGAAGTAGAACTTCCTCCACCACAGGAGGAAAAGAAAACACAAGAAAAACGATCCAAATTTAAGGAGAAATGTGTGACATCTCTTGGTAAAGACACTAATGTGACATTTAAAAAAAGAAAAATAGCCTCTGGAGCAAGAAATGTACGACAGAGAGATGATGACTGATAGTATTTGGATTGTATTAGGATAGTTATTTTGACAGAGATACTAATCTATCAAATATCAGGAAAACACATAATGTAATGAATAATGTCAAACATGTAGCATTGTTTATGCTGTCAAAACAAAAGTGAAATGGTATAGTACCATCTCATCATTGGACTCCAGGGAAAGGCAACTTAAATTTGCTACTAGGGAGAAGTGTGAAATATGTTGTACACGTTTAAAACGTATGCAGATCTCTAAAATTGTTTCTATGGGTGATTACTCTATTTTCAAAGTGCTGTACCTGGGTTCCATGTTTGTTTATGTGTACTGTTTGTATTTTTCTTTTGGCATTTTTTGTGTGGATTTAGTGTGTAATCAAAACCACTCATTTTAATACACAATGTGAATGACATAATATTTTCTATTGCATATTTAATGTGTAAAGTCTGAAAATGATAATTTAGCAATGCATGTACTAATATTTTTCTTACAAACTAGGGAAATTAAATACTTTTTTTAAAGAATAACATCTTTTTCTATAGCAGATTTTGATTGGAGCGCATAAGCAATTATTGCTATAATAATATTACAGCTTTACGTAACAGTCCTATTTGAAATAACATGCAATAGACAAAATATTTATTTTACATTCAAATTCTCAAATGTTCAAGTGATTGTTTTTACATTGAAATTATAGGGGGAAAAGAGGTGTTGACATTTCACATAGAAATATAAACAAAAAGTATATGTAATATTTGTTCAAATTTCTCAATTTACAAGCTGAAGTGCATCATTGAAGATTGATCAATTGATTAATATTTTTTTGCTAAACTTCCAGTGGAAAATCATTTTGGAAGAGTAACACAATCAAAAATAGCTTTAAATGAAATTTTGGTGAGAAAGGGGAGATAATTTGTTTTTAAATGGAATAAATTAAAATAAGATATCTGGGGCTACATATAAGTGGTATCCATGGTTATCAATACCTATGATACCTCATTTGCTAAATTAGACCTTTTAGTAATTGATAACAAATTTCACCAGTTTTCATTTGAAGATCTTTGATAACTAGAATTTTACTTCTTGTCAAAATGATTGTTGAGCCTGTTAAAAATTGCAAATAAACAAAACTCTTCATCTTTGAACAACAAAAGGCAAATAATACATCATTTTTAATGGATCAAAACACTCTGACAGTATATAAATAGGTATTTATCTTTATTGTACTCCATATATGACATTCTTAGCAGTGAGCTTAATATTTGATACCATTGAGCCAGCAAAAGTAAGTCAATATTGAATAATGTTTATAGAAAAATTCCTTTATAGTATTCAACTAATGAATGAATCATTAAAACCAAAAATTAAGGTAAAACCCCATTTATGAAAAGTTTTTAAAAAGGCTTAAATGAGAACAACAACAGTTTAGGAAGTTTAAATCTGCTAGGAATGACAAAACAATAGTTACATGTAGTTATTTCCCTTAGCCCTAAAAAGATAACTAAGCTTCTCTATGAGGAATTTCATATTTATGTGCTGCACAATTTAAAATGGAGAAAACATCAAACATGAAAAAAAAATTTGAAAACAACAAACTTAAATAAAGAATGATTTTCAGTCACAAAGTTGTTTTAATTTACTTCCAAATAAAACATCTGAAGATTTAAATGAATGATGTTGTAGTTTAAGTTCCTCACATTTTATCTCTTAAGTATTTCTGTATTAACTAGGTTATAGCTGATACATATTTTACAAATTGCCCTTTTTGTTTGATTCTGTTATTGACCAACAGTTGCTGGAATGATGTCTACTAGACCTATTTTGTGTATGTATTTAACTTGGCATTATTAATGCATCAGATATCAAATGCATATTTTCTTTGATAAATAATCATGTACATGTACATAGTCAATAGACCTTTATGATTCAGATATCAGCAGCAAAATAATTATCTATTAATAAAAAGAAATAGAGATAGTGTTTCAGTAATATAAGAAATAAGAATAACTATAGATAATAGGTCTAAACAGTACTCTTTCAGTACAATAGAACTGTTCAGACAAATGAATTGTGTGTCTCATATTTGATGTGTGATATTTGAGATTTGTGTATAAATATAAATGTGAGATGTCATAATCTTTTTTTGTCATTAAATAGATTAAACACTATTGTATTAAATATATCTGTTGTGTTATATCTGACTAGATTATAATTGTCACAAGGAATGGGCAGTTGTGTTAAGGCTGAACTTTTTGCATAGTCTTATATATTTACCATTTTGATCTTGATTTCATATATAGAAATGAACAGTGCATGGCATGATTTTCTGCAACGGTTACTGTATGTTTGAAGTGTATTTAAAAACTTTGAAAATAAAACAGATTAAAATGAGCAAATTATTTTAAATCATAAAAAAATAATTCAACCAGTGCAGTACACACATGTGGAGCAGGATCTGAATTCACCCTAGGTTTTTGGTGGGGTTCATGTTGCTCATTTTTGTCAAGCCTGCAACATTTTGTGACATAAGCTTTACATCAATTAAGTTAACATTAAGATTAACAAAGCTTATTGTTTTTCAGACATCAATAACTTTGTAAAATTTTCATAGGATTATACAAAAACATGGACAGAAGCTGTTTTATAATCAAAAAACAGTATCCAGAGCAAAATTATATACACAAGAATTACAATCATGAGGTGTAAACTATTTGTATTAAGCTTTACATTTCAAAGGGTAGAAGACCTGGAGGCTTCATACCTTGTATACAGATGCCTTATTTTACTAAGTTTCCTTCTGTATAAATGTGTCTGTTGTCTTTGACCTCATTTCCATGATTCAGTGGATCCTTGAAGTTTTTTTTTGTCACATGAATTTCTCACTTATTATGAGTAATAGGATAACTATATTTTGTATATGGGTTCCTTGCAAGGTCTATATATCCGTCACCTGTCCTTGACCTCAGTTCATGGATTAATGATCAGTGATCAAGGTCAAAGTTACATGATTTGGTCGGTTTCTCATATTGGTATATTGGTGTATGGAACGATTGTAAGGTGTTCATGTCAGTCTGTCAGGTTTTCATGTGACCTTGACCTCATTTTCTCACATTATTAGTCAATGTTCAGTTTTTGTGTTTTGATCTTTTTATGGCCCTGCAACAAAGTTGTTGGGTCATATAATTTACCCTTATCCGTCATTCCGTCATTCTGCAACAAACAATTATACAGACTTTTTTTCTAAACACCTTTACATATTGAGCTGATTTTTAGTATGTGAGTTTACTATGATGTGTTACAGACCAAGTTTACGTTTGGTTCTGCTCTGCTGATTTTTGCCGAAACAAGGGGTTTTGAACTTTGAACATTTTGTGAAAATAATAGTTGTAGACTTTTTTCTAAACGCCTTCTCATATTGAGCTGATTTTTGGTTTGTGAGTCTACTATGATGAGTTACAGATCGAATTAACATTTGGTTACGCTCCATTGTTTTTTGCTGAAATTACAGGCTTCAGACTTTGAAAATTTCATAAGAATAGCAGTTATACAGACTTTTTCTAAACGCCTTCACATATTGAGTTGATTTTCAGTATGTGAGTCTACTTTGAAGAGTTACAGATTGAGTTTACGTCTGGTTCTGCACTACTGATTTGTGTCGAATTTATGGGCTTTGAATTTTGAAAATTTCATGAAAATAACAGTTACAGGACTTTCATTCTCAAATTTCCACTCCTAAAAAATGGCTTCAAGCTTTTTTTACGAGCAGGGTCATTCGTGTCATTCCCATTCATCTAGTTTTCTAATACTATAAGCAATAGGTCAACTGTATTTTGTGTATGAAATGATTTTATGTGTACATGTCTCTCTGGCTTGGTTTATCTGATCTTGACCTCATTTTCAAGGTTCATTGGTCGATAGTAAGGTTTCATCGTTTTCTTGAATACTTTAAGCAATAGGTCTAATATATTTGACTATAAAATGATTGTAAGGTGTACATGTCTCTCTGGCTTGGATTATATGAGCTTGACCTCAAAAACGACCTGCGACCTCCGGGCTTTTTAGAGGCGACTTCCGACCTGAGGGCCATCTAAAAACGACCTGCGACCTGTAAAATTTGGAAAAAACTACCTCCGACTTCACCCACGCTAAAAACGACCTTGCCATTTTGGCGCGATGTTTTCCTTTGTGGTCCTTTGTCGCCATTTCGGTTATCCTCAGAGAATTGTTTCGGAAAACTACGTTCTTCCCACCAGTAGAACTAGATCGGGAAGAACAATCGGCTGGCGTTATGACCTATTAGGATGGAAGATCTGATAAAATAAAATGCCCAAATCACATGTCTGTTATTAAACATAAACTGCTGACTGTTGGTCCCACCAACCATGGTCTGCCATACTGTTTTTCTGGCCATCTATCACACTTTTGTCTACTTTATTATACTCCACTACACGCAGTAGAGAAGTATTACATGGTTGGGTATCCGTCCGTACTTCCATCTGTCTGACAGTCCCATGGTGGTATCCAGATGAAAACTTGAGACTGGATCAAAGATTTGTTTCATTTGTTCCCAACTGTTTAGCACTATAAAGTACAAGTTAAGTTTGATTTTCATCTTAAATCAACATGCACTTTTCAAATAATCAATTTTGAACTATTTGTGACCCTTTTTGTATCTATAGTCGGTTAGAAGTCTTCGTTTCTTTGTTTCTAGAGCCTGATAAGCTATCAAATTGTCAAGTTATGATAATTTCTGGACCATTTTTGTATCTTAAAAAATATTTAAGTTGGTCTGGGTTATTGCTTCAAAAAGACTATGGACACTATGGGCGATGGTCATCACTAGCGTATAGGGCACTAGCTACTAGCGTCTCTGTGTGTGCTCCAATGAGACAAATGTATCCAAGTAAGGTTGATGACCAGTTTCATGTTTTATGTCCCGACAACATTGTTGTGGTAAATATAGTTTTCGGTCTGTTCGTCCATCCGTTCGTTCGTTCACTTTTGTGTACCTTTGCGTTTAAGATGATTTCCTGAAAAGTTTCAAGTCGAATCTTCATGAAATTTTGTACCATACTCTCTATTTATCATGATATGGACTAACAACTGTGTACAAATGGGGGAGTTCCATCGAAAATGGAAATAAGCGCCGAGCGGGACACCCCTGTCTTCAAGACATTTCCTTGTTGCCATCAGTCTATAGATCGTGTTCAAAGTATCTCAGTAGGTAAATCCAGCTCTTCATCCTCGTTGATTTTATAAGAGTTCTGGGGACTTGCTCAATATGAATATTGTGTTGGATTAGTGAAGTACTGAATGTTTGGTTGAAACTACTGTTCTGAAAAATCGAAAAGTTCAAGTCCTGTTTCGGTCCCAATATGGAAAAGAACGGATATGGGTTAATGGCACAAAGACATCGCATATTGATCATTAAATGCCACACAAAAATAAATCTAGAGCTGACGACACGAACTTCAATAGAGCAGGAACTTCCAACTTACAGACAGCCATCTCTGGATGGCCTCAAACAAAACAAGAACAACCGAACCCAAGGGCACAGCAAAATGTCCAAATATCTAATTTAAAACTAAAAGATTCAATCAGGAACATATGTCCCTGATTTAATAACACAAGAATCGACACAACAATGACTTAAATCCTTCAAATATAAAAACGACTTCCGACCTCTATGTTGGAAAAAGCGACCTGCGACCTGTACATTTCCCTTAAAAACGACCTCGTGACCTTGCAACGGATTTAAAAGCGACCTTGCGACCTGAGGGGGGTACCCTGTGGGAGCCCCTCTTTTACTTGTTCTTCGTTTTACTTGCCAGTGTATTGTTGTTTTTTTCTACAACCTGATGTTCAGTGGTTGTCGTTTGTTGATGTGGTTCATAAGTGTTTCTCGTTTCTCGTTTTTTAAATAGATTAGACCGTTGGTTTTCCTGTTTGAATGGTTTTACAATCTATTTTTGGGGCCCTTTATAGCTTGCTGTTCGGTGTGAGCCAAGGCTCCGTGTTGAAGACCGTACTTTGACCTATAATGTTTTACTTTTACAAATTGTGACTTGGATGGAGAGTTGTCTCATTGGCACTCATACCACATGTTCTTATATCTATTATGATCTTTGATTGTCTCTTTTGTATCTTCTGCTTATTGTTTGTCCCAACTTAGTGGAAGTTTGATGGTAGCTGTCGACCAGCCATTAAAACTTTTAGCCTTTTTATGAAACTTTTCAGTGGCATTTTTCTAGATTTGCAAAAAGACAGAGAAATGGGGAATATATGCTTTTTGTCCTGTTTAAAAGGAGAGGTTTTGAAAAATGAGAAAGATGTGCTAAGGAAACGAAACGTATCACCATAAGGAAGTTAATCCTTTGCATCTTCATCCATGATCCGCCCCTGATTCTGAGATAATGGTTAGGAACTTGACACGGTTTTCAATTTACCAGTTGCTGTCATATATTTATGATCTAAATGACAACACGTGTATTGTCTCATGTGGGTAGCAAATGAGAACACGAGACACCCTTTTGTGCAAAATATTGAGTATAGACATTAAGATCACCCTTTCACCTTTCTAATCGATGAAGATATTTTGGTTAAAAGCAGATTTATTTTTCACATTACTCTTTTATCATGTTTATTGGAAATTGATATCGAGATATGTTTAGTTCACGTTACCTAAGGATCATTGTAAGCTATTCTCTTTACCTAGTGTATGACGTCCGTCTGTTGTCCATTTGTAATCTTTCTGGTTTTTTTTTAAATTTTCTCCTATGGTTTCCACCGTACTACTGGAAACCAAACTTACCACACTCATCCTTAAGGTGTCTAGTCTAAAATTAATTCCTAAATTTCTGGATGATCGACCTACATAGCCGCCATGTGGATTAAATTGCCGAACTGCACTGGTTTTTGTGGTTTTCTTTGTAAATATTATATAATTTTCCGTTTCTAGTTGTTTAATAAGAAGTAACAAACTGCAAATATCGTTGCAGTTTGTCTTATTTTGAACTCATTACGTATCTTGGACTGCGAAAAGTAATTTAAATAATATCTTCTTTTTCAGCCATTGCGGTTGATATTGTGCCGATATTTTTTTTTATAATTGTATTATTGTAATGAGCTGCAGATCATATATAAGTTTGATGTGGTCGAACTACTTTGTGCCTTATTGGGACAACAGGTCTTGCAAAACTATAACAAAAAACATTAGCTCTGTTTTAAAATGTTTTGTAGGTTATATTCTGTGTAACTATTGTAGTCGGTTGCAGATCGCTCGAGTTTCGTTAAGAATTACTTGACGTTATTATGAAGATATATTTTGATTGAAAAATTCTGCTTTAAACAATTTCCTTCTCTGCTTTCAATTTTCATTGTAGATATCGAGCTGATTTTTGGTTTATGGCTGTATATTCGAGAAGTTACATATATACAAGATGTAATATGGTTGACCTACGTTTGACCCAATTACAGCTATAAAACTTGAGAGATACCTTTTTGAGATGTTTTAAATCTTAATTATATTCCATTATATATACCAAAATAGTCATCTGATCTTTAAATTTACCGGTTGTGACCTAATTCCTATTGTTACATTTTGAAAAAAAAATGGATTTGCATTGCGTGTGATGTATGCGTAGCAAGAGGCGCTTCTTACCCTGTCGATGCATGCACCCCGTCTTGCTCAATTTTGAGTTCATTTGATTCCTTCAGTAATGGTAATTTTGGATTGTACATTCCAAACGTATTCACAACATTTGAACATCTGTAAACAACTGTTGTCTCTTATTAGACCTGAATGGACAATTCTGCGTTTGTTAGTTCAATATGATAATGTATTCACTGTAAAAGAGAGGCAGAAGATACCAAACGGGATATTCAAACTCATTAATTGAAAAGGAACTGAAAATGCCGTGGCAAAAAACGAAAACCAACCAAACGACAAACAACAGTCTACAAAACACAACATAGCAAGAAGAAGAATGGGCAACACGATTCACACCAAAAACCTGGGGTGATCTCAGGTGCTCCAGATGTAGCTGATCTATTGTTATAAATATCATACAAAATCTAGGCTAGCGATACAGAATTGTTTTGATTCTTTTTACAGCAAATGATTTTGTATAAAATTAACCAAATAACTATGTTACTGTATTGATCTAAAAGATGTAATAAAAAGAGGACATAAAATTGAATAGCCATATCAATCTTAGATCAACTTTGCCTGAAGAAGTTGGAAGTCGTATTAATTCTACATGTATCTACAAGGAATTTAAAAAAAAAGCCAATGAATACACGAGGGGATCATGACCACAAAGGTTCGAAAATAGAGGACGATGGAACCTTTTGTTGTTGGTCGTGAACAGACAATGTCTGTCAAATGACTGCTTCATATTTTTACCTACGAAAAAGAAAAGAAATTGTCTTTTATTATGACACGTATACGTACCACTGAACAATGTTATGTCAAAATCAAGTCAAAACCAATAACACCTTGATGCTTTAATTTAAAACAAAATATTGGAAACATAAGCAACAACAGTTAGTAATATGATATATTCTCGGTACGAATTTTGAGAGATTCATAGAATCTGATTACTTATAGAATAAATGAAATTACTCTTCTTCATTTAACCAAAAGTCGATATTTGATTTACTCTATATATGACGTTCTTGTGTTAATTACTAATATAAAACGGAGTGATTGTTATTGCAGAAAGATACTGATATATGACCAGACTAATGCAAAAATTAACTCGTCTACCAGCGGAAGATTGAAAATAAAAATACATGTTTATTGTAGTATCGTGTCTTTATCAGCATAACTATCAACCGATTAATTAATGTTAGTTGGACGAATGAACTTTGTTGCCATATGGTTCCTTGAAAAGATTTACATTTTAATCTCAAAGTAAGAATAACATAAGATAAAAAACAGTAACAAAAACAAAAACAAAAATAGCACTTGTTGATATCACTTCTGTTGATATAATATTGTCAGAAGTTCATGGTAAAGCGGCAGTAAAAAGGTCAATATTTGCCTTAAGAGTATATATATATATATATATACACAAGTCTAAATTGAAAACAACGTTCAAACCTATATATAGATACAATTAATCAAATCACATGCTACATTCATAAGTCATCTTTTTTTTCTTCAAAGTACATGCCAACCCTATTTAAGATGTTATACAAAACAGTATTGACATTGTGTTTCATAATAATGCAAGTGAAAATATAAATAAACTGAAATAAATATGAATGGTACTTGTGCTCATGTGTTCGTTCTTTGTAAATAGTTCGTTGTAAAACTTTAAACGGACAAATGGATGACAAATGCATGAAAGAACATGCTCTTTATTTATCTTTTGTGTGGTTTTCGAAAAAGGCTTACGTAATAAAGTAATGACAAAGTTTGATAAATGATGAAAACTACAATACATGTACGATTCAACTTGTTAGCATTTTTTTCTCTCGCAAAAACAAACCTTTTACTTATAATTCACAATAACCCAGGAGTGATGCTATGTACGAATTTTCCCCAACAATAACATAGGTATTGTTTAACAACAATGTATTCAACAGTTAAATTGATATGTAACATCTATATTGTCGACATTCATTTTGATAATATAATTATTTGACAAAGTTATTTTAATTGATCTTGTACACTAGGATGCCATTCAATCGCAACATGGAAAAGGAGTAGATAACCCATTGCTACAATATTTGATACAACCATCATTGGGAATCCAACTCTGAAAAAAAATTCATGTAATGAATTGTAGAAGAAAAACGAAACTTTGAGGAAACAAGATAAGAATGTCCGTTTGGTGTCATCTTTCTATCTTTCATGAAAACGTTTGTATTTTGACGCGAATGATTCTAAAAGTCTCATAAGTAGCAAAAATTAAAACATAAGATGGCATGAAGTGTTCCAATTTAGTTGAAACATAATATTGACAATATCAGATAACTAAGCATTAACAAACCACCTCTATGTTCTATTTTCTTGAATATAAACGTTCGACTACATTTAAGAATTTGAAAACAAATGGAAAATTAAAAATGGAAAAGTCTTTACGTGTGTCGACAGATTGCTGGGTCATTGACGTTTAATCAACACCTATAACTCATAACTATAGTGCGTTATTTATATTTTTTCATTAAAAAGTATGACCGTTTTTATAAATATACATTGTTGATTTTAAATCCTTCACTTGATAAAATAAGAGACCGCTGTTATCGTTTCCTTCATATTCATCTTCTTTCACATGTCTTCGTAAACCATATTTTGACGAAAGCGTTTGTTAACCACGCTAAACGGGAACTGCGAGCAATGCCCTATCTTTGACAAGACGAATGTGTTCAACATTTTAGGTTGATGTATACCAATCAAATGTTTGAACGACACCGGTTCTTCTTTGTACAAAATCAGTTAAATAAGAATTATTTGCATCTAGGGGTTCATTCTCCAGCTACACTGAAACCTTAAATAACACGAACCAGAATTTCGCCAACGAACTTTTATATATAGTACCATTAGCTTAGATTGAACCAAAGAAATTCTGTTCAGAGTACTTTTCGTTTTGTTCAACTCAAAAACCGTAAGTAGCCCGAATGTTGACCCAAGAAGCCATTTTTTCAGTAAGGAAAATCAAAAATTTAGCTGAAGTTTCCAAAAAAATAGCACAAAAAATAACATTCCGTAAACGGTACCAATTCTGTTTCACCAGATGCGTATTTCGATAATTAATGTCTTTTCAATGATACTCGAGGTCAAAATATTTTAAAAGTCCAAAACCTCATACAAACGTTGAAGACCAAAAGTAAAAACAAGCCCGGACAAGGAAGCAGAGCTATGCAAGAAGGATATACTTCCCTTAATTTATAAACCTAGGGCCAATAAATCAATACACCGATTGTGCATTTTGTCGGTTTCATTTTGAGGTATAAATGGTCTTTCACACTTGTGTTATAAAAGCTGTGATTTTTTACTTTCGAAGACCATAATTTATTTACCTATATTTATAGCTTCCTTTGTATATTTTAAGTGATTTGTTTTTGTAAAGGACTGTTGTAGACCTCGGATTTTGTTTGTTACCTTAATTTGTCTTTTCTTGATCGATTTACGGGATTTGAACATCGGTAAACCGCTGTCGCCTTAATTTAGATTCCGAAAAGTTATGGCGACAACTCTTCATTGATTCTTAAATGTTCGATAATTCAGTAAGTTAATGTAGAAAATAGTTTATGGATTGTTCTCTGTAATTGCAAGCGCAGTCTTGGTTTCATTCTTTCATGTTGTTTGTATATCTATAAGGTTTAAGAAAAATACGGAACACATATATACTTGAAAAATTCCCAGAAAGTGAATCCATATCCATGTTGGTCTGCTATTCCTGCACATACAACATTGGCAGAAGCTCCAATTAATGTTCCATTTCCTATTAGAATAACCAACAACATAAAGTTTAAACACAGATCTGTAGTAATAAATTAATGATGACTGTTCTCATTTTTATAATATATTTCATTCATTTCTTTGTTTCTTTCAGCTGATAATATTTTTTGTTTCGTCAAAGTGAATGAATTTGTAGTATGGGTGATTTTGAGTGAGGTATTTAACGTTTTTACAATACGAAAAGCCAAACAAAGCTAACAAAAGTACGGAATCCATTCCATAGTTAACTATATGATCTCTGAATAGATTCGAGTGCCAAATTTGAACCAATAATAAGGAAAACTCCAGATTTCCTCTGGAAATCGCAAAAAAAGCATCAAATAAGTTTATATTGATGAAATGTCTTTATATTATTCTAAATCGTTTTATTATATCGATGAGATGAAAACATCCATAAATCCACTGATCAAGTGCGACACGGGTCTTTTGTTTCATGAATCCCTATGGCACCTTAAAATGAGATAAGTAAGTGTGTTTTGCTATTTAATTGATCAGATGTGTTAAGTTAGTTTTATTTCGTGTAGAGGGTTCTATTGAAACGCATGTATTCCTTCTACAATACTAGCATACTATGGTGTGCATCAATAGCCTTTCTTACTGTACAGAAAACTACACTACATAATACACATAACTACATTACCTCCGAGACAAGCACCAAATGCCAATGCTAGTATCATGGGAAGTATAGGGACCTGTTCATTTTCTGTAAGTTGAACTAAAACTGGTATCTAAAGAAATTCAAAGAATCATGGGTAAGATATGAACAAAACGATCAAAATACAACAAAACAAGCCACCTTTTGTTTTAAGTAAAATTATGAACTACCGTTATTTCAATACAAAGTTAACATTTATGATGTTCATTTCCTTATAAAAGTATAACAAAGAGAAATATATGAATATATAAATAGAACACAAATAATCATTTCAAACATAGATATACATTTAACACGAAAAGAAAGTCAATCAAAGATAGAAATAAATAAGGAGCTTATGTCAAACCATGATAGAATATTACTAATATATATTTCATGAGAAGCTGGACACATGCAAACGGTGTTGCCATTGATAACGATCAGAACAGCTTTAGTTTGAAATCAGCGAAGGTAACGATATAAATTCCGGAGCATATGTATGCAGTTTTTACATTGTTTGCATAGCATTGTTTGCCTCGTGCGTAGCTCAGATTCCTTGTCCATGTTTGGCTTTAGTTATGTGCTCGTTTTGGATTAATCAGCTCTTCAACATTTGTAATTGGTCTAGGACTTTTAAATATTTTGGACACGAGCATCACTGTTCAAAGAGACATTTGTTTTCGAAATGCGCATTTGGTTTGTAAAATTGGTAAAATTAATGTTATCGGATGAATACAAGGCGTCATATATTTATAAATTTTTTCCTGTAAAGGCTAATATGGCTAAGTTTATTTGGAATAAACAATTCAGAAATCTCTAACTCGTAATTATGCTAAAAAGTATACCTGATCATATGATTTATTACTAAAAGTTATACAAAAGTATTCATTTCAACACGTTTTTGTATGATTTACATATGATATATTACCATTGCTGTTGTATATGGAATGTTGTCTATGAAACTTGAGGCGAATGCGGATACCCATAGTATTAACAAAACTGCAACTATTAACTTTCTATCTCCAGCATTACCAATTATATCTCCAACTGCTTTGCCGATTTCATCAATCAAACCTAATTCTTTCAGTGCCTAATTAAGAATGAATTTCACTGGGTGAGCATAGTTAAAGAGTATATGTTTTTAATTTGATATTAAACATATGATTGCTATCATTCAGTGATATAAAAAGAGGCGTTAGATACCAAGGAGTCATTCAAAACTCATCAGTCGACGAAATTTGACAATGCTATGGCAAACTTTTCTCGTTTAAAGTGTTTCACATGTCGTGGCAATTTATATCAGACTATACGGGTTTGCATGTGCTTACTGTTGAAGGAAGGTCGTACTTTGGCTGATAGTTGCTTGAATCGAAGTCATTTGGACCCTGGTAGATAGTTGTCTCATTGGCAAATTTCCACATCATCTAGATTGACTAATATGTTTTCTAACGGGAAAACGCGATAGAAGTAAATGAACACTCTTACTGGTTACCTGTGAAATCAAGCAGAAAAAGATGTTTTATAGATCCTTTGTCAATATCTTAATACTTATGTCGTAAATCATCTGACCCCTATTTCGTATGAAAGTAGAAATTTTGACCGGATTTATCGACAAATAGATATAGGAAGATGTGGTATGAGTGCCAATGAAACAACTCTCCATCCAAGTCAAAATTTATAAAAGTAAACCATTATAGGTCAAAGTACGGTCTTCAACACGGAGCCTTGGCTCACACCGAACAGCAAGCTATAAAGGGCCCCAAAAATTACTAGTGTAAAACCATTCAAACGGGAAAACAAACAGTCTATCTATATAAAAAACGAGTAACGAGAAACACTTATGAACCACATCAACAAACGACAACTACTGAATATCAAAATCTATATGTAAAAATATTGAGAACAGACACCCTTTTATAAAATGAATTCAATGGGCAAAGAAAAACACTGTTTATACAATTTCAGTACGGCAACTGTGTCTGTATCAAAGGTTTTAGGAATGCATTTAAGCCCAAGTGGAAAAATAGGAAAATATTTGTTTTTTGAATAGCAAGACGAGAACCAATGGATTTATTCTTAACTTAAAAATGATGTCAAAAATACTTACTTCCATGAGAACAAATAAAGCAGCAAAGAAAATGAGCGTTGCCCATTCAACTCTGTGGAAGATATTTTCTAATTCCTTAATGTCAGCTAGGATCATTAAAATAATAGCCCCAACAACGGCAATCCAACCTGAAAGTGAGTCAACATTAGCTTGATTCGAATTAACCACCGCTTAAGGAATAATAGTACTGTGTTTAAAAAGTTGCCGCCGTCAATTGGCGATTTGATGGTCGCAAATGCAGTTTTACTGGCGATGTGTAGCGGAACGCATTTGCGACCATCAAATCGACAATCGAACATTTAACAATAGCTCATTCTTACTTTGCATTTGGTAAGAAATGGATGCTCGTAATATAATTTAATTGCTAATTTATAAAAGCTGACTTTTTGTGGACGTCGCATGCGACATTTCCGTAAATTCAACTTTTTTTCACGGAAAAGTTCATCTGTTGAAATATAATTTGACCTTTTTATGTATATTAAGATTTGGTAAAAGACGTGTATAATGGCAAATTATAAGAATGCGATTTGTTTAGTCTTTCAGAAAACATATAAGATTTTCGCTACTTGTTTTGCGAAATAGGTGCAATTTGGGTACTCGGTGCGATTTGGGTACTGTGACGTTATATGCAATAACATAACTCCTTATTTTTGACAAATTGTGTTAACATGGTTCTCTTTGATCGATTAAATTTCATATTTTGAATGATATTATGATATATGATTATACAAAGTTGAATAGAAAATGACAAAAAATATGTTTAGTTGTCAATTAAAGGCAGTTCACTTTGAATTGCAAACGATTGGGTTTAAGATTCTTCTAGTACTTTGGAAAGTAAACTTATCTTTCATTGCGGCTTACTAGTACTTGATTGAATACATAATCGGCCACATTCTTTATTTTAATGGAAACATCTAAAATCTATTTGACCAACATTGTCAATAGACAACACTGTTATATTGAAACTGTAATTTCAGCATGTTAAGATAATTTCTAAAATGGCTTATTGTTTTTAATTGAGCAAAATGCAAATTTAGCATTCGATATAAGTAGTTCATTAGGAAAATTTGCAAGCAAAATAAGGAGAGATAAGTGGTTCAGTTCAAGAAATGGCTTTAGGTGGATTTTAAGGTGTTTTTTTTTTCTTTGCTTCGATGAAATTGAAGAAAGTGAAGAACTTAGTGCAAATGGTGCTGTAAAAGCGACCAACTCGCCAAGACTAATGTGAACACCATTTATAAACGAATGTTCAGGAAATGGCTTTATGCAGCTTTTAGGGTTTATTTTTTCTTTGGTACGAGGAAAATGGAGAAACTGAAGAACGAAGTGCAAGTGGTGAAGTGGTGCTATAAAAGCGACTAACTCACCAAGACTGATGTAAACACCATTTATAAACGAATGAAGGAAAAAGAAGACAATGACCGCAAATAGGACAATGGTACATTTAACTAGTAACCATTTATCCGTTATGTAATACTGAAATATAAATAACATTATGCAATATTTGGAATCAGTTGAAAGATATCATAATTTGGCTATGCTATATTTATCTCTATCTAACTCATGTTCTCATGTTAAAAGATAAAAATACTTCAGAATTAAATATTTCATTTTGTAATAGAATAATGAAAAAATTTATATCGAACTTACCTTTCTCTCTAATTCTGCGACATTTTGTTCAAAATTGGTCTGTTTTGTATTTCTATAATGATGATATAAACGAGAAATTACAATACAAACCATTATCACGATTGTGAACATTCATATATAGTTAAATATAACAAGCGAGTCACAACCCAAATTTTCTGGTAAATGAGAGCACCACGTGATTTGAAAAGCAAGAATACAAGACATTTCTTATTAATAATTTTTGTTGTCAACATACTTTGGCCGAGTCAAAAACCTGAAACTGATGTTGAGAAAATGAAACAAGCAAATAGAGCCCAGGAATGATTAGAACTATTTTTCTAATTTTTTCCAAATGCACTGGCCTCATATAACAGGTGCAAAATGAATACAAAAGCTGCCTAAGCAGTGCCTCAGAAAAACACTTCCAAATTAAAAATAGGTTTGTCAAAATGTATTTGTATACATTTACTGATACTATTAGACTTATAATGTGAGTGTGATTTAAAAGATTTTAAAAAGGATGCTATTTCATGTGTTTGATGAAATAAAAAAAAATATTGATCATTACAACATATTGTCTGTGTTCTGCCAATTCATTAAACTGAAAACTAACTTTAAGCCAACAGCTGAGGATCAAATGCCTAAGGAATGTGAAACGATAGCTTACCTCATATTATACATCAGTCTTATCAATGCATTTTCTTTCTCTGTGGCTTTTTGTAAAAACAGTGCTTTCATTATGCTTTCCTCTCTAGAGGCAATGTTGACACGGGCTGCTGCTCTTCTCCATACATTTATCTCGTGTCTCATTTCTAAATCACAATTACAGAAATTAATATACATAAACACTTTATCAAGAAAAAGATGATTTATAAATTAAAAAAATTATGAAAAAAAGCGCATTGTCTCTTAAACACGGTGAGATTTAAAAGAAGACATTGAAATAAAGCAAGTTTCTGTCATCCTTTCTTATCCGAGTCACTTTTTCGTTTTTAGTTCAAACATCTACGAGTAAAACATATTAATTGTTTATATCTATATTACCTGCAACATCAATAGGTTCTGGGTTTTCTAGTGAATCCATTTTTGTATAAAACAATCTCATGACACCGTAACCAACAAAGGAAACCAGAACTATCCCAGGGAACATGTGCAATGTAAACATACTAAAATCTGTATCCTGCATATATATTCATATGTTGTATTTAAATTTTAAGTTGAAAGACTAAATTGATATAAGAAATGCATCAGAAAAAAAGCATTAAAATAACAAAGAGTACGTCTGAAAAATTAGAAATAACATAGGGTACTTAATTCTTAGACCATTTAGAAATTAAAACATTCAAAGAAAGAAGTATGAATAGATTCATTACATAATGTTGATTTTTTTTTATGTGAATGCGGTTAACATAGTTTGATGTTTTAAGTGCAGAAATGTCACTTGTAATGTCATAAACATGTTATGATTAAGATACTTCACAACAAAGGCCATTTACAAATATTGTTTGGTAAAATAAAAAATGAGGAATAGTACTACGTGATTGTTCGGCATGGAAATAGATTAATAATTTGTTAATATTTGGTTACTTTATAAATACAGTGGTTTAATATCGAAACATTTTAAATGTTTTAAGCAGCAACTACATAAATAGCACACATTACGAGAGCTTTTTTTTAAAAAGTCTGATAATTTATATACTACATATTTAACCGTAAAAAATCTGACCTTATATGGTTTGAAGTCTGGAGTTGACACTATAATGACATTTGGGGGATCTCCTATACCTGTTGCTGTGCCGCCTATGTTTGAGAAGAGTACTTCAGCTATCAAAATCTTCTTTGGGTCTAGATTCAATACTTCACATAATCTGGAAATTAATGAAAACGTCTATAACATTTATATTAAATAAAATTTGAACATAATAAAAATCTTGATACATGCGACATTAATATATATATAATATATATATATATATATATATATATATATATATATATAAACAAGTCTAAATTGAAAACAACGTTCTATCCTATGATTGCGTTGGATAAAAACCGCAATTTTTATACGTGTGCATGCAAAACAAATTTCTTAGTAGATGGGTCTAAATACAGCACAAACAACATTTTCCAAAAGACCAAATGAGTGAAAAAGTATATTTTAACAAAACGCATTTGACTAGCAGGTCGAACAACTGATGTTCTTAAACCCTGCTGACTGCCATTGGCGATTGCCAAATAAACGGATCACCGATGTAATAAATGGATCTCAATTATAAATTGAATACTAAACAGAAAACAATAAACTTGCGGAAAAGATGGTATACCGCAAACAAAAGGTGCAAAGGTTTTTGTACACCATATCCGGATTTCGACAATTAATGTCTCTTCAGTGATGTTAGGAATCGAAACGGTATTTGGAAGGCCATATAATTTGCCTCAATTTAGGATAGACTCTTGAATTTTGAAAGAGTCAAAATAGGATGAACGGATCATATAAACCCGAAGGCAAATATAATACTAGCCCAAACGAAAAAATATAAACAAGTCTAAATTGAAAACAACATTCTATCCTATGATTGCGTTGGATAAAAACCGCAATTTTTATACGTGTGCATGCAAAACAAATTTCTTAGTAGAGGGGTCTAAATACAGCACAAACAACATTTTCCAAAAGACCAAATGAGTGAAAAAGTATATTTTAACAAAACGCATTTGATATATATATATATATATATATATATATAGTTTAAAAACATCCGTTGATTCAAGTCTCTTGATACGATTCTGAAATCGATTTAAGGACTCATTCTCAGTTAACATTTTTAATGATCGTTATTCAATATATATTCCTTGGCACTTTTTTTTCATATGTACACGAATAAGTATGGTTATTACCCCCTTCTGAACAGTAAAGAGAAATAAAAACACAAAATCGTATTTGTTCCCCTTCCATGTCAGCTATTTGTTAACAAAAAAAGCACGAATCATCATTACTCAATATGGTTTTCTCTTCTACATATATCTTTGATAACAAACGCAATATATTTTTTGATAATTTTAAAATCTAATACAAAACCATAGGCATCTGATTGTCATGTTTCACATGCTTACCTTGCTTTTCCTTTCATTATGTTAGTTTCTACTTGCCTTTTATGAAAACAATAATTACCGAGTGCTTTTTAATTTTCATACATTAATTTATTATAATTACCGTATCGTCACTGGTGTTAACAATAAGATAGTTGTGACATTATCCAGGAAAGCAGATACTATGGCACTGAATGCGCACAACAAAGTAATCAGTGGCCAAATTTTTCCCTTTGCAGTTTTGTATGCCTGTCAATAGGAATTTAAAATTTATGGGAGATGCATGCATAAAACGAGATATTCCTACTTATGTTTCTAATAGCTATTGTAACTAAAAAATATCTGACACTAAAACTTATACGACATATGTTCGCATATATATGCTAGGTTTGACATTCAAGTTTAAGTTTTCTGTGTATGTCGCAAGTTGTGGCCTGGCTTAAGCTTGTAAAGATCCTGTATTGCCCCTTTGAATTTTCATTTTGGTTCATTTTCTACTACAAATGTAGATTTAAGATTTAATTGATAAAATATGAATCATCCCCATGAGTCGGATAGGAAATCTATTGTATATATCAAATATATGTCTCATGGATTGTATTCTTAGGGAGGAATACTTTTTTAAGAACAAAATGATCGTCCTTCACCAGAGAGAGCTCTTGTTTTTATGTTTTTGTATGTTCATTAGAAATTATGGTACAAGTATTTATGTTGATTGAGATCTAACTGACGCAGAATGTTGAAAGTACATTTGCCTTGAACTGAAATACATATAAACGCAGCTATCTAGAATGCTTAGATTTTTTGTCTTGTTGTCTTTTGTACAAAACGTTAACTAAAGCTCAATGCAACTGAAAATTGAATTGCTTAACAGATAGCAAAACAGACTAAGTGCCTCTACATCTTTGGTTGGTAGTTGTTCCAATGGAAATCATACCACATCTTTGACACTCAAATATTTAGCGTAAGGTGTTCCTAATGAAGTTAGATTTAGAAAAGATCTTCGGACGCAGCAAATTTGTAAAGTATTAATTTCATTTCTTATTTTATACAATAATTTTTAAACATACCTTTAAGGCAAAGAAATCAAAGAAGCCAGTTTCTGAGAATATTGACACCAGTATCATCATGCCAAAGAGCAGCATTAATGTTTCCATATCAATCCAACTGATTATAGTGTTTAAATTGGGTCTCTATAGTAAAATGGACTCAGCAAGTTTTATAGTTACATACATAGATATACATATTTATTGTTCTATTATAAATTAACAAGCGTATCTCCTATATATTTATGATTAATCTTATTCCATCGTAAGACTTAAAAGGATAATATTATCTTAAAGACTTGATAGCATTTGACGAAAAGTTTAATTAAAAAATCTGTCAATAAGCTTGAAAGTGTTGAATTAATAAGATACCAATACCATATATCAAATGAAAACACCAACGTAAAGAAAATAAATGAATTACCTCTCCATAATGAGCAAGGACTGCAATAGCCGCAAGAGAACCAATAAGAGCTGCCATTGCTCGATGTACTAACTGAAGTTAGAATATTAAGTAACCATGAATTCATGAAAAATAAAATAAACGATTTTTTCTGTCCTAAAAAATAATAATAAAATAAAAATTGTGTACCATACCATGACATTATAAAGAATAATTTCATAACGACAAGAAATAATATCTTTGTGGATTTATTGTCTTTTTAAAATACCATATGATATCAATGAATCAAAATATAAAAACAATACTTTTCTTGACTACGACTTGTCTAGCTCATTAAATATATATTTCTACATCATTTCAGTGATATATTGATATTATGATAGCAATAAACAAGCAAAGTTATCATAATTAATAGAAAGTTGGAAATAATCAAACATTGCTTATAAACAAACGTGTTCATGCTCAAGTTTCTATTTCTAAAATTCCCAAAACGCTAAGGTATGTGCATCATTACACAGAACATTCAGTGGATAAAATTTAATAAATGAAGCTCCACCCCCTCCCCTCTTCCCTCCCCTCGTGTCATCATCCCGTAATACAGTGGTGTCATTGACTGCTTCTGTTATATTTGTTTTTCGTTTATTTTTAGCATAAATCATGCCGTTGAAATTCTTTTATGCTCTCTGAAAAAAATTCAGGAGAATATTGTCACCACTTCGCCCGTCTATCTTTCTGTATGTCTGTCCGTCCTACCACTCATCCGTTTGTGCAATGAAACAAATGGTTTTTGGATTGTAACTTGAGTTTCCCCTGCTTGAATAAAAGTTATACACATGAAATATAAAGGAGAGGAAAAGAGGCCTATTGATTTTGGGGTTAATAGATCAAATTTCTTGGTCGGTGTGTACTAAAAATCAATTTTTTTTAAATGGTTTCCGGATGATAACTCGAGTTTTCTTTGCCTGATTAGATTGCATCTTATATACATGAAAGATATAATGAATGGGTAGATGCCTATCGATTTCGGGTCAATAGGTCAAAAATAAAGGTTACTGATACTGAAAAAAGATTTTCTGGTGGAAAATGATTACCAGATTGTAAATTAAGTTTTCATTGCCTGATTGAAATGAATTTATTCAGATGGGAGATATGGTGATTGGAAAAAAGGCTCTATTTGATTTTGAAGTCAATATAACAAAATACAAGGTAACTGTTACACAAAAATAATTTTAAAAAGTTAAGTTCCAGATGTGGACTTAAGTTCCCTTGCTTGATTGAAATGAAACTTGTTCATATGGAAGATATAGGAAGGAGGAATACACCTGTTATTAAAAAAAGTCACTTTCATAAAAAAAATATCCATGAAATGTAAGTTATATTACTTACTTATTAGATACATTTTTGGTGATTAGTCCATATAACTGGTGGGATAGCATGGATGAGGGGAACCGACACCTCGTTTAAATTGGAAGCCCAAAAAATGGTCCTTTGTATATTATGGTTTGGAGAAAGTAGCAATTTTGGTTTCTACATAACGTCCTCGAGTTCGGTTCGAGAGGATCTGTACTCCCTAGTTTGGATTGTTTCACACCTTTCCATGCTGGGCATTTTATAGCTTGCTCTAAAAGCACTTTGGAGGTCAAATCAAGATAAAGATAAGGCAGGTGCCACTAGTACAGCATGATCTGCTTACCCTTTCGGAGCACATGAAATATCACCCCTATAAAATAAGGAGATGTGGTATGATTGCCAATGAGACAACTTTGCACCAGAGTTTTGTTTAAAAGGGTTTCGTGAAAGTAAAAGGACGGCTATCACTAGTTCCGCAGGATCTGATTAACCTACCGTAGCAAATGAGGTCATTACCAGTTTTTCTTGGGGTTCGTGTTGCTAAATCTTTAGTTTACTATGTAGTGTTTTATGAACTTGTTTAACTTTTCGTCGTCTTTCGTTATTGGCCATGGTGTTGTCAGTTTCTCTCGACTTATGAGTTTTGAATGTCCCCATATTATTTTCCGCCTCTGATTGTAAAGAGTATTGAAAACCAAAAATTACAAGAATTTGTGACAGATGGCTACAAAACGCATATACATATTCTATCTCAACATTTAAATTTTCAATTATAGAAAAATATGTTGCTTTAAGTTAAATCTCATATGTCTGAGGATTAAACAAATGTATGGAAATGCACAATGTTTGATTTGGAAGTAAGGTTAAGAGGCAGGTTCAATGGAAAGCTAGTTTTTGCTAAAGAAAAACTATTTTCAAATAACATGAATAGAGTTACTGCTGCTGCGCACATTGTTTTGTTTGTTTTCACTTTTGATTTGTATCCTTAAGCTTATTGGTAAGGTACATAAATATCTATTTTTTTCTTATCTACTTATACTTACATCAAATATAATTAGAACGTAAACACCAATTAACACTAAAACTGCAAGGATAACTCTTTGGTCGTGTTCATGTACGCTATAGTACAACGGTATACTGTGATTTGAGTTTGTTTCAAACAACAAACTACTATTTCTACAAATAAATGTGAGAAGCGATAGAAAATATGCAGTCACCATGTATATATTGATATGAAAGAGCATTTTTATCGATTAAGATTAAATCTACACTTGACACTGGATCATCTTATAAAATAGAACTTAAATCATTTATATTTACTTTTCTAATTATTGATACAAGGTACATGTATTGCGTACATTATAAGTATTGATTAACAAAGAGTTCGGAAATACCAAGTGAATAATCATAGGAAATGTATGCAACAGTAGTTTACAACTGTCATTCAAGTGGGAGGTTTAGATAGCTATAAAATCAGTTTAAATCCAACATTTTCTTTGGTAAAGCATGTACCAAGTCAGGAATATGACATTTGTTTTCCACTCGTTCCGTTGGTTGATAACGTTTGATTTTGTCAGTTTTTATGGAATTACCCTTTTTGAAGTTACCTTGGAGTTCGGTATTTTTGTTTTACTTTTTTACCAATGTTTAAATCTCATAAATTGATTAAAAAGACACATTCATGTAACCTAATTTAATCGCATGAACTCAAAAAAAAAAAAGCAACACCGGGTTCATCGACAGGGTAAACGTCTCCTGCTGTGCATGAATCACCTGTCCTGCGAGTCCACACTGTTACAATCGCGGGAATAGGACACAATTGGTAAAATTACAGAAACACGACACATATGGTATCTTTTAAAAGATCTAAGACTACGAAAACATGTCGCTAGTGAGTTGAGACACAGATATATCGTATCGGTCAACCATTTAGTGATGGTGACCGTTAATCTTATGTAGTGTCGATTTCAGTTGTTCTTTCTCATAACTTTATTGGAACAGTTTTTGTGTAAGAAGCTTACTAATGAAGTCCGTATAGAATGAACATGATATATATATAAACCGACATTACCAGGCCAAAAATAAAAACAATGAAAAGACAAAGAATAGTCTTCAAAACACTACAAAGAAAACTAAAGACTGAGCAACACCAAATAGTGATGTGATTTACAGGAATGAACAAAGGATAATTCATACTACGAATTACTGGATGCTTTCAGAAAAAGCCATTAGCTCAATCTCTGATAGTTTGAAGCTTATCCTATTTTAACTACATTTTCAAAAAAGAATGTTTAACCAACCTATCACATGGCTTTACAACAGATATTTAAAACTTCATCTGATATCTGACTTACATCAGGCCTTTGGTTTTCTCATTAGATTCGCTTTTTGTTATGTAAAAGCCTTTTATAGCTTGCTTTGCGATATGGATTAACTCATTGTTGAAGGCCGTATGGCATCCTACAGTTGCTAACACTTGCGTCATTTGGTCTCTGGTGAATAATTGTCTCATTGACAATCATACAATTCTCCGTATTCTACAAACAAATTACAATTTATTTCATTATTACCACAACACAGTTTACATATGTAAATTAAGACAACAGTACTTCATGAATGTTTAATTCTCATAAATCAATTAAGAAGACAAATCAAGAAAACAAACAAAAACTAAGGGTTCGCATGAACTCCAAAAGGAGCTAGACTGGGTGCGGTCTTATAATCTGATAGGTATATATTAAATTTGAAAAAGCAATACCTTGTATGAACTTTAAAATCATGTTGATAAACAGTAAGGTCATTTTCATCATAGAAGTTCTTACTAATGTTCTTTAAAAGAAAAGTCAGATCTTGGGAACTCTGAAAAAGATATCAGTAACTAATTAACTATAAAGGTAAATACAAATAATGACGAGCATGCGCATTATTATACTAAATTTAAGGTAAAATGGTATATTCTTCATATTGAACAAGGAAGGAAATGTTAATCTTTTCAAAAGAGCTTTATTAACTTATTTATCATGTACTTTTGAAATATTGTCATCGTTTTTCTTTTTTGAAAAATATTGTGCTTGTGCGTATCAAATGTCTTATATCTCATTATATTGACATTGGTTACGAAACACCTTTTTAATCATATTGATTAACTTTATTGCTATGCATATTTCTCAAGAACCGAAAAAAAACAAGAAGCAAAGATTACAATATTTAAGGGAGGAAAATTATCTTCTTAAGTTTGAGAACACAAAACGTAACCATTAAACCATTCATGAACAATAAGTAGTGAAACCTACATGAACCAAACGTAATTCGACCTACATGAATCAAACGTAATTCGACTTACACAACAGAGAAAAGATTGCATGATATTTTTCTGTGTAAATTATTTAAAACTGATGTTTATCTTTCCGTCGTTTTTCTTTTGGTCATTAAATGTCTGCGACTTACTTAGTAACAAAATTATTAAAGCGCTATTTCTTAAGATGATTCAGTGTCGAGTGAAGGTTAAATCTTAATTTATAGAAAAAGCTCCGTAACATCAATATTTGTAATATAGAAAAATAATTTGAAATGTTTGGTTTCTGGACAAGGAAAACCCATAAGGCTTTGGACGAACTTAGGAAACCATAAGCCATAATAGTCGCTGCTTCGATCGCCACTGACATGATTTGAAACATACGTGTCTAAAATGTACCCTCAATAAATTTAGAAACTATTAAAAAAAACTTAGGTTTCAGCTCCCTCGGCCAAAGTTGGCATTAGATGATTTTGGCAATTCCTTTTTATATCCATGTTGGTCATATAGCTCCTGGAGTTTTTATACATCTTCAGATTTCAAACTTTTGGTTTAAAGCGTTTTTGGTGAAGGTTAATCTAGAAAAACGCTCATGATTATTTCTAATTATAATGATTTATTCATACCTGATTTGGCTCTATAGCCTCTGACAGGTTGACACGTAACATTGGTACTGGTGAAGCACTTGTGTTTCCTTGTTTGAACGGTCCTTTTATCTTTACTGTCACATTATTCATATCATGAATATGAAGGTCTTCATCTTTAAAATATAAGTAAATACATTATATATATAAAAAAGTATCATCAAAGATACCAGGATTATAATTTGGTACGTCAGACACGCGCTTCTTTTAACTAAAACTCAACAGTTGCGCTCAAATCGTAATAGTTTGAAGGCCAAATAAAATACGAATAAAATTGTCGAACAGCAGTTAACCCCGAAAATATCTAAAAATTATGCCAAGTAAAGGCAATCCATGTCTGGGAATAGAAAAATCTCGTTTTTTTTTTCAATAATGATTTAGCTAAAAGCAAAAATTCTCCCAACATGTCATAAGAGTTGCAAATGATTTTGAAAGGCTGAAATGTACTCTTTTATTATGCAAGTGTAAAAGATTATTTGTAACTCAAAATGAAGGAAAACAATCTGCAATCTTCTGTCTAAAATTGATATTCTGATTGGTAAATTTTTAATCAAACACAAGTATTAGCAGTGGTATTCGGATCAAAACAGTTGGAATATCACAATTTTTGTTTAAAGAACTGTAAATATATAGAAAATAACCGTATCAATGATATTTCATGTCAAGACAAGAGTGCTGATTACCTGGTTCGTGATACCCTTGGGAACGAACGTCCATTATCAATCGCATCGACCTAGGGGTTAAAATAAGTCCTCAAAATACTAGACATTATTTTGTAAGCTAGATGTTCGTTTCATCTACACAAGACTCATTCGAATTTTGGTTAACATATCATTGGGATTCTTGCTCAGTTCTTGGCTTCTTACTTTATCATCCGAGCTTTAAGGAAATCAATTGGCTTTCAACTGATCAAACAGTTTGCTAAAACCAAATCCAGGATAGACCTTGGCCAATTGTGCTATGAATAGAATTGTTTTGGATCAGTTTTTTCAAATATTGTGCTATAGTTAGAATCTGGCTTGCAGGTTTGCAGCGTCGTCTTTCAAGAAAACATGTACGGTAAGTTAAAGCGACAATAAATATATTACGAAAAAACAAATCCAGGTTACAATATAACTGAGGGAATCGCATGAACTCCAAAACGAACGAGACTGGAGTATGTCAACAGGGTAAGTGTCTAATGCTATGCATGCATCAGCCGCCATGGGTGAATAGAGTTGTTTAAAGATTTTTTACTTTAACATAAGGGTAAAAATATCCAAGATGACTTTGAAGACCGTATATCCAAAATAATTTTTTTACAACTGATGTTTTGTAAAAATTGATCTAATGCAATGAACACTTTCGTCTTTATTAAAGATGACAAAACTTTCCAAACAATAACAAAATTCTATATAATTACACGTCGGTATGTGATATGCATTTATCTATCTTCTGATATAGGGTTATTTCACATGAGATTACATTTTATCTGCATGGTGTGTAAAATGATACGAATTTGGTTATTGAGAACAATAAAATCCCGTGATATGATGCAATGTAACGTTTAAAATAAGTATTATCTCAGCTTTTTGTTTAAATTTACTGTGAATGAAAGCCAAAAGAAAAACTGTTTCACTTCGAATGACTTCGATTAATAAACATAATATTCTTATACTTGCAAAGTTATTACAAAAATATCAATTTTTGTTGTTAAATAAAGGCAACAGTAATATACCGCTGTTCGAAACTCATAAATCGATAGAAATAAAAACAAATCCGGGTTACAAACTAAACCTGAGGGAAACGCATCAAATATAAGAGAAGAACAACGACACAACAAAAACACAACATTAAAAAAAATGTAATACACACAGAAACGAACTATAATATAACAATGGCCATTTTCCTGACTTGATACAGGACATTTTAAGAAAAAAATGGTGGGTTGAACCTGGTTTTGTGGCATGTCAAACCTCCCGCTTTAATGGCAACGTCAAACACAACACCAAAACGACAACATCACATGACAGGACCACAATACAAATAAATGGGAGAACATATAGGACAACGAAACACACGAATAATAGCTAACAAAAGGTACTAGGCTTAACATTCAATACGCCAGACGTGCGTCTCGTCCACACAAGACCATCCAGTGACGCTCAGATGAAAAAAGCTTGAAAGCCAAAACAAGTACAAAGCCGAAGAGCACCGAGGACCAAAGCTTCCAAAAAGTTGCGCCTAACACGGCCAGGGTTTCTGCCTGGGACAAGAACATCCTTATTATTTAGAATTAATATTTGTTTCCCCAATATATACTAATTGTATGTGATTCCCATTACAGAAAAGTAAAAAAAATCAACTTTAGTTTATTTTATGTAGAAGATATAAACTAAGACGTTAATCATGTACATCTATCTTGTACAAAATTATTGACATAAGACTGCTGTTTAATCATTATACGTTATGATTTCATCTTAAAATGTATATTAATTCATGATATTCTTATTTCTTTTCTTTTTCAATAGTTTGTGCAAAAAATTACTTAAAATGAAACTTAGAAGTACAGTTAATGAAAATAACACTTTATAAATTCTGTGCGTCGTCTGCGGTCGTCGAAATTTAAAAAAAACTGCAAGCCGATCAAGTGTATTTAGTGTTATGAATATGAATACAGTCAAGGAGATGACATGAATAACAAACAAAAAACACATTGGAGTTAACAAAACAGTTTGGTTTTTTACAATGGACTGGAATCAACACAATATATGTCTTGACATGTTGAACTTGATAGAGGTCACCAGAATTTCTGCCACATATGCCATATTTTATGAAAGGACACAAAAAACTAAAATATAACTTAAGAAAAACATTTACGACATTACTGTCTAAAGACAGGCATATCAACATTTGCTGGAGTTTAAGCTTTTATAAAACTTAGCCCCAATTCACTTTTTTACCTCAATCAGTGAAAACAAAAGGTACAATGATAATTTGGCAATCATATTGAGGGGTAATACGGTAAGGAAATAAGAAAAATTTTACGAATAATTGCGACGGGATTTATTTCGCACAAAATAAATACTCGCAATATGAATTTGATAGCATTATTTGTAAGAAGCATTACCCGGAATTGCAATTATAAAGCTCGCATTTTGGTCAATTGTTCAACAGTCGCTATTATAAATGCACGCACATTTGTGAATTTACTGTTTCAACGGTGGCAACTAACTTAAGTCAATAATATAGAATGAATAATAATTTTAACAAGAAAACAATAAAACCCTGTGGACAAAAGTTATCAGGATTATTAAGTGCTCATCTCAATCTGACATTCCTTCTTGAGACATTACTGCTACAGCAGAACAATGTTACAAAGTGTAGAATTGGAAAACAATAGTTTTCAGCTAGTTGGTACTGTTGAGCTTGCTTGTAGTAGCCGCACACGTTCTTTTGTACCGTATCACATAGAATGTAGAACGCAACGGGAGTCACTAGTAGAGTAGACTACATCCACTTTATTTGAACTTTGATGGATAGTTGTCTCATTGGCAATCATACCTCATCTCCTTATTTTTATAGGACCTGTTGACCCTTCTTGAGTGCACTCCGTTTTCGTGGGTATTTATTTCAATTCTTGTGTTTCTCTACAGAATTTTTATGAAATGGTCGTTAGAAACGCCGATATATTAGATATTACTTCAATACTTCATAGGACTGTTTGGTCATTTTTCGTGGCGTCTAACCTCTTTCCAATTCATTGACTGAACTACAGGCGAGTCAACATAACAAGATTAGTTTAAACATATTTTATTTGCTTAAATATGCAAAAGGGATGAGACACAAGTTAATCAAACTAATAAAGTCTTTTCCAATGAACAATTTATAACAATAGAATATTTACAAAGCATGCATGCAAACAATACAATACATTATATATATTGGATATGTAAAAAAGATGATGTGTGATGATGTGAATGGTTGTACACAATATATATAACAAGAATTCTACTTACAAGTTAAATGTGCATTGTCGACCGATATAAGATGCCACTCTTCGTTTTTCTCGTCTTTTATTATAATTCCTATCTAAAATAGATAGAATGTAAAATGTAAGTCATAACAACAGAATATTTAACATACGTCGTAATGTTACTTTTAATATTAATGCTTTTGAAGCCGAAAAATAAACAAAAAATTATCCTAGTCCGAGTTCAATGTTGAGAAGTTTTATTTCTTAGGCAGGATTCTTAACATTATATAAATATCATTGATTATTCCTAATCACAAATAGGTTTATAGTAATAAACTTTTTTTGCATTTCTTCTTAATCATTTTGACAATCAATAAAACATAAGTTATTCTTGTGCGTTTTCATTGACAAGATATTTGTCGAAATTCGCCTCTAGTGAAGTAAAATTGGTACCGTTTATGTTATTTCACTGGATCTCTGTTTGGGCTTTTTTTTCAATATTATTAAAGAACAACCCAACTTAAAAAATAATCTTAAGTCGCATATGTATAGCCTCTCTTCTTTATCCCAAGATCTAATGCATATTTCAATTGTGCTTTTTTTGTATCGTATAACACCTGTCTAGCATCAACGTCTTTTATTTATCAAAAAGGACTCTAGATACTTTTCTCAAGCAAGTTTTGTTTTAAAGAACAATTTCGTGACTCTTGAACAGCACTGAAAAAAAAGTTGTAGAATGTGTTTATTTTTCGGACAAACTTTCTACTTAGTTTTCTGTCTGTTTGAGAAACTATTAACATATCTAAAGTTTTCAAATTATTAATTTCAAATAAATAATTTAGTGGAAAAGAAATGACATGGGATTAGTTTACGTAAGACAAAATCTAACATCACGTCAACTACCACAGTAATGTCTATATACTGGTATGTACTTAAGAACGTATTAGAAAATACAATGAAATTAATTAAATTACATGAAAAATAAGTTTCAATATATAAACAGGATTTCCTTTCTATATATGTTAAGCCGATTTTTATGTTAATATTATGGTAATTTTTCTTCCTTATTAAATTTTAGAAATCATAAAAGTTTATTGTAAAGTTGACATTCTTTATTAAAACGACAACCATGTTGACA